GCCAAATAAATTTGTATTTATTGTTTGGGAGCATTCACACCGTCCTTTATTGGTAAAGAATGTTTTACCAATAAATTGCATTATTGTGAAATTAGTCATTTATTTACACATTATATTGTGTAAAACAATGATAAAAATACTTTTATAATAAATGTATAATTAAAAAAATGTATTAGAAAATACATATTAAATTCGGGACGGTTCACATCCATTTCGGGACGGTTCACATCCATTTCGGGACGATGCCAAATGGTTTTCGGGACGGTGTCGGGACGGTCATGAAAAAAGTTAGTCTGGAGCCCTGAGACCAGAAAGAATAACTAAAACATATAACCTGATAACAGGGCTTACCGATCATAATATGACATTAGTTGTCAGAAAGTTAACTAAAAAGCGTCTCATTAATCATAACAAAGCAGAGAACAAAATGAAAACAACAGGAATTCCCAAAGCAAAAATAAATGATTTTGAAAATGAGTTAAACCAAATTAATTGGAACAGTGTTACTGCGGAGTCTGATTTAAATTTGAGTGCATCCAATTTTGTCACTAAATTAAATGATGTAATAAATAAACACACACAAAGCTGGACAAGTAAACCAAGAAGGTATTCTCTTCCGTGGTTCAATAGTGACATTTGGCGAATGGCTAAAAATCGTGACCTTGCACTCAAAAAGTTCTTCAAATCTAGGAATAATACCGACCATCTCATTTTCACTGGCCTCAGGAATAAAGTCACAAGTGAGCTGCGCAAAGCTAAAACTAAATATTTTATAAAAATGATAGAAGAAGCAAATGGAAGCAGCTCCAAACTATGGCAACATATAAACAAATTGACAAATTCTAATTGGAAAAATCTTCAAATGACAGATTGCCTTAAAATTGATGATAATTATGTTAATGACAATCAGTCAATTGCAAACGAGTTCAACAAATTCTTTGTTGAATCAGTCCACGATCTTGCCAAACCATTCAAGGGCAAATTGCCTTCTGAGAGCAAAGCTCAGCGTAGCAGTACAGATCATTTTAAAATCAGAAGTTTTGCATGATGAAGTAAGGAAAATTATAGTCAATATGAAAAATTCTACATCAAGAGACATACATAATCTCAATGTAGCTCTAATTAAAAAACATCTAAGCAGCTTACTTGATCCTATAACTTACCTTGTAAACTTGTCAATACAAACAAACACTTTCCCACAGAGCTGGAAGATTGCTGTAATCACTCCAATTTATAAGTCAGGCGACAAAGACCAAGCCTGCAACTACAGGCCTATTTCCATTCTTCCTGTAGTTTCCAAAGTGCTGGAAAAAATTGTAGCTGGGCAATTAATAGAACATCTTGATAATAACCAACTGTTGCATCCCCAGCAGTTTGGGTTCAGACAAAAATACAGCACAGAAACAGCCAACTGCTTTTTGTTGGAACAGATCAAAGGTTCACTGGATAAAGGGAATGTCGTAGGCGCTGTGTTTTTAGATCTGAAGAAGGCCTTCGACACAGTGGACCATTGCATCTTATTGCAGAAATTACAGCAATTTCAATTTTCAGCTACAGCTCTGTCATGGTTTGAGTCCTACCTGGAGGGTAGAGAACAATGTGTGAAAGTAGGAAGCGTTAAATCCACCCTGAGTCCAAATGACTTAGGAGTGCCTCAAGGGTCAGTCCTAGGACCGTTGCTGTTTTCAATGTATATAAATGATCTCCCAGATTGCTGTCAGGGTGTAAACTGCCAGCTTTATGCTGACGACACAGTTATTTATGTGTCAGCAAAAACATCTGCACTGGCTGGGCAGCTGTTAACACAGGCTTCACATAACATCTCAAGATGGCTTCAACTGTCCCATTTAACTTTAAATGTAAAGAAAACATTCTCAATATGTTTCTCTATCAGCCGGAGGTCCCCTGACAGCACCTTTGAGGTTCAATTAGAACATGAACCCATTCAGGAGGTTCATGAAACAAAATACTTGGGCATTATCTTAGATAAACACCTGAAGTTCCAAAGTCAAGCAAATAACGTCTGCAGGAAAGTCAAATCAAATCTGAACTGTTTTCGTTTTATAAGAAGAGAGTTATCACATCACGCGGCTTTATTGTATATGCATGCAATGGTTTTTTCACATCTGTCATACTGCATTACAGCATGGTCACAAACATCGGCATCCACTCTGAAACCAGTCACCTCTCTGTATAAACAGGCAATTAAGATACAAGAAACCTTTGAGATGGCATCATTGTGATATCATACAAAAGCACAAGCTTTTTACTTTTGAAAACTTTATAAATTTTAGTATAATGAAATTGACTTTTAAATGTCTGAACAACTGTGTGTCACCACTGTTCTCTGGCCTCATGGTGAGGTTTCAGGGCTCTCTCAGACCTTCCACCAGAGCCTCAGTTAGCGGGGATTGTGTGCTCCCAAAGTTTAGAAAATCTTTTGGACAGTCGAGCTTCTCCTTTAGAGGGGCTACACTGTGGAACTCTCTCCCCACTGCACTGAAACTGCAGAATAATATCAACATCTTTACCAGAGAGCTTAAACAGTGGCTCAAATCGGGCCAAACTTGTTCCCATGTTTAAAACATGTCTTATCTTGTTTAATAATGTGTTTTATTGTAACCTTGTTTCCTAATGTGTTTTATCTTTGTAACCTAAAAGCCCCCTATGGACAGGTGTTGAAAATTAGCACTTGTGCTATAACACTTTAAACAATGCATCTGGTTCGTCCAATGTTAATTGCTATGTCCATATTAAATAAATAAATAAATGAAAAATGAAAAATGAGACTCCGACAGCACCAGCAGCAAATCTTTATGATGCAGAAAGTGACTATGAGGACACGACACAAGCAGACATTGGCCCATCTAATGTTGAGATTAATGAACTATCTGGTGCAACGGGCAGTGATGAGCAGTCACAAGCCAGCTCCTCCTGTGAAAACATAAAGCTGAAAATTGGCCAAGAGGTTAAATACATTGACAATGTAAGTGGTCAAAGTTGTACTGGAAAAGTCCTTGGCCGAGCAGGAAAGGCAACTGGAAAACACAAAGATTGGTATAATCTGCAGTTCAGTCAGCCTGAGGACAGAGCTGGCACATCAGTCAGTAAATCTTGGTATAATGAACAATGTTCAAGTGATTTCGTCAGAGGTTGAGTGTACCGACAAAAATGGTGACGATGCATTTATTGTACAGGACGATGTCTTCATGGCAGCCAAACATGCAGAACTTGCAAACTGGAGAAAAAATTATGTCTTTGAAGAAGTTAAAAGTGAAGGTCAGAAATGTGTCTCAACAAGGTGGGTGTGCACACTTAAAGACACTGCTGCAGGGGTTGTACCTAAAGCGAGGCTAGTAGCAAGGGGCTTTGAAGAGCTGAACAGTCAAAGCCTACAGACTGACTCACCCACGTGTGCTACAGAGTCACTGAAAATGATTATGGCTGTAGTAAGTCAAAACAAATGGGAGCTTAACTCTATAGACATTAAAGCAGCATTTTTGCAAGGTAAAACATTGGAGAGGGACATTTTCATCCGCCCACCACATGAAGCACAGAGCAAAGGAAATGTATGGAAATTGAAGAAGTGTGTTTATGGTCTCACAGATGCTTCTTTGTATTGGTATCATAGAGTCAGAGACACCATGCAGCAGTTGGGAGCCCGAGTGTCCAAGGTAGACACTGGCTTGATCGGTGTGGCCAGGTAAAGGGAATCCTCGTGTCTCACGTGGATGACTTTATTTGGGGCGGAACCAATTTTTTCTCATCTGTCATCCCTCAGCTAAAAACTGCCTTTCAAGTTGGACGTGAAGAGCACACCAACTTCAGCTACATTGGAATGGAAGTTCATTCTGTAAAGGACGAGATACAGTGCAACAGAAAGCATACATTCAAAATCTGAAACCTATTGCCATTGATCCCACCAGAGCATCACAGCGAGAAGCTGCATTGACAGAAAATGAAATGGACATGTTGAAGTCAAAGATTGGACAAATATTGTGGGTAGCAAGACAGAGTAGGCCAGACATTATGTGTGACGCATCAATCTTGGCTTCTGAGACCAAGCATGCCACAGTTCAAACTCTGCACTGTGCGAATAAACTTGTGGGGAAAGTAAAATCAGAAAATGTCATGTTGAGGTTTCAGCACCTAGGAGAAAACCGCTCACTGAAACGAGTGGTATACAGTGATTCCTCCTTGGGAAACCTCTCAGATGGAGGCACACAGGGTGGGCATTTCATAATGTTAATGGGTGAAAACGGAAAGTTCTCCCCTATCTCCTGGCAGTCCAAACGGATCAGGAGAGTTGTCCGGAGTACATTAGCGGGAGAAACTCTGGCACTTGCAGATGGGATTGATAGTGCAGTTTTCCTTGCTACACTATACTCTGAAATCACCACCGGGCACTGTGAATCCAAAGTTGTTCCCATTGTGTGCGTCACAGACAATCATTCTCTTCTGGATGCTGTCAAATCAATAAAATCTGTCACTGAGAAGAGACTGCGTCTTGAGATTAGCAGTATAAAAGAACTTCTACACTCTGGGACTATTCAGCAGATCCTATGGTCAGACACCAAAGAGCAGCTGGCCAATTGCTTGACAAAGAAGGGGGCATCTGCACTGAGTCTTCTTAAGGCACTTGGTGAAGGTGTCTGCCAGCTAAAAAACTGAACAAATACATTTAATGTGATACATTTGTTGTATGTTATGTTCTACATTGGTACTGCACTTTTTAAAAGAAAAAAGGGGAGATTGTTAAGCTATGTTTCTATGTGCACAAATGAGGAGCAGTGATCCTCATTTGAGTATCGCGATGTTTGGGTGTTCATGTTGATGCTCACACAAGACTGTATTCACTTGTCTGCTATCGTGATGGAGTAAACATCGTTTCCATAAACCTGTGTGTTTATTGAGCTAACAGATAAGGCCAGGCTAGTAAATCTCTAACCCTATTACCAATGTTTCAGTTGGGTCTCACAGTCTGCTCTTCTGCGTTTCAGGCAGAAGACAATGAAAGACGAGAGAAGAACATGGATGAGGCCAAGAAGATTGTGATCGAGAATGATGCCAGTCTGCCAGAGCCACAGACGGTGAGGTCTCTTTTCTCTTCCTCTCTCTTTTCTCTCCCTCTCTCTGGTCTCTCCCTCTCTCTGGTCTCACTCTCTCTGAGCTCACTCTCTCTGATCTCACTCTCTCTGGTCTCTCCCTCTCTCTGGTCTCACTCTCTCTGGTCTCTCTCTCTCTCTCTCTCTCGGTCTCCCTCTCGGTCTCTCTCTCGGTCTCTCTCTCTCGGTCTCTCTCTCTCTCTCTGGTCTATCCCTCTCCTTGGTCTCTCTCTGGTATCTCTCTCTCTCTAGTCTTTCTCTCTCTGGTCTCTCCCTCTCCTTGGGCTCTCTCTGGTCTCTGGTGAAATCCGCTCATGGTGCGGGTCTGTTTTGTGGCAGTCAAAGATCCATCAGCTGGAGGAGAAGCGAGGCAGCAGAGTGAAGGTGTTCGGGTGGGTCCATCGGCTGCGCAGACAAGGTGAGCGCTGTGTTTATGGTTTTGAGTTGAAAGTTAGTCTCATAGCTGAGTCTAGACTTTCACGCAACACAACTGGGGTTTCTCAATACATGGTCTTTCTCTCTTTGGTCACATGCATTTATCTTTAGTCTCTATCACATCTTCATATCAGCTTTTTCAGACATAAGAGTGAAAAAGAGAAGACTCCTCTCACTCAGCCAATGAGCCCAAAAAGTCAAATAGTGACTCGCTGGGCTCAATAGAGGCCACTATAGCATACTTGTACATTTGTATAAGATATAAATAAGTGTAACCTGTACAAAGTGAACCGCTGTGATTCTAGGATTCTACAGGAGGAAGGGAGGCTTAATCATTTTAGACTACAAATGTTTCATATGAAAAATTAACAAAAGCCGGCATTTATTTCAGAAACACAAATGTACCATATGTTTATCAGTGCCTTTGGATTAGACAAAGGCACTGATAAACATATGGCACTGCTCTCAAGTAAAGTTGAGAGATCATCTACCCAGGTAGTTTGATTTTACTGTTGTTGAATGTGCACGAAATCTTAGCCATTCAGCTGTTTTCGATGAAGGCCAAGGTGGATGAACGGAGATGGTAGTCGTCCTTCTCTGGATCCAGCAACATTGCAACCTCTGTGACACCAGCCAAGCACCAAACAGTCCTCAGGTCTTAAAAACCAACCTGCATAACCAGGATAACATTAGTATAATTCTCTTATAGTCAATATTTATATATAGATGAGTTTTATCTAATCTCCAACTACAACTGATCACATACAGTAGCGGAAACGCTCCGTTTAAAATATAACAAAATAATATGTCATATTTTGGTGGGTTAAATACATTTACAGACTTACACAGTGGATTTTTTCTAATGGATGTGTTCACCGTGTGTTTCAGGGAAAAACCTGATGTTCCTCGTGCTCCGTGACGGCACTGGCTTCCTGCAGTGTGTCCTGTCAGACAAACTGGTGAGGAACACACTAAAACACACAGACGCATATCTGCAGAAACCGCTGCTCACATGTAGCACAGAGGAAGAAGAGACGACAGCTTAGTGTAGCGCTCTTTCCTTTTTTCCATATAATGTGATTCTCTCTGGTTCCTCTTTGTGGTCTCTGTTCTCCATCTCTCTGGTTTAGCTCACTCTGTTCTGTCTCTCTCCCCCTGGTCTCTCTTGGTACACTTCCTGGTGTGAGACTAACCTGCTGCTGTTTTTCCAGTGTCAGTGCTACAATGGGCTGGTGCTGTCCACAGAGAGCACGGTGGCTCTGTACGGCATCGTCACTCCGGTCCCTGAGGGCAAACAGGTAACAGGCGTCACCATGACAACACACAGACATGAAGGTTAAGGTTCTCTGTACGGCATCGTCACTCCGGTCCCTGAGGACACTGCACGTATTTACCTGAAGATACACAAAAATGAAGGTTAAGGTTCTTTGGATTGTAGAGTCCCACAGTCTCTGGTTTCCTCCAGCTCTGGTCTTGACCATCAGCATCAATATCTGGAAATGAGTCCCGTTACTACGGCAACTACTGCTCCTGACAGAGGCCCTAGTGGTAATGAAAGATGAAGGACAATAAAGTATATCTCTTCTATTGTACCTGTTTGTTACTCACATGGCAATAAAAAAGATTCTGATTTAGTGGTAGGAGAAACGGGAGCATCTGGGGAAACCTATGCAGACACGAGGAGAACATGCACACTACTCTGGTTTGGTCTGTCTTTTAGGCTCTTTAACCCTCTATGCACATGGGTCATTTTGGGAAACTTTCCTCGCCTGGTTTTTTGTGTGTAAAATTGCTCATAAAACAGTCATCTTTTGATGCACAGTGCCAGCAGTATACTTTGTTTTTTTCAGTACAACCTGGGGTTTTAGAATATTCATTTTGTAAAGCTGTCATATGAATTAAATAAAAATTATGGAATCATGAAGACAAAGAAAAAAATCAAACGGAAAATCAATTTAACAAAAATGTATTGAAAAAACACAATGAAATGCTATGAACAACTTTTTACACGGCACAGAAATATTATTTAGGGACTTGGGGATAATGGGGAAAAAAAAAGAATCTCTAACTATTATACTTTTTACAAAATTCCACTATAAAAGCAAAAAACTCTGTACTCCTGATTTCCTTCCTGAAGCAGGTTGTCTATAATGCTGGGGTTGCTTCTGTAGCACAGCTGTAAAAAATGTAAAACATAAGAAACTTAGACAAAAAAAAAAACATTGATTATTTATATAATACATATATTTATATACATCATATACACATAATGTCATTTTACTGTATTTATTATCGTCTTTATCAATAATGCCAATCGCAGCTGTAGTTTCAACTGTGGGAGAACAAGTACACACAGAGGAGTGAGACATCTCACTCTCTGACGATCTTTGGCAGTCCCCGTGTGTTTGTATCTCACAGCTGTTTGTACCTCACGGGTCACGCTTTGGACACTTTCAGACAAGCGTAGTTTATCCTCCGTGCATCGCACAGACAAATCAAAACTAGTTTCGGAAAGCCCTGAATGTGTACTTCGTTTGTAAAACATGTGCGCATGCATTGGCGCCGATGCAGACGGGTTCATAGGGTTAACATAATGAGATTTTTTACTTGTTATTTCTTGTGTAGAAATGGCCCAGACACATGATCCTGAAGACATCTTTGTGCTAGCTCTGGAACATGACCTTGTTCTTTGTGTGCTCTCTCCTCAGGCCCCCGGTGGCCACGAGCTGCACTGCGACTTCTGGGAGCTAATTGGTCTGGCTCCAGCAGGGGGCGCCGACAACCTCCTGAACGAGGAGTCGGACGTGGATGTGCAGCTGAACAACAGGCACATGATGCTCCGCGGCGAGAACGTGTCCAAGATCCTGCGAGTGCGATCCACCGTCACCCAGTGCTTCAGGGATCACTTCTTCAGTCGCGGGTACTACGAGGTACTGAGGCCGCAGTACCTCTCCCCAACACAGAGGGCGCTGAACCTTAACCCACCATCAACACAAATATTAAACCTGGGGTTCTTAACTTGGTTTGTCTTAACAGAAACAGTCTTGGAAACAATAACATTGTGAACAAAAATGCCACACCACGTCTCCATCTAATTAGAAAACATGATCTTTTGAGTAAGATAGAGCCCTGAGAGGCACTATTTGACACTTTGGGCTGAGAGCTGATTGGCTGAGTGAGGGTGGTCCTCTCATTGTCACTTTTCCGTCTGAAAAAGCTGATCTAAAGATTGAGGACAAAAACGCATGACAACTCGGATAGAAGCAACTGTTTCTTTACATAGTTCCATTTTTGGTGGTTTTAAAGTCAGGTACCCCAACTTTCCTTTTAGTTTGAGTATTTTAAAACATGCAATTATGAGCTCGAGTCTGTTTCCTCCATGGAGCATATACAGTGGGGCAAAAAAGTATTTAGTCAGCCACCGATTGTGCAAGTTCTCCCCCTTGAAATAATGAGAGGTCTGTAATTTTCATCATAGGTACACTTCAACTGTGAGAGACAGAATGTGAAAAAAAAATCCAGGAATTCACATAGTAGGATTTTTAAAGAATTTATTTGTAAATCATGGTGGAAAATAAGTATTTGGTCACTTCAAACAAGGAAGATCTCTGGCTCTCACAGACCTGTAACTTCTTCTTTAAGAAGCTCTTCTGTCCTCCACTCGTTACCTGTATTAATGGCACCTGTTTGAACTCGTTATCTGTATAAAAGACACCTGTCCACAGCCTCAAACAGTCAGACTCCAAACTCCACTATGGCCAAGACCAAAGAGCTGTTGAAGGACACCAGGATAGGAATTGTAGACCTGTACCAGACCTTTAAAGAGTGAATCTACAATAGGCAAGCAGCTTGGTGTGAACAAATCAACTGTGGGAGCAATTATCAGAAAATGGAAGACATACAAGACCACTGATAATCTCCCTCAATCTGGGGCTCCACGCAAGATCTCATCCCGTGGGGTCAAAATGATCATGAGAACGGTGATCAAATATCCCAGAACCACACGGGGGGACCTGGTGAATGACCTGCAGAGAGCTGGGACCAAAGTAACAAAAGTTACCATCAGTAACACACTACGACGACAGGGAATCAAATCCTGCAGTGCCAGACGTGTCCCCCTGCTGAAGCCAGTGCATGTCCAGGCCCGTCGGAAGTTAGCCAGAGAGCACATGGCTGATACAGCAGAGGATTGGGAGAATGTCATGTGGTCAGATGAAACTGTTTGGTATAAACTCAACTCGTCGTGTTTGGAGGAAGAAGAATACTGAGTTGCACACCATACCTACTGTGAAGCATGGGGGTGGAAACGTCATGCTTTGGGGCTGTTTTTCTGCTAAGGGGACAGGACGACTGATCCGTGTTAAGGAAAGAATGAATGGGCCATGTATTATGAGATTTTGAGCCAAAACCTCCTTCCATCAGTGAGAGCTTTGAAGATGAAACGTGGCTGGGTCTTCCAGCATGACAATGATCCCAAACACACCGCCCGGGCAACGAAGGAGTGGCTCCGTAAAAAGAATTTGAAAGTCCTGGAGTGGCCTAGCCAGTCTCCAGACCTCAACCCCATTGAAAATCCGTGTTGCTTGGCAACAGCCCCAAAACATCACTGCTCTCGAGAAGATCTGCATGGAGGAATGGGCCAAAATACCAACAACTGTGTTTGCAAACCTGGTAAAGACCTATAGTAATCGTTTGACCTCTGTTATTGCCAGCAAAGGTTATATTACCAAGTATTGAGTTGAATTTTTGTTATTGACCAAATACTTATTTTCCACCATAATTTACAAATCAATTCTTTAAAAATCCTACAATGTGAATTCCTGGAATTTTTTTTCACATTCTGTCTCTCACAGTTAAAGTGTACCTAATGATGAAAATTACAGACCTCTGTCATTATTTTAAGTGGGAGAACTTGCACAATCGGTGGCTGACATCACCTTAGTGTAGACGTTCCTTTAAATGGGCACTGATATTGTTGCTTGTAGTAAACATAGACTGTATTTAGTTAAACCCACTTGTCATGGACGAACCATGACGAGTGGGTTTAACTAAATACAGTCTATGTTTACTACAAGCAACAATATCAGTTGAAGTCAAAAGCCCATAGTCAAAATTATACATTCTCAGAAGTAAACATTTTCAATCCCAAAACATTATATACACTATCTTTCATTTTGTTGTTCTTTCTCACATTGACTGAATCATAAAACACAAATGGAAGCATTTCTTTCTTCCAGATCACGCCTCCCACTCTGGTGCAGACTCAGGTGGAGGGCGGCTCTACGCTCTTTGGCCTGAATTACTTTGGGGAGCAGGCGTATCTGACCCAGTCCTCGCAGCTGTACCTGGAGACCTGCATCCCGGCTCTGGGAGACACCTTCTGCATCGCACAGTCCTACCGCGCCGAGCAGTCCCGCACACGCAGACACCTGGCTGAGTGAGTACCGCACACGCAGACACCTGGCCAAGTGAGTCCCGCACACGGCCTGTTAGCAGAGACTGTTTCTGTGAACGCTAACCCGCTCAATGGAGCCAAACAGAAGTGCTCCAACTCTCTCTGGCTCCGATTGACATGACTTTAAAAGTAAACGTTGTTGATTCTCTTTGATTTCGATGCCGAGAATCAAAATGGTGACACTCCTGTGTGGTCTGTCTCTGTGGTCTGTCTCTGTGGTCTGTCTCTGTGGTCTGTCTCTGTGGTCTGTCTCTGTGGTCTGTCTCTGTGGTCTGTCTCTGTGGTCTGTCTCTGCGGTCTGTCTCTGCGGTCTGTCTCTGCGGTCTGTCTCTGCGGTCTGTCTCTGCGGTCTGTCTCTGCGGTCTGTCTCTGCGGTCTGTCTCTGCGGTCTGTCTCTGCGGTCTGTCTCTGCGGTCTGTCTCTGCGGTCTGTCTCTGCGGTCTGTCTCTGCGGTCTGTCTCTGCGGTCTGTCTCTGCGGTCTGTCTCTGCGGTCTGTCTCTGCGGTCTGTGCTCTGTGTCTGTGGTCTCTGTCTGTGGTCTCTGTCTGTGGTCTGTGTCTGTGGTCTCTGTCTGTGGTCTGTGTCTGTGGTCTCTGTCTGTGGTCTGTGTCTCTGGTCTGTCTGTGGTCTGTGTCTCTGGTCTGTCTGTGGTCTGTCTGTTACTGACTGTTTGTGGTCTAGGTACACCCACATTGAGGCCGAGTGCCCCTTCATCTCCTTCGAGGACCTCCTGCAGCGGCTGGAGGACCTGGTGTGTGACGTGGTGGACCGTGTGCTGGCGTCTCCTGCGGGACCGCTGCTCCGAGACATCAACCCGGTACATCTCACTCGCTCTGGTCTCTCTGGTCTCCCGCTCTCTCTCTCTGGTCTTGCTCTGGTCTCTCTCTGGTCTCCTGCTCTCTCGCTCTGGTCTCTCTGGTCTCCCGCTCTCTCTCTGGTCTCGCTCTGGTCTCTCTGGTCTCCCGCTCTCTCTCTCTGGTCTCGCTCTGGTCTCTCTGGTCTCCCGCTCTCTCTCTCTCTGGTCTCCCGCTCTCTCTCTCTGGTCTCTCTCTGGTCTCCCGCTCTCTCTCTCTCTGGTCTCTCTCTGGTCTCCCGCTCTCTCTCTCTCTGGTCTCTCTCTGGTCTCCCGCTCTCTCTCTCTCGCTCTCTCTCTCTGGTCTCGCTCTGGTCTCTCTGGTCTCCCGCTCTCTCTCTCTGGTCTCGCTCTGGTCTCTCTGGTCTCCCGCTCTCTCTTTGGTCTTGTTCGCGAGCGATCCAATTTCAAATCTTATCTTTTTAGACAAAAACAAAATTTCCCATTTACACCTGTACTGACTCTAAACACAAGCTGCAGAATTTAAATCTGGACTAGCCCACTTTGTGACTTTGAAGCAGCAGTTTCCCCTACCTACCTCCCACTACCCCCTTCCTCCCACTACCCCCTTCCTCCCACTACCCCCTTCCTCCTACTACCCTCTTCCTCCTACTACCCCCTTCCTCCTACTACCCCCTTCCTCCTACTACCCCCTTCCTCCTACTACCCCCTTCCTCCTACTACCCCCTTCCTCCTACTACCTCCCACTATCCCCTTCCTCCTACTATCCCCTACCCCCTACCTCCTACTACCCCCTTCCTCCTACTACCTCACACTACCTCCTACTACACCCTACCTCCTACTACCCCCTTCCTCCTATTACCCCCTACCTCCTTCCTCCTACTACCCTTTTCCTCCTACTAAACCCTTCCTCCTACTAACCCCTTCCTCCTACTAACCCCTACCTCCTATTACCCCTTCCTCCTACTACCCCCTTCCTCCTACTACCCCCCCTGCCCCCCTCCCACTCATGTGCGTGCTCGTAAGCATAGACTGGTGTGCTGTTGTTTACGGAGCTGGATCATGGATCTATAATATGTGGATACGTCTCTTGTTTTGGCCCAAAACAAATGGAAATGTTGCAAGTATTTTTTGATTTTATTGACCCAATGCTAAAGTTGTCTCTGCTGCCTCTCTCCTGGTGCTTCTCCTCCTGGTGCCTCTCCTCCTGGTGCCTCTCCTCCTGGTGCCTCTCCTCCTGGTGCCTCTCCTCCTGGTGCCTCTCCTCCTGGTGCCTCTCCTCCTGGTGCCTCTCCTCCTGGTGCCTCTCCTCCTGGTGCCTCTCCTCCTGGTGCCTCTCCCCCTGGTGCCTCTCCTCCGGGTGCCTCTCCTCCGGGTGCCTCTCCTCCGGGTGCCTCTCCTCCGGGTGCCTCTCCTCCGGGTGCCTCTCCTCCGGGTGCCTCTCCTCCGGGTGCCTCTCTCCTGGTCCTTCAGACCCTTGGCCTCTCTTGGTTCTTGTAGGGACTTTTGGCAGGGTTGGCTGACACCTCTGCCATGATGCCAGTTTACCTCTGCTGTCTGCCAACGAGAGACCTGTAGATTTTCTCAAGAAAGTGGGGGCAAGTGGTCCGCTGTGATTGGTCACAATCTGGTCCCAAAATAAATTCTTTCGCGTTGCGCAAAAACTCGATCTAAAATAAAATGAAGCTCCAGCACAAACCTGCGCTACTTATTCTTCAAAAGGACGTTTATCCCGATGCACCGCATGGACATGGATTGGATTTAACTCATACAAAACTAAAGTGAGGTAGTCCAGCTTTAAGAATCAGCGGCAGAGAGAGTTAACCATTGTCTGATCATTGTTATTATCATTTCATTGATTGAAAGATCAAGGCTATGCTCACACTCAGAGAGCAGCCGTCCTCCTGTGGACTCACCACCTGCAGAGGATCAGTGAGGGGCTGGTGCTCTGAGACTTGGGTGGCATCTCTGATTGCCACCCCCCTGACCCAGAAATGGATTAAAGGGTAGAAAATGGATGGATGGATGGATATTATGAGTTAACCATTATCTGATCATTGTTATTATAATTGTATTATTATGAGTTAACCATTGTCTGATCATTGTTTATTATCATTTCATTATTATGAGTTAACCATTATCTGATCATTGTTATTATAATTTTATTATTATGAGTTAACTATTGTCAGATCATTGTTATTATGGATGTCCCTCTGAGTGATGCTTTGTGTGTCAGGACTTCAAACCCCCCAAACGTCCCTTCAGAAGGATGAAATACACTGAAGCCATCGAGTGGCTGCGAGAACACGACGTAAAGAAAGACGATGGCTCCTACTACGAGTTTGGAGAGGTGAGGCAGCAACAGAACGACCACCTTTCATTTAGAATAACTGGACTTACATGAATGTGTGTGCTTTTTTCTACCTGTAAATGTTCCTGCAGGACAGTGCTTAACACTGATCCAGACCAGAGCAGAGGATTCACGCACCCAACCAAGCTGATCAATCATAAAGCCACTGAAGGAATGCCATTTAAAAAAAAAAAATGCTGATAAAGCATTCAGCATTTTACTCTGGAGCAGAGTAAATGGCCCGAACCAAGCGGCTGCACCACCTGTGCATAAATACAGAGAAAGTCAAAGTTATGAAGACCAAGAATGTTTTTAAGTTGAGTTACTAATAGTTAGGAAACTAAAAGCCTAAAACTGCCCTTTGAGTTGAGTGTTAATGATGTAAATCTCTGGAGCTTCTATGACAGTGTTCTCTGCATGCTAGTCTCTGTAGTGTATTCTTCTCTGACCTCGCCCTCGCGTTTGCAGGACATCCCTGAGGCCCCAGAGCGGCAGATGACCGACGCCATCAACGAGACCATCCTTCTGTGCCGCTTCCCCGCGGAGATTAAGTCCTTCTACATGCAGCGCTGCGCCGACGACCGCCGCCTCACCGAATCTGTACGCTCTCCACAGCTTTATTATCAACCACGAGGGAGAGGCCAGAGAGGGAGAGAGAGGCCAGAGAGGGAGAGAGAGGCCAGAGAGGGAGAGAGAGGCCAGAGAGGGAGAGAGAGGCCAGAGAGGGAGAGAGAGGCCAGAGAGGGAGAGAGAGGCCAGAGAGAGGCCAGAGAGGGAGGGAGAGAGAGGCCAGAGAGAGAGGGAGGGAGAGAGAGTGTCCAGAGAGAGAGGGAGGGAGAGAGAGTGTCCAGAGAGTGTCCAGAGAGTGTCCAGAGAGTGTCCAGAGAGTGTCCAGAGAGTGTCCAGAGAGTGTCCAGAGAGTGGCCAGAGAGTGGCCAGAGAGTGGCCAGAGAGTGGCCAGAGAGAGACATTTAATGATTATCTAAAGCAGTCTGAGTTGGTTTGTGTGTGAGTGATAGAAATGCCTACTATAGCACAGCTCGTCAGTTGCGTCCTCAGTTCTGAGTGGGATTCTCCTCAGGTGGACGTGCTGATGCCAAACGTGGGGGAGATCGTGGGCGCCTCTATGCGTATCTGGGACAGTGAGGAGCTGCTGGAGGGGTACAAGAGAGAGGGCATCGACCCCACACCCTACTACTGGTACACGGACCAGGTACGTCCTCCTGAGAGGTCTGGGTCGAGTCTGGAGGAGAGCTGTGAGAGTCTCATAAACCTGGAATATCTACACAGTACTTAATACAAGTCTCAGATTCCACTCCAGATACGGCCTTTCTGAGTTTGCATGTTCTCCTTCTGTCTCTAACTGTGGGGTTTCGGAGTTTGCATGTTCTCCTTTGGTCTCTAACTGTGGGCTTTCTGAGTTTGCATGCTCTCTGTGTTTTCCCCTTCTGTCTCTAACTGTGGGGTTTCTGAGTTTGCATGTTCTCTGTGTTTTCTCCTTCTGTCTCTAACTGTGGGGTTTGCTGTCACAGAGGAAGTACGGCACGTGTCCTCATGGCGGCTACGGTCTGGGTCTGGAGCGCTTCCTCACCTGGCTCCTCAACAGACATCACATCAGGGACGTGTGCTTGTACCCTCGCTTCATCCAGCGCTGCAGGCCCTGAGAGCCCCCACCACCACGGACCCTGCTGGCCCCGATCGAGCACTCTCATCTCCATCAAATACTGTACTCGACACTGGCTCTGTGTAACTCCTACTCTGACCCGTCAATAAACTCTTCAAATTATCACTTCTGACTCACTCTCATGTTACTTTTACATGTTTATCACATACTCAGAATGTGTCACTGCTTAAGATTGTATCAATGTTGTTGTGTAGAAGGAAAGCCAAAAGACGCCGCTGACAAGAGGAAGAAGGCCCTGTGGTCAAGTCGGATTAAAACAAATCGGCTAAGATCGTTCTGTGCCACAAATATAACGTGGAGGTGGCAGTATCATGCTATTCAATTATAAACCCAGAGCTACAAACGTTCTCCATAGCCATGTTCACACTACGGTCCTGTGTCAACAGTGTGAATGCAAGGCGGGTTCTTTAGACCCGCGTTGAAAGGTACAAAGCACTTAAGGGTTAAGTGCTTTGTACAAAACCAGAGGAATTGTATTATTGTAATTAAAATAAGTTACCTGTAATAGTCTATAAGTGCCAACAGATCTGAATTACTCTAAACAGGAAGACCGTGGAGACGAGAGATAATAATAAAAATGGCTTTATGCTAATAGGAAATGATTAGCGATCATTGTGATGGGCAGACATCAAACATATTACAAACAACTTATGTACTTAGTTTAAGTACATGAGTTGGTACTCATGCACAAACATTAAATTAATCTGTAGGATAAAAATGTATATAATTTTTGAAGCGGTGCTGACGCAATGTCTTTTGTTTATTGATGGTCATTCTGAAAAAGCACACAATTACTTATTTCATAACATGAGCAATATATTTAAATACACCATTAAACATGAAACATAAAAAATCCAAGTGCTGTTCTATTTTCTGGATGACTCACATGTTGCTCAGGTGAAAGTGGGAAAAGGGCAAACGGTCTTGGTCTCTCTTCAGAAGCGAATGTTCCAATCTTCTGCCTCAAATAAACTGACTGCAGGTGCACTGTCACTCTTCACCAGCAGAGGGCGTGAGCAGCGCTGTGGCATAAATACAAGAATAATAGATGTTACAGGTTGTAAAATTCAAGCCTTGACTTGATATAACCTCTATCTTCTGTTTGGGATGTCTGGTGCGAGCATTAGCCAATGAGCACAGACAGATGGACAAAGCTAACCTGCTAACTCAATGAAGCTCGATAAGGAAGTGCTCATGGACAAAGTTTTGCTCCATCTGACTCTGGCTATAAATCTGTAGTTTATATTTTAATATTACTTTGTAAATCCAGATTTGAGTCATATAAGGGTTGACCAATCAGACGCCATGAAGCGTCTCCTTGAAATCAGTCTCTCCTCACGCCCCTCACCTGTGCCCTCACCTCTGCCCCCACTCTGCCCTCACTCTGCCCTCACCTCTGCCCTCACCTCTGCCCTCACTCTGCCCTCACTCTGCCCTCACCTCTGCCCTCACGTCTTGAATGGCCTTTTCCATCAGTGCGTCTCTGGCGTCTGCGTCGTTCTTCAGTTTCTGGATGGTTTGTACCGACGTGTGGCGCAGCTCCACCATCTCGCTCTGCAACTGGAGCTCATCATTAAAGCACTTTTAGTTTCATACATATTGGTTGGTCCAACAGAAAGAGCCCTGGGAGTCACAGTTGGACTCTTTGGGCAGAGTGAGGCTGGTCCTCTGTCACATAAATACATGAAGCTAGTGATAGAAGCAATCTGTTTTAGAGCCAGGAACTGTAGGGATTTGACCATATTCTACTCTCCCAAGTCGAGTCCAGTCGAGTCATTGCTGGTATGTTGTTGGTAAGTTGCTGGTATGTTGCTGGTATGATGTTGGTATGTTGTTGGTATGTTATTGGTATGTTGCTGGTATGTTGCTGGAATGATGTTGGTATGTTGTTGATATGTTGCTGGTATGTTGTTGGTATGATGTTGGTATTTTGCTGGAATGATGTTGGTATGTTGTTGGTATGTTGTTGGTATGTTGTTGGTATGATGTTGGTATGTTGTTGGTATGTTGTTGGTATGTTGCTGGTATGTTGCTGGTATGTTGTTGGTATGTTGCTGGTATGTTGTTGGTATGTTGCTGGTATGTTGTTGGTCTGTTGTTGGTATGTTGCTGGTATGTTGTTGGTATGTTGTTGGTATGTTGCTGGTATGTTGTTGGTATGATGTTGGTATGTTGTTGGTATGTTGTTGGTATGTTGCTGGAATGATGTTGGTATGTTGTTGGTATGTTGCTGGTATGTTGCTGGAATGATGTTGGTATGTTGTTGGTATGTTGCTGGAATGATGTTGGTATGTTGCTGGTATGTTGCTGGAATGATGTTGGTATGTTGTTGGTATGTTGTTGGTATGTTGCTGGTATGTTGCTGGTATGTTGTTGGTATGTTGCTGGTATGTTGCTGGTATGTTGTTGGTATGTTGCTGGTATGTTGTTGGTCTGTTGTTGGTATGTTGCTGGTATGTTGTTGGTATGTTGTTGGTATGTTGCTGGTATGTTGCTGGTATGTTGCTGGTATGTTGTTGGTATGTTTCTGGTATGTTGCTGGTATGTTGCTGGTATGTTGTTGGTATGTTGCTGGTATGTTGTTGGTATGATGTTGGTATGTTGCTGGTATGTTGCTGGTATGTTGTTGGTATGTTGCTGGTATGTTGTCTGCTGGTGGTAGACATCATACCTGTATAGTGTGTGTTGTATAAGAGAAGATAACCCTTAATTTGTCCCTGAGTTGGTAAATTCTCACTCTGCCCTCACTCTGCCCCTCTTCCCTCACCTCTGCCCTCACCTCTGCCCTCACTCTGCCCTCATTCTGCCCTCACCTCTGCCCTCACCTCTGCCCTCACTCTGCCCTCATTCTGCCCTCACTCTGCCCTCACCTCTGCCCCTCTGCCCTCACCTCTGCCCTCACTCTGCCCTCACTCTGCCCTTACCTCTGCCCTCACTCTGCCCTCACCTCTGTACCTCTGCCCTCACCTCTGCCCTCACCTCTGCCCTCACCTCTGCCCTCATCTCTGCCCTCACTCTGCCCTCACCTCTGCCCTCACCTCTGGCCTCACTCTGGCCTCACTCTGGCCTCACTCTGGCCTCACTCTGCACCTGACCTCTGCCCTCACCTGCACAATGCAGCAGAATGGAAGGAGGAATAAGAGGTTAGGCACACATCTGGCAGGATCTGTTATTGAAGATAATAGATATTTAAATAATAAGATACTAAAGCTGCAGTATAATTGCTCTCTAAGTACATGAGAGGAGTATCCATGTGTAGTATCTGTGTCTGTCCTCTCACCTCCTCCTGCCTCTGCAGCAGCCGTGAGTATCCATGTGTAGTATCTGTGTCTGTCCTCTCACCTCCTTCTGCCTCTGCAGCAGCCTCTGGTGCTGGACGATCAGCTGGTTTAGCTCCGCCTTCTTCTTGTGGGGGATGTTCTTGTTCCTGGACTTGATTTTACTGTGGAGAGTGGCAATCGTCTCCTGGGCCGTGGTCAGTTCCTCCGTCCTCTGTTTCTTCTCCTGCAGAACCAGCGTCAGTTCCCTTCGGACGCTCTTCAGTCCCGAGGATTTTGCCTTAATGAATTTCTGAAGGAAAACCATGAATCGTGATCATAATAAAACTTTACTTGATGAAGTATCAAAACCTGAATGGAGATGGGACGTGTTTATTGACTGGTCTCCACATCCACTGGAAGAAGCCGATAGCTGGACCCAATTTCCTTCTATGGGCATTTTTTATTCTGTAGCAAATCTGGCAATGTGTTGTTAAGATGGTTGCTAGGGCAAGCAGAAGTTTCCCTGCGAATGAAGGTACCTGATTGGTCGATTCTTATGTATATGGCTCATATCAGAGTTTGAATTTTGAAAAATTTGATTTTTAAAAAGTAGATGAATATTTTAAAGGTTTACAATTTGCCTTTTACCAAGTTGCTTTTTGAAAAGACAGATCTATTTTAGTGCCAAGAACAATAAAGTTTCACCCCTTCTTGAACAAACTCTCACATTTAAAGCCAATCCCAAATTCTGTTGAAGACTAGAGCAGGGGTATCAAAGTCAAGGCCACACCCAGCTCCGGGTGATATAAGTGTAGAAATATAAGTATTAGAACCGGCCGCACAGAGCCATAAGAAAATATTGGATTATTCATTTAATGTTCAGGACATGTGTTTTCTCTTTGAAGGAAGTGTGTTTTTGTCTCTGAGCTGTTGAAAAATGTTTATACATGAAATGACTGACAGAGCAAATATTGGATTATTCATTTAATCATGAAATAAAACACGGACTCTTGTGTTAGGTCCTGGTTCAATATGTTTTAAACACTGAATCAGAACGGCCCTCGGCTTGGAGCAAATTTGTTTTTTGGCCTCTGATGTATTTGACTCTGACATCCCTGCTATAGCGGGAGGAATGAAACTTTTTGACTAATTTAAAAAATGGAGATATCTGTTATTGCTAATTCACCAGGACCACAGAGAGCGCTAAAGCACAGATTTTTTTAACCCAAAATGGTTATTGAGCGATTGGAGTTCACTTTAGTCAATAGGAGCCGGAGTGAGTTGGAGCAAAACTTCCTGCATGAGCACTTCCCTAGCATTGTGCGGGTTAGCATTGTCCATCTGCGACACCAGGGTGTCACAGGTGTGGCGGGTTACCTGGTGTTCCCGGAGGATTTCCCGCTGGTGCTCCGTGGGCTGCCTCAGCGCTCGGGCCTCTCTCACGGCCGCTCGGACCATCTCACTCAGAGCCGTAAGCTCCGTGTTCCAGTGGTTCAGGACCAGACTCACTTCACTCCTGGTCTTCAGCTCCAGGTCCCGCCGCAGCTCCTCCTTCGCACGCTCCTCCTCATCATCGGCATCTGCTCCAGGAGGATTAGAGTTAACTCTGAGGATTAGAGCTGACTCTGAGGATTAGAGCTGACTCTGAGGATTAGAGCTAACTCTGAGGATTAGAGCTGACTCTGAGGATTAGAGCTGACTCTGGGGATTAGAGCTGACTCTGGATTAGAGCTGACTCTGAGGATTAGAGCTGACTCTGAGGATTAGAGCTAACTCTGAGGATTAGAGCTGACTCTGAGGATTAGAGCTGACTCTGAGGATTAACTCAAATGGGTTCATGGAGCAGCTTTAATCTTAACATGATAATTTTAACATGAGCTGATCCAGGGTTATCTCACTGTTTAACCCCATTTCCACCAGCCCTACTGTACTCAACTGTACTCTACTGTACTCCAGGCCGAGCTGGTACTAAAGTGTTCTAACTGACAGTGATTGGCCAGAGTGCTGCTGGAAGTCACTGTGACCAAGGAATATCCATAACTACTGGGTTGTTAGGTTGCTAGGATACGGTACCAGACACTAAAGACAAATGGAAACACATAGTAGAGTAGAGTAGAGTCGGGCTGGTGGAAACAGGGCTATTGTCATTATTGTATGTATTTTTATAATGTATACTAATCCACCACAAGGGGGCGATATCCTTTTTGAGTTGAGTTGAGTTTACCTCTGAGATTCTTCTCCAGAACGTCTCTCAGCGTGGCCACTTCTGATTCATGTTTCTGTAAATGCCCCACAGATTAAATTAAGATTCAAAAGCGATCCTCTATTGGCCCCACAGCGGGGAAATGTCAATGTTGCATCACCAGTTACAGAACAGTAGGAATGAGGGGCACAGCACAAGGTCAAGGTCAAGGTCAAATTTATTTATAAAGCACATTTACAAAACAGCCATCACTGCCCCAAAGTGCTGTACATAGTACAATAATACAACACTACAAAAACACAACAATATAACACGATAAGAAAGTAAAAATGTAAACTGTAAAAATATGAAAAATGCTCAGCTCATCTTGTGTTAAAAGCCTGCGTAAAAAGGTAAGTCTTTACCAGAGTTTTGAAGCTCTCAACTGATGTAGCCTGTCTAATGTTAACAGGGAGGGAGTTCCACAGTTTAGGGCCTGCCACTGCAAAAGCTCTATCTCCTTTAGTTTTTAAATGAGATCCTGGACGATCCAGCAAACTTTGGCCCGAGGATCGCAGAGCTCTGACAGGGGCGTGCAAAGACAACAAATCAGATAAATAAGGCGGTGCCAGTCCGCGGATGGATTTAAAAACAAGTAATAGAATTTTAAAGTCTATTCTAAAAGCAACAGGTAACCAGTGAAGAGACGACAGAACAGGAGTAATATGTTCATGCCGTTTGGTTCCTGTGAGCAGGCGTGCAGCCGCGTTTTGGACCATTTGGAGTCAGCGAATTGATGACTGCTTTAGACCAAAATACAAAGAATTACAATAATCCAAACGAGTTGTGATCAATGCATGGACAACCTGTTCAAATTGGTTTAAAGGTAAGTAGCGCTTCACCTTACTTAGAAGCCTAAGTTGGAAAAAACTAGTTTTGACTACTGCATTGATCTGTTTTTCAAACTGGAATGAACTGTCAATATGAAATCCAAGACTTTTGGCGGATAAACAGCAGTGGGACGCTGGTGGACCAGGAGCACTGCTGGTAAGGTTAGCCTCACCAAAAAACACGATTTCAGTCTTTTTCTCATTCAAATTGAGAAAATTCAGTGACATCCAGTCTTTGACCTCTTTAAGACATGTCAATAAGGCGGCAGATGAGTTAGATTTGAGGTCCAAAGGCAAATAGATCTGTACATCATCTGCAAAGCAATGAAACTGAATGTTGTATTTCCTAAAAATTGAGCCCAATGGCAGCATGTACAATGAAAATAGAATTGGCCCTAAAATTGAGCCTTGGGGTACCCCGCAGGTTAGGGGGGCTTTCTGCGAGGTAAAAGAACCAAGGTTTACAGAAAAACACCTATCATTCAGATATGACTTAAACCACTTAAGCACTGTGCCACTCATCCCAACACATGATTCAAGACGGGATATTAAAATATTATGGTCAACAGTGTCAAAGGTTGCCGTTAGATCTAAAAGTACAAGGACTGCTGAACGGCCAGAGTCTGAAATTAAAAGATCATTAAAAACTTTTAAAAGAGCCGTTTCTGTGCTGTGCAAAGATTTAAAACCCGATTGGAATTTTTCACAGATATCAGAAGATTTAAGGTGCGACTGTAGTTGAGCAAAGACCACTTTTTCGAGAATTTTGGACAGAAAAGGCAGCTTTGAAATTGGCCTATAATTAGATAAAACAGAATAATCCAAATTATGTTTTTTTAAAAGAGGCTGGACAATAGCCTGTTTAAAAGCACTGGGAACAATACCAGAAGTTAGGGAAGCATTTACCAAATTCAAAATGCAAGGACCAACAGAGTCAAAAACATCCTTTAACAGTCTAGCTGGAAGGTTATCCAGTGGACAGTTAGATGGTTTTAAGCTCTGGACAACCTTTAACAGTTCAGACAATGAAATACAGTCAAAGTCACTGAAAACAGCTGCACTAGGATCAGTGGGTACAAAAGGAAAAGATGACCGTATATTCAATATTTTGTCGATAAAGAACTGGCAAAACTTCTCACACAAAGAAGCACAAGATAAGTTTAGATAATTCTGTACTAAAATAAAATGAAATCTAACTTTAGCGTACCGGTAATAAAGAAGCAAGAATAACATCTATAACTTTAGCATACATTGAGAGTAGCTGCACCTGTCTGAGCCTCAAGGGGGCTTTGCAGTCCACCTGGAGGGCGTCTGTGAGCAGCGAGGCCATCCCGTCCCTGATCTGGTTCTGCAGCGCTGCCTGTTCATTCTGCAGCTCCTCCTCCCAGTCCACCGCGTCCAGCTCACACACTGCATTGTGATGCTCCAACAGAAGGTACCGCATTTTCTGCCTGAAGATCTAAAGGAACGCAAGGTTAAAGTGGTGTCTCCCTGGACTCTCTCTCTCTGGTCTCTCTCTGGTCTCTCCCTGGACTCTCTCTCTCTGGTCTCTGTCTCAGGTCTCTCTCAGGTCTCTCTGGTCTCTCTCTGGTCTCTCTCTCTCTGGTCTCTCTCTGGTCTCTCTCTGGACTCTCTCTCTCTGGTCTCTCTCTGGTCTCTCCCTGGACTCTCTCTCTCTGGTCTCTCTCTGGTCTCTCTCTGGACTCTCTCTCTCTGGTCTCTCTCTGGTCTCTCCCTGGACTCTCTCTCTCTGGTCTCTGTCTCAGGTCTCTCTCAGGTCTCTCTCTCTGGTCTCTCTGGTCTCTCTCTGGTCTCTCTCTCTGGTCTCTCTCTCAGGTGTCTCTCTCTGGTCTCTGTCTCAGGTCTCTCTCTGGTCTCTCCCTGGACTCTCTCTCTCTGATCTCTCTCTGGACTCTCTCTCTCTGGTCTCTCTCTGGTCTCTGTCTCAGGTCTCTCTCTGGTCTCTCTGGGCTCTCACTGGTCTCTCTCTCTGGTCTCTCTGGTCTCTCTCTCATGTGTCTCTCTCTGGTCTCTTTCTGGTCTCTCAGGTCTCTTTCTGGTCTCTGTCTCAGGTCTCTCTCTGGTCTCTCTCTCTGGTCTCTCTCTCTGGTCTCTCTCTGGTCTCTCTCTGGTCTCTCCCTGGATTCTCTCTCTCTGGTCTCTCTCTGGTCTCTCTCTGGACTCTCTCTCTCTGTGTCTCTCTCTGGTCTCTCCCTGGACTCTCTCTCTGGTCTCTCTCTGGTCTCTGTCTCAGGTCTCTCTCAGGTCTCTCTCTCTGATCTCTCTGGTCTCTCTCTCTCTGGTCTCTCTGGTCTCTCTCTCAGGTGTCTCTCTCTGGTCTCTGTCTCAGGTCTCTGTCTCAGATCTCTCTCTGGTCTCTCTCTCTGGTCTCTCCCTGGTCTCTCCCTGGACTCTCTCTCTCTGATCTCTCTCTGGACTCTCTCTCTCTGGTCTCTCTCTGGTCTCTCCCTGGACTCTCTCTCTCTGGTCTCTCTCTGGTCTCTGTCTCAGGTCTCTCTCTGGTCTCTCTGGTCTCTTTGGTCTCTCTCTGGTCTCTCTCTGATCTCTCAGGTCTCTCTCTGGTCTCTGTCTCAAGTCTCTCTCTGGTCTCTCTCTCTGGTCTCTCTCTGGTCTCTCTCTGGCCTCTCCCTGGATTCTCTCTCTCTGGTCTCTCTCTGGACTCTCTCTCTCTGGTCTCTCTCTGGTCTCTCCCTGGACTCTCTCTCTCTGGTCTCTCTCTGGTCTCTGTCTCAGGTCTCTCTCAGGTCTCTCTCTCTGGTCTCTCTGGTCTCTCTCTCAGGTGTCTCTCTCTCTGGTCTCTCTCTGGTCTCTCCCTGGACTCTCTCTCTCTGATCTCTCTCTGGACTCTCTCTGGACTCTCTCTCTCTGGTCTCTCTCTGGTCTCTGTCTCAGGTCTCTCTCTGGTCTCTCTGGTCTCTCTGGTCTCTCTCTCAGGTGTCTCTCTCTGGTCTCTCAGGTCTCTCTCTGGTCTCTGTCTCAGGTCTCTCTCTGGTCTCTCTCTCTGGTCTCTCTCTGGTCTCTCTCTGGTCTCTCTCTGGTCTCTGTCTCAGGTCTCTCTCAGGTCTCTCTCTCTGTCTCTCTGGTCTCTCTCTGGTCTCTCTGGTCTCTCTGGTCTCTCTCTGGTCTCTCTGGTCTCTCTGGTTTCTCTGGTCTCGCTGGTTTCTCTCTCTGGTCTCTCTGGTCTCTCTGGTCTCTCTCTCTGGTCTCTCTCGTCTCCCTGTACCTTCATATGTGCCTGATGTCTCATGGTGGCCTCCTCCATGTCCTGGTCCAGGTTTCTCAGCAGTGCCTGGGCCTCTTGCTGTTGTCTCTCGGTGACGTCCCAGACCGAGCGGACCATCTCCCGCTCGCAGCTGAAGTAGTTCAGCTCGTTCTTCTGTCGCTGCAGTTCCTGCCGCAGACGCCGCACCTGCTCCTCCAACTACAACAAAAACAGATCAAGCATTTACCATTAAGAAAACTTGGAGAGAACACAGGGTTGAGATTCCTTTTCCTTTTAAAGTTGCCTAAACCGATGCCTGTGCAAACATATAACACATATAAAACCTTACAAAAAATGTTTTTATGTTTTTATGCAAGCCTCACCTATTTGTACTTTTACAACTTGTTTGCACCTTGAGCCAAAGCCGTGTGTGACTTCCTGTTACTCACAAAAAAATAACTCTGATTCTGATTTAAAGGCTTCAAAGAACCAGTGTATGATGTTGCATATCATTTAGTATGATGCTACAAAATTAATTGAATTAAATTGCAATTTGGTGGCTACAATTAGAAAAATCTTAACGGCAGTAATTAACATCAGGGGCAGACGTTGGAGCTGGAGTTCCCCCGTGAAAGAAGGCATGTGATTGGTCACTCCTTATATGGCTCATATCTGGATTTACAAAAAATATATCATAATCTATCACAGAGATGTTTGAAGATAAATGGTGAGTGTTCACAAACGGAGTTTACTTTTACATCAGTCAATAGGACCTGGACCCAAAACCTGTTCCGACCTGTTCTTTGGACGTCTCATCCTTGTTGAGGCCGTCTATCACAGGCGGAGGTGATGGCTTCTTGCCGGTTTGCTTTTTTGGTGGCTGTGAAAAGACAAAAGGAAAGCCTAAATTTATCCTGGGAACTATAATTCAAGAACATACACTGATAATTTACAAATGTGCGTTCTTATAGAATTCAGCTCAGCTCCTTTTTATACATCTAGGTATCACTTTTGAAGCTGATTTTCCAACCACTGTGTAATCAAATGTTTTCTGTCTGAAGAAGTGGCCAAAGATACACGTGATTAGATGGATTTTATTGTTAGCATATAGTTGTTTATAGTTTGAAAATTGGCTACCCCGTCTATAAGAGTCTGTGAGTTGATTGGTCTAATGAGAAGGACACAACATTCAACAATATTTATGGTCATTATGGACATTGGTAATCTGCCCTTTAAGAACCAAAGTGATTTATCGTTGCATTTCTGTGTTTTTAATGTGTTGATTCTCTGATCTGTGTTGGAGAGTTCACAGGTTTTGTTCAGTCCTTCAAGAATACTACAGTTGTGATATATGACTGTACTATAGACTGTATATATTATACATTTAATTGAATTTAATTCTGTATTCAAATGTTGTAGCTATTTCTATATCTAAATGTGCCTTTAAGAGTCACAGTCTGGTTATGTGAGAGTCACAATCTAGTTATGTGAGAGTCACAGTCTGGTTATGTGAGAGTCACAATCTAGTTATGTGAGAGTCACAATCTAGTTATGTGAGAGTCACAATCTAGTTATGTGAGAGTCACAATCTAGTTATGTGAGAGTTACAGTCTGGTTATGTAAGAGTCACAGTCTGGTTATGTGAGAGTTTCGGTTAGGAGCAGTTACTTTGGTTAAAAGTATAAAGGAGGATATTCCCACATTTTAGGAAACACAGAATTCATAGAATTATCTACAGAACAGTAACATTCAGTACAGAAAGGGCAGTGAGACTAAATATCGGGATCGTAGGAAGTCCTCTTGTTTTTCATTATTTTCTATCATTTTTGGGAAAAAATGCTTGAGTCGTTCATTAAGCTAGCTCGAGTTGTTAAATAAGCTATCTAGTCTATAAATTAGTGACTATAACCAAATGAAAGCACTTTAAACAAACTCACCATGTTGAAAAATCCAGTTTGCTTCAAAACATAGCGTTTTCATGAACAGGTGTGAGGCCGCTGTCATGGCAACGGGAAAAACATACCCACATGTACATTATAACAAAGAAATAGCAAATATTGTCACAAAAAAAATTACGGACGTGTTCAAATTTGATACAGAAATAAGACCAAGAATACAAGAGTTAAAAATAGAACATTTAATTATATTTACAATTAAATGAGCTCCTATCTAACTGGCTAATCCTATCTAACTGGCTAACCCGATCTAACTGGATAACCCTATCTAACTGGCTAACCCTATCTAATCCTATGAGCTGAGCGTAAAGCAACTGTCCCTAAACTATGGGAGAGGACAATCCAGGCGCTCTGCAAATGTCCTCTGTCTATCTGTCCCTGCTCAGACTACTCACAAAGCATCCAACCAACACTTTTATCAAAATGTCCAATGACGTCATATGGTGAGACCATATGAGGCCCTCAGAGGCCCTCGTCTGGGTCTGGTCTACTCCAGTTTTGGGTCTCAGGCCTCGTTCTGATAAGAGAGACACGCTGTTCCTGAAAATGATACTTTTATCACAGAAACCTTGTCATTGAGTCTTCTCTGAATTCCACTAAATCTAGGCTTAATATTGCACAAAGACATTTTATGCTAACACCTCATGATAATCATTAGTTTACAACATTTTAATTCTACAACACAAAGCAAAAAGTATTTTATTTAACGGGCAGACATTTATTTACTCATGAAGCTATTACCTCAGACACAAGACCAAGCAGGGAGAGAGAGAGACCAGAGAGAGACCAGCGAGAGACCAGAGAGAGACCAGAGAGAGACCAGAGAGAGACCAGAGAGAGACCAGAGAGAGACCAGAGTAAAGGACTAAAGAGAGAGACCAGAGAGACCAGAAAGAGACCAGAGAGAGACTAGAGAGAGACCAAAGAGAGCGATTGCAATAGATTGTAACATGGTTAACGCAACACCAACAACATGATTTTCATGATTTTACTTTGTAAACAGGAAGCAGTGAGTAAACAGTCTTATGTTTAACGGACCACATTTATTTCTGTTTTGTTTTGAAACGTCGAACCGGAGGTGACTCGAAAGCAGGAAGTGCAGGCTCAGTGTAGATAACAGGAGCCAAGGCTGAAGGAATCCTGCTGCTGCCCGCACTCTGAGCACCTCTGTGCGGACAGGAACCCCAGGACCCCCCGGCAACACCTCCAGGACCCTCTGTGCCACACGACAGCAGGATGGCCTCTCTGAGTACCCGAGGGCTCCACTGTGAGTGTGCCTCCGTTATTATTATAATCTATATTCATGTGTTATTAATGTGTTATTAACATTACTACTGTACTGTGTGATCGTGGCGACTCGTGCTGACTCCAATCTTAAGTTAGTTCACATTATCTGGCCCCAAAAGCGATACATTTGCGCAAAGTGGAGAGCTTGCACTGCGGTGAAGTCGGTTTCCTTAAAGTAAAACAGGTTCTTTCTTTTCTTGTGATGAAAGCGTTCTGAGTTACACAATTCCTCTGTTATCAACTTGCGTAATGTGAGTAGTGGACTCCTAGAGGCGGACTGCGGAACAGCAGCGGACTGACAGTGGCACAAGTACTGCGGCTGTGGAACTCGGAAAACTACGATATACTTAGTTCATAAATAGGGTTATTTATGTAACTCAACCTCTGAGTTTTAGTGGTTCTTTGTGGAAGGGTCCAAGTGAGGACAGTGATGGTCCGGGACATTTCTGCACAGTTTGTTAACTATGGACCGTGTGTGTCCTTAATAAAGATTATTATAATAATAATAGTGGTCATCCCGCTCCTTTTAGACCAATGGTTTGTGTTTGTTGTTATTGTTATTATTGTTTTTATTGTTATTATTGTATTTCCTGTGTTTGGTTCTTTGATCTGTTGTTGAGGAAACGATAATCCTTCGTGAATTAGCACTACACAAAAATACATTGAATTGAACTGATATACACCAGGCCTTTTTATGATGTCGATGATTATATGGCCCATGTTTAATTACACAAATTATAAACAAAAATAATTATTTTTATTGCCATTGTAAGCAACAGGAAGTCACAAATCAGGAATTTGCTTTGCTATCAGTGCATTCAAATTATATTATTATTATTATAGATATAAGGCAAGAATGAAAATAATAAAACAAAAATTCATACCTTTTCTTATAATTACTAATAAAATATGGTTGGAAAAATCTAGCTCACATTGTAAGTTGGGGGAGCTAAATGGAAAGGGTTGGCGAGCTACTGGTAGCTCCCAAGCTACAGGCCCCTGATGCTGTAGTCTGTGCAGGTGTTCGGAGGAGTCTGCAACTCTGTCTGAGGAGGACGTCAACCGCTGCAGCTTTGGCCCCGACAGAGGCCCCAGAAGCCCAGGAGAGCAGGTACCAGGGCCCCCCTCACACAGAGGCCCCCCCTCACACAGAGGCCCCCCCTCACACAGAGGCCCCCCCTCACACAGAGGCCCCCCCTCACACAGAGGCCCCCCCGTCACACAGAGGCCCCCCCGTCACACAGAGGCCCCCCCGTCACACAGAGGCCCCCCCGTCACACAGAGGCCCCCCCGTCACACAGAGGCCCCCCCGTTACACAGAGACCCCCCGTCACACAGAGGCCCCCCCGTCACACAGAGGCCCCCCCGTCACACAGAGGCCCCCCCGTCACACAGAGACCCCCCCGTACACAGAAGCCCCCCGTACACAGAGGCCCCCGTCACAGAGGCCCCCCGTCACAGAGGCCCCCCGTCACAGAGGCCCCCCGTCACAGAGGCCCCCCGTACACAGAGGTCCCCCGTACACAGAGGTCCCCCGTACACAGAGGCCCCCCGTACACAGAGGCCCCCCGTACACAGAGGCCCCCCGTACACAGAGGCCCCCCCGTACACAGAGGCCCCCCCGTACACAGAGGCCCCCCCCACGTACACAGAGGCCCCCCCGTACACAGAGGCCCCTCTCACAACACCCGCACAGAATAAAAAATGGAAGTTTTGATTATGTCATATTTTGACAGGTCCAGTATGTAAAAAAAAAAAAAAAGACTAGAGAGTGAGACCAGAGGGAGAGAGTGAGACCAGAGGGAGAGAGTGAGACCAGAGGGAGAGAGTGAGACCAGAGGGAGAGAGTGAGACCAGAGGGGGAGAGAGTGAGACCAGAGGGGGGGAGAGTGAGACCAGAGGGGGAGAGAGTGAGACCAGAGGGGGAGAGAGTGAGACCAGAGGGGGAGAGAGTGAGACCAGAGGGGGAGAGAGTGAGACCAGAGGGGGGGAGAGTGAGACCAGAGGGGGAGAGAGTGAGACCAGAGGGGGGAGAGAGTGGGACCAGAGGGGGAGAGAGTGAGAGACCAGAGAGGGAGAGAGTGAGAGACCAGAGAGGGAGAGAGTGAGAGACCAGAGAGGGAGAGAGTGAGAGACCAGAGAGGGAGAGAGTGAGAGACCAGAGGGGGAGAGAGTGAGAGACAGACCAGGGGGAGAGACCAGAGGGGGAGAGAGTGAGAGACCAGAGAGGGAGAGAGTGAGAGACCAGAGAGAGTGAGAGACCAGAGAGGGAGAGAGTGAGAGACCAGAGAGAGTGAGAGACCAGAGAGAGTGAGAGACCAGAGAGAGTGAGAGACCAGAGAGAGTGAGAGACCAGAGAGAGTGAGAGACCAGAGAGAGTGAGAGACCAGAGAGAGTGAGAGACCAGAGAGCGTGAGAGACCAGAGAGCGTGAGAGAGAAAACAATACTGTTGAAAATGGTTCATCCCAAAATGCTATTGTACTAAAAAACTAATAATCTTTGGATGAGACTAAGGGAAAATAAATTAAAATTGTCTGAGACAATATTTATCGATATTGCTCATAATCCCCCATAACTTCAGCCTGTTCCTGTGCTTCAGGATAATCAATAATCGATGTTCCTGTGCTTTAGGAAGCCAAAGACCGGGATCCTGATGCTGAACATGGGAGGCCCTGAGAAACTGGAGGACGTGCACGACTTCCTCCTGCGTCTCTTCATGGACACAGACCTCATGAAGCTCCCAGTGCAGAAGTGAGAAAACAGAGCCTTGTCCGTCTGTTTACGGTCCATGTGTAAATCAGATCTCTCTCTAAGGTGTATTCAGACCTGAAAAGTCCTTTGCTCCGCTTGCTTGATCCGAATCAAAAGTGGACCAAACATTTTTCTTTTGCGCCGGTTCGTATTCAGACTGTCCTTTTTGCAAGTGAACTTTTTTATATAAACATATTGACACGTGTGACGATCGGCGCTCCTATTGAACAGCAAGAGCTCGCGGAGGATAGACGCGGAACCGGCAGAAAACATTGAAGGCTCGTATGTGCAGCATGTCTGCTCTGCCTATGTTTGCTCTTTTTAGAGCAAAACCACCTTCAACATCAACAGCAGCTCATATGACACAGGCGAAACACGTTGTTTTAAATATTGGAACAGTGTCGGAGAATGCGTGAGGAGAAAGCCGAAGGAGACTGTGTGCTCCGTGCCCTGTCCCACACATGGATCTATGATAATAACGGCCCTGTTCAGCATTGTGGATAAACCATGGATCTATAATAACCACGGGACAAACAGACGCTGAGGATCAGGTAGGAACCAAAGAACATAATTCACTACATTATGCGGAATATTACTCTTTGAGATGTGAGTCAAACAGTGTCAGGCTTTTAATAATGCAAATGGTTTGAAGATGCTGCCATTAACTCATTCACTGCCAGCCATTTAAAAAGCAGAATCCCTCATACTGCCAGAGATTTTGGACATTTTTAGTGTTTTTCCGAACCGCATAGAAATGTGAGCCCTTGGTTGACACACGTATGACACATACCAAATGAAAGCTCTATCCCTTGGCTTTCTTTTTCTTTTCAAAGTAAGTTTATAACCCTTTTAGTTTTTTTAGCAATTGAGAGTGCAACATAGGTAACTTTCACACAAAATGCTGTTTCCTGACCAAGATTTGGAGGAAACAGCCTTTTTGTGAAACGCGCATTTTCAAGCAGAAAAGTGTTTTTTTTTTGTCTTTACTGATATTTTACAATGTATGACAGTTTCTTATTATGACACAAAACAGAAACAATACTTTGAATTGTATTTTGAATGTATAATTATTATTAAACAAATTAAACGTGTACACACAATACACTCAAAGGATTGTCTTATGTACACATACAATATTCAACTTGTATACAATAAAAACACTTTGTATACAGATATACAGTAAAAATAACACTTTCTGAATACTTTGAAACAATTTTACTTTAGTTTATAAAGAATAGTAATTAGGTGACCCCACACTCTGCTGAAGTGTGGGGTGGAATCTACTTCCTCCGCACTCCCAATACATTTCCAGATTAGTTTTTTTTTACAAACCCAATGAGAAATGTCAAACCAAAAAAGGTTTTTAGCTGCAGACTGTCACTGGATTCCATGCTGTTTCTCTGCTGAATAGGAGACGCTGTGTGTGTGCACTGAAATATTGTGCTGCATACAGCTTTGTCTGTTTGACAACAAGATCCAGGATCCAGAAGTTCATCAGTTATGAAGAGCTGCAGAAGTCAGCTGCTGATCCAACTCAAGCTCTGCTGCAGCATTTTGGGGTCCTGGGGTCAACAATCTACAACACAAAGGAAAATATAAAATCACCATACATTTTCACATTATAACAAGTGTTTTGGCTTCAGCAGCTATGACATTGAGATAAAAAAAAAACTCTTCAATACTCGCTAAAAACGCTACTTTATGTTTATTTTTAGTATAGTATAAGCCAGTGATTGCTATCACTCCCTCCAGAATCTCTCAATGTTTGAACGCAAAATCACGCAGACTCCGTGATCAGAGCAACAGGGAGAGAGTCTCTCTCCCCCTGTTCCAAAGCAGCAGCGGGCGCGCTCCTGACGCACCCTCCACAGTGAGACGCACCACAGCAGAATGCACAACATGGTGTCGTAAATCTAACACTTGTTGCTCATCATGGGTCCCGCTCACCGGTCTGCCATGGATCACCTCCCCCTGTCCCTTCTATAAACCACACGGTAACATCATCCATAGCTCCCTGGCAGCTAATGCTGCATGCCAGATTCACACGCCTCCAAACTCAACAGGGAAACTTTTGAGAAACTGTCCCGCGTAGTCAAGCATTTTACCCCGCAATAGTCATTCATCAATCAACAATTGCGCGCAAAATCCTGGAGGGGCTGATAGTACATTAGACAAAGAGGAGAAATAAACTCGTAAATGCAACATGTTGAAGTGAAAAGCAACTTACCACATTACGACGGGGGGAGGAGCCGCTGCTGGACGAGGAGGGAGGGAGGGGGGCTCCGAGGATCCTGGAGTCTCATGTTAACTAAAACCTGAAGAACTAGCATCGTGGCATCTAGCTGCTTCATATTTATCCGTTTGATGACTGAACAGGCTCTCAAACAGTGTTAGCTGCGTGAACTTCTCAGATCCGCGGTCCTTTGTAAGCATGGCTGCTCCTCTGGCTTTTACCCGCTCACAGCACCACATGCCCCCTTCTCCCTCCCTGGATCTGGCCACAGTGTCACCTCTGCCCCCTACAGGATCGGTTCCAAAGTGTTTACAGGTCTGAAATGTTGACACAGGATGCACAAGAGCCTTGACGAGCCATAGAAAGGCTTTAGATTGACGTCTATAGGCGTCAATGGCAGTGAATGAGTTAACATCAATGTATACTGTGAAAAGTTTTAACTCCATAAGCCTGTTGCACAGCGTCTCCTCACTGCTCCAGGTCTGCCCACGGCTCATTGTTGTTGTGTAGCGTTAGCAGCATTGTTAGCAGCATAGTTAGCAGCATAGTTAGCCGCAGTGGCGGAGCCAGACTTTTAAACAGAGGGTGGCCAGGGGGTGGCAAGGTTTTTTTTAAGGGGTCCACATTTATACTATTCCGAAATTTTATTTCATACAAAAACTGGCTAAACGATACATTTTAATATTAATCTTGTCATTATTTTTAATATAACGTGAACTGAGAGCACACTTGGAAACTACAAAGCAAAAAAGTGTATTTAAATAGTAGTCTGAACAAAAAAGTGCAAAATAACATTCAAACATTGCATTACATTTTTCTTTTAACAAATTTAGAAAATTCCTACGGTTCTGGTGTAAAGCAGCAAAGATGTTGACAAACTCATCCATATTCAGCCCTGAGCCCTCCTTGACTCTACACTGAGGATACACTGAGGATACCAAGATGACTCAATCATCTGCCATGGTAGTTCTGAGATGGTTTTTAATAAGTTTTAGGGCAGAGAAACTTATTTCACAAGACGCAGTACTGACAGGTATTTAAAAGATCTTTGCAAGCCTCAAAAGCTCATGAAACACTTTCCAAACGTTCCAAAAGGACAAGGAAGTCCAATAGGGACTCTCTAATCCATTTTTTCCTCCCAAGAAGCCGCCTAGTTTGACGTACCTCATGCTTAAGGTCCTCTATGGCCCTGTCCACACGAAGTCAAGCTCAGGCCTAAACGCAAAAATACTTTATCAATCCAGTGTATCGTCCATACGAGGCCGGCGTTTTGGGGGGGTGTAAACGAACATTTTTGAAACTAGGTCCCAGAGTGGAAAGATTTCAAAACTCCGTATATGCCGCTCCGTGGTTACTGCCTCTCCGCAATGTATCTGAGACGCTTGCGTCATCGCCCCGCCTCTTGTTAAAGCACGCATGCGCCGCACTCAGAAAATAATGACAACAACAATGTAGCTTGTTGGTTTTGTAATCCAGTGCGACCCGAAGCAACAGTTCAACCTCATCGTCCGTCCATACTAATGTAGTACCAGCTCGCCCACTCGCCATGTTGTCTGTTTACAAAATTCCGCGCATGCCCACGGAAGTTTGGGCTTGATCCCGTCATTGCGTCACAGCGCCACCAACAGGTCTGGCATAGTTTCACAGCGTTTTCAGGCGTATTGACTACATTCATATGGACGCACACATTTACTGAGCTAACTCCGTGTTTACAGAAAAAGTTTCTGAAATTATAAGCGTTTTGTCTTCGTGTGGATATAGCCTATATCTGACTCAAAGGTTCTGCCAAATGAAAACAGGGGCTCTTCTTTCAAAAATATTTTGGGGTTAAGCGACTGCACTCCATCCATAATCTTAGCTATTTTTTTTCTTTTTTTGTGTGTGAAAAAACGCCTTCTGCCAATAGACAATCCTGCACCTGTCTGCGACACCCTCTCATTCTCTGAAACTCAATTATATAAGCTATATTTTAATACAACACAACAAATTCCTCATCATCTCAAAACATACTGCCTCTGAGTCTGACCTTCAGGTTTCATCATCCTGATCTACAGGCCTTTTCTTTACAAAAAAAGGCCTGTAGGCAATGTTTCCTCCTTTTCTTTTCATCTTTACACTAAAGGGAAGAGGGCAATGATACAATGGGCAATTAATAATGGAAAATACACACGCATGCACACCCGCACGCACACACACGCACACAGGCACGCACACACGTACACAGGTACGCAGACCCACACTGGCACACACAGGCACACACACGCAGACACACTGGCACGCTGACACACGCACACAGGCGCGCATACAGGCACGCATACGCACACACAGATACACACACTAAAAGTTCTACAAACTGAACAAGTAATGCGCTGCAGTACGTGTGTCAATACTTTGTGTCAAATGTAAACGTTGGCTCTGCATCGCTAACTTACCTCTTTGTTTTCATCACGACTTGGGCACACCTGAGTCCAACAACCCAAAGCATTAGCATACAGCACTGGCTCCACACGGAGTCAGGGTGCGTTCATAGACGGGGGAAACCGTGGGAATTTTTAGCTTTTGGCGGAAAAAGTGCGGAAGATTCTCAAGATTAACATTATTACATTGCCGTCTTCCGAGGGGGGCACTGGGGGTGGCAAGGATATTTTTAGAGGTGGCAGTGGCCACCCTGGCTACCCCTCTGGCTCCGCCACTGGTTAGCCGCTGCATGGCTAATTCCTCAGTTTCTGTCTGCGGTGGCTTGTTAAGCCCAAAAAATGCGCGCGTATCTTGGAGTTGTGTCGGATCGACACCGGATGTATTCAGACCTGATTCGACTTGGACCAGAATTCGTTTGGAAGCTTCGATTCTTTGGTCCGGACCAGGATTCGTTTGTGTGTAATCAGACCTGCATAAAAGCTTCGAATCAGAGTTCCAAACGAATCCTGGTCCGTTTAAAGTGGAGCAAATGTGTAGTCTGAATACACCCTAACTTCTAAATTGAATTGTCTTTGTTTGTTTGCAGTAAACTGGGGCCATTCATCGCCAAACGCCGCACGCCAAAGATCCAGGAGCAGTACGGCCGCATCGGCGGAGGCTCCCCTATCAAGCACTGGACCTCCATGCAGGGGGAGGGCATGGTGAGGTTGCTGGACCACATGAGCCCCGACACGGGTAAGTTTCCATCCATTCATTTTCTACCCCTAATCCATTTCTGGGTGGGGGGTGGCAGTCAGAGCTGCACTGAGCACAGAGCACCAGCCCCTCACTGATCCTCCTGCAGGTGCTGAGTCCACAGGAGGCTGCTCTGTAAGTGTGAGCATAGTCTTGATCTTTCAGCGGGGGCTTTTTGGGCAAAGTGGGGTTAAGTGTCTTGCCCAAGGATCAGTGGGAGATGGTGGAGAAGGTTTCGAGTGTGTGTGTGTGTGTGTGTGTGCAGCAGATAATGGCTGTCTGTAGGAGCGATCAGTACATGGACCTCAGATAACAGAACCTCCCTGTTTGGGGCGGGACACGAGCATCGCTCCTCTCACTTTTCTGGAGTTTTTGACTCGTGTAGAATTTATCTTTATTCATCTGTGTTTTTAATTCTTTAATTTTAATTTTTTTGTAAAGTCCTTCCTTTTGTTTGCCTGATAGACCAGAGAGGGAGAGAGACCAGAGAGGGAGAGAGACCAGAGAGGGAGAGAGACCAGAGAGGGAGAGAGACCAGAGAGGGAGAGAGACCAGAGAGGGAGAGAGACCAGAGAGGGAGAGAGACCAGAGAGGGAGAGAGACCAGAGAGGCCAGAGAGGCCAGAGAGGCCAGAGAGGCCAGAGAGGCCAGAGAGGCCAGAGAGGCCAGAGAGGCCAGAGAGGCCAGAGAGGCCAGAGAGGCCAGAGAGGCCAGAGAGGCCAGAGAGGCCAGGTTGGCTGCTTTAACATAAACATCCATGGTTTGTGTTTGTCGTGTGCAGCTCCTCACAAGTTCTACATCGGGTTCCGGTACGTGCACCCGCTCACGGAGGAGGCCATCGAGCAGATGGAGAAGGACGGAGTGGAGCGGGCCGTGGCCTTCACACAGTACCCCCAGTACAGCTGCTCCACCACAGGTCTCACTGAGCATGGGTCTATGGGTCTATGGGTCTATGACTCATATGGGTCTATGGCTCATATGGGTCTATGCCTCATATGGGTCTATGGCTCTATGGCTCATATGGGTCTATGGCTCATTTGGGTCTTTTTCACTTTCTAAGCAGTCGATTTTATGGGTTTTAGTTCTGTGTAGTTACTGCTGATGTACATGTGTGCTCTTCCAAAATGTGTCACTTATATAACCCTTGTTTCAAAGTGCTTGTCCTGGGACAGTTCTGGGTCAATGGGACATTACAGTGGATCTGTCTGTCTCCGCAGGCAGCAGTCTCAACGCCATCTACCGTTACTACAGCGACAGAAGCGAGCGACCCAAAATGCGCTGGAGCGTCATCGACCGCTGGCCCACACACCCCCTACTGGTGGAGGTGAGCGTGGACCAGAAAGAGACCAGAGGGAGAGAGACCAGAGGGAGAGAGACCAGAGGGAGAGAGACCACCCAGAGGGAGAGAGAGACCAGAGAGTGACCATTTGTCTCTGTGTGTGTGTCTCTTTGTCTGTGTGTGTGTATGTGTACGGTATGTGTCTGTCTGTGTGTTGGATACTCACGCTGTGGTGTTTTGTCAGTGTTTTGCTGATCATGTGAAGAACGAGCTGCTGAAGTTCCCAGAAGACAAACGAGACGATGTTGTCATTCTTTTCTCTGCCCACTCCCTGCCGCTTGCTGTGAGTGTCACTCACACTCACTCTCACTCTCACTCACTATATTCTTTACAAGGATTACGATGAATCCCTCTGTGTTCACATTGTTACTATAATAGCTCCACAAATGACTTATGTATTTAACTGTATGTACCCGTGCAGGTGGTGAACAGGGGCGACCCGTACCCTCAGGAGGTGGGGGCGACAGTGCAGCGTGTCATGGAGCGACTGGGACACTGCAACCCCTACAGACTGGTGTGGCAGTCCAGGGTCAGTACACAGACACACACACACAGACGCACAGACAAAGACACACACAGAGACACAGACACACACACACACACACACACATAAGTGGAGGTCAGAGACCTTAGTAAGTGGACGTCAGAGACCTCAGTAAGAGGAGGTCAGAGACCTCAGTAAGAGGAGGTTAGAGAACATTTGGTATGATAATATGAAAAGAACCTACACAAGGTTAGAGGTCTGTAATTCCTCACTCTTGTGTGTGAAGTGTGCCATACGATTCACCCTGTCCCTGCAGCTGGGGCCTCATTAACCCTGTTCCTGCAGCTGGGGCCTCATTCACCCTGTCCCCTGCAGCTGGGGCCTCATTAACCCTGTCCCCTGCAGCTGGGGCCTCATTAACCCTGTCCCCTGCAGCTGGGGCCTCATTAACCCTGTCCCCTGCAGCTGGGGCCTCATTCACCCTGTCCCTGCAGCTGGGGCCTCATTAACCCTGCAGGTAGGGCCCATGGCGTGGCTGGGTTCTCATTAACCCTGTCCCTGCAGGTGGGGCCCATGGCGTGGCTAGGGCCTCAGACGGACGAAGTCATCAAAGGCCTGTGTGAGCGCGGGAAGAAGAACCTGCTGCTGGTGCCCATCGCCTTCACCTCAGACCACATCGAGACACTGCACGAGCTGGACATCGAGTACAGCCAGGTGCTGGGGGCCGAGGTCAGACACGCACACACAGAAACACACACACAGAAACACACATACAGAAACACACATACACACGTTTTTGTTACCTGGTGGGTCCCATTGACAGGGCCGTTCAGAATGGGACCCATAGACATGATCTTTTTTACTGGGACTACTTTAAGTAATACAAAACAGTCAATAGAAAACAAACAACTCTTTTAAAGGAATTTTATTTTTGATTTATTTTTTGAATTGCAGTGATTCTATTTTTGACATAGAATTTAATGCCACTCCATGTCCGATGTCTAAGGTCATCTGGTGAGGCATTAATGCAGGCCAGGCAGTGAGACTTCCCAGGGACTTTTCCAGTCTGTATGAAAGGCATCATGGTCTTCTCCACAGCCTTCACCTCAGATGCAGACCATGGCTTTCTTACACGTTCTAGGGAGAGAAATAAAAATATATTAGCAATATACACTCCCAGGGTTAGGACCAAGCAGCCTGGCTGTAATCCCCCACTTGGTACACTTACCAGAAGGGGCACTGCCACTACCATGCACCATGGGGTGCATCCCCATGCACCTAGATGAATGGTTGAAGGTTCTCCGCTTGAAGTTTCTTTTAGCCCGTCCGTTTGTGAGAGGATCTCTACTGCTCTCCCTGTAGCACAGAAAATAAAAATACAAGTGGCATTTAGGGGAAAAAAAATACATATTTTAATAATATCAAGAATTACCTTCAGGCTCAATTTGTATCTGGTCGAGGCTCTTTCCTTTGAATTCCGTCACTCTTCCCTGCTCCATGGCCATAAACACTTTGCTGATTTTGGCCAGCTCCAGCGTCCCCTCTGTTAGTCTGTAATATTGTCTGTGGATGCGAATGTCATGGCTGAGAACTATAGACATAGTAGCTATGTGCTTTCTAAGTTTGGTTGAGGATAGCATCTCTGGATGCACCGCACCACATTCTTTGGCCACCTGCCGTAGGGAGCCTGATCCCCTGATGTTGGTGTCTGCGCCCGGGCGGGAGAAGAAGTATGGGTTATGGTCAGAGATGGAACAGGCCCTTCTGTTCTCCACCAGCACCTCCATCGAAGCAATCATTTCAGGAGTCAAAAGAACCGGCACTTTCCGACTTCTTTTCCCTTTAATTTCAATGTGTTGAAAATGCTGACACAGCTTTTTCTCAAGTTCGGACAGTCCCAGAGCAATGTCAGAATGGATCCCAGTCTTAGTTCTTTAGGTAAACGCTGTCAGTGGCATCTTTGAAACCTCACCTTCCCTTCTTCGATTGAAAATAATGACCTCACAAAGAGAGGTCACAGAGGGGTCTGTGGCGGCTCTGTGCAGAGAGGACTGGGCAGCAGTTGAAGGCGGAGACCTCGGCGACCCAGTCCGCACACCCAACATCTGGCTCTTGGGACGTGGAACGTCACCTCACTGGGGGGGGGGAATGAGCCCGAGCTTGTGGGGGAGGTCGAGAGGTACCGACTAGAGATAGTCGGCCTCACCTCCACACACAGCTTGGGCTCTGGAACCCAACTCCTTGAGAGGGGTTGGACGCTCCACTTTTCTGGTGTTTCACGCGGGGAGAGGTGGCGAGCTGGGGTGGCCATACTTATTGCCCCCCATCTCAGCCGCCTTCGGGTGGGGGACAAGTCTCTCACTGTTGTGACGGCCTACGGGCCTAACAGCAGTGCAGAGTACTCGGCCTTCTTGGAGTCCTTGGGAGGGGTACTGGAGTGCACCGCCCGGGGACTCCGTCATTCTCCTGGGGGACTTTAACGCCCATGTGGGAAGCGCCAGTGACACTTGGAGAGGGGTGATCGGGAAGAACGGCCCCCCTGATCTGAACCCGAGTGGTGTTCAGTTGTTGGACTTCGAGCACAAGGGTGTCCACCAGTGCACGTGGCACCAGGACACCCTAGGCCGGAGGTCGATGATCGACTTTGTTGTCGTATCATCTGACCTTCGGCCGCGTGTTTCGGACACTCGGGTAAAGAGAGGGGCGGAGCTGTCAACCGATCACCACCTGGTCGTGAGTTGGATCCGCTGGCAGGGGAGGAAGCCGGTCAGACCTGGCAGACCCAAGCGTGTAGTGAGGGTCTCCTGGGAACGTCTCGCTGAGACCCCTGTCAGACAGACTTTTAACTCACACCTCCGGGAGAGCTTCTCCCAGGTCCCGGCGGAGGAGGGGGATATTGAGTCTGAGTGGACCATGTTCTCTTCCTCTATCGCCGATGCGGCGGCTCGTAGCTGTGGTTGAAAGGTCTCTGGTGCTGGTCCCGGCGGCAACCCCCGAACCCGGTGGTGGACACCGGCAGAAAGGGATGCCGTCAGGCTGAAGGAGTCCTATCGAGCCATGATGGTTCGGGGGACTCCTGAGGCAGCTGTCCAGTACCGGCTGGCCAAGCGCGCCGCGGCCCGGGCTGTTGCAGAGGCAAAAACCCGTGATTGGGAGGAGTTCGGAGAGTCCATGGAGCATGACTATCGGTCGGCCTCTAAGAGATTCTGGCAAACTGTCCGGCGCCTCAGGAGGGGGAAGCAGTTCTTTGCCAACACCGTGTACGGTGCGGGGGGTGAGCTGCTGACCTCGACTGGGGATATTGTCGGACGGTGGAAGGTATACTTCGAGGTTCTCCTAAATCTCCCGTCACGTCCTCCGCCCCGGAGGCAGAGGCTGAGGATGTTGGGGCGGATACTTCTGTCTCCCTGGCAGAGGTCACCAAGGTGGTTGGCAGCCTCCTTGGTGGCAAGGCGCCGGGAGTGGATGAGATCCGTCCTGACTATCTAAAGTCTCTGGATGTTGTAGGACTGTCTTGGCTGACATGTCTCTGCAACATCGCGTGGCGATCGGGGGCGGTGCCAATGGAGTGGCAGACCGGGGTGGTGGTCCCGCTCTACAAGAAGGGGGACCGGAGGGTGTGTTCCAATTATCGTGGGATCACACTCCTCAGCCTCCCTGGTAAGGTTTACTCCAAGGTACTGGAGAGGAGGCTACGGCCGATGGTCGAATCTCTGATTCAGGAGGAGAAGTGTGGTTTTCGCCCCGGCCGCGGAACACTGGACCAGCTCTACACTCTTCATCGGATACTCGAGGGTTCATGGGAGTTCGCCCGGAGCCAGAGCTGCGTGCGCATTGTCGGCAGTAAGTCAGACCTGCTCCCGGTGCATGTTGGCCTCCGCCAGGGCTGCCCTTTGTCACCGGTTCTGTTCACTGTATTCATGGACAGAATTTCTAGGCGCAGCCAAGGGTCGGAGGGGGTCCGGTTCGGGGACCACAGGATTTCATCTCTGCTGTTGCAGACGATGTTGTCCTGTTGGCTCCAACGAACCAGGACCTACAACATGCACTGGGACGGTTTGCAACCGAGTATGAAGCGGCTGGGATGTGAATCAGCACCTCCAAATCTGAGGCCATGGTGCTCGACCGGAAAAAGGTGCCTAGCCCTCTCCAGGTGGGTGGAGAGGCCCTTCCTCAAGTGGAGGAGTTAAAGTATCTCGGGGTCTTGTTCACGAGTGAGGGAAGGATGGAGCGTGAGATTGACAGGCGGATCGGTGCAGCGTGCGCAGTGATGCGGTCGCTGTATCGGACCATTGTGGTAAAGAGGGAGCTGAGCCGAAAGGCAAAGCTCTTCAGCGTCTCTACTTTCTGCGTAAACTTAGAGAATTTACCACTAACTCTAAGATTCTGCTTAACTTTTATCGCTGCACCATTGAGAGTTTACTTGTTGGTTCTGTGTGGTTTGGTAACATCACAGATAAAGAAAAGAGAGCTTTAAACAAGGTGCTCCGCTCTGCAAAGAGGACCGTGGGCTGTGAGCTTCCTGTTCTGGAGGTTCTTTATAAATCCAGACTTTTAAACAAAGCTCTGAGGATTGTTAATGACTCTTCTGGCCCCCCTGGAAAAGCCATGTTCCAGCTTCTTCCCTCTGGCAGAAGATATTGCTCTCTGAGATGCAGGACATCTCGTTACGCTAACAGTTTTTATCCACAAGCTGTGGATAAAAACACTTATCAGTGTGAACAGAGCACTTTAATGATTTGCACTTGTTTTGAAACTGTAAGTAAGTAAGTAATCTTTATTTATATACCGCCTTTCACAGACCAGAGTCACAAAGCGGTTTACAATTGTTATTTTTGGGCACTTGTCCTCTCACTCCACACAGAGATGGGAGCAGGGTCGCCAAACAGGAGGCGCATGCCAGACCTATTGTAAATATTTTTAGTGGTAGGGGAAACCGGAGTACCCGGAGGAAACCTACGCAGACACGGGGAGAACATGCAAACTCCACTCAGAAAGGCCCTGGTCCGACCGGGATTCGAACCCAGGACCTTCTTGCTGAGAGGCGAGAGTGCTATCCACTCAGCCACCGTGCCGCCCTAACTAACTAACTGTTTTAGTCGATCGATTTCACAGTGACATTTGTTTACTGTTTTATTTGTTTTATTTCTGTCTTTTAATGTTGTTTTATGTCTGTATTTGTCTGTGCACACTGGAGACTTTTTGCTAATGTATTCCAATGTGTTTTTTTTACTGCAAATGGCAAATAAACTGAATCTGAATCTGAGTTCGCGTGCTTTTCCATCAAAAATAGTACTCCGTAGTATGTCCTCAGCGTTGTCAGACCACGTCATTTATGTGTGGCGCGTAACTAGTACTGGTGCATGGATTTATTATAATATCAGAGCAAGTGTTTAATAGAAAATTCAGCACAGTACAAGTGGTTGTTGAAAATGCTTATGTCTTAAATGAATGACTCAGACACTGTGAAGTCAATGGTGCTGACTGCTCTGTACAATCTGAATGAGACCTTTAGCAACAGCAGCCTGTGTGTAGCAGAGGAGGAGGGCTGCATGTCCGAGGATACTGCTAGGCCATAGCTAATGCTAGCGCTAGCTCGAGACTCGGCTCACTCACTAACCCTGGATTCCAAAGCTACAACTGTACTACACTTAACACATCTATCACTACCCTCAGAGGAGGATCCAGGGTTTAAGCTCGTCATATGGCAACTCGAGCAGTAAAGGACCGAGGGAGAGACAGCGGCAACCATAGGGGTAGCGAGTTAGCGGCAAGGCTAGGCTAAGCTAGGCTAAGCTAGGCTTGTCCGGACTCGGGTCCGGACTACAGCAGACTCCGAGACCAGACAAACAATCAATACCCAAACCTCAGATACAATAATAATAAATGAATGAAACACAGTTTTGGGATACAATCACAGATTTATTGAAAACAAAAGTAAAGTGCGAAACCAACAGTTTACAAAGTCAAAAGTACGTATGTCTGAGACCAGGTCCAGGCCAGGTCTAGGCCAGGTCCAGATGAGGAGAATACTCCGGTCACTCATTACTCGTTGGTAATCTCCACACTTATGGAAAGGGATTCTCATACAAATATACACACAACAACTTAAATACAAGCACAAAACAGAATGACAACACGTGAATACTGCAGATAATACAAGATAAAGCACAGTAGCACAGGGAGGACGTTAGTTTAGCTGCTATCGATAGCTAAATGAAGTTAATTGTAGCTAGCTCACTGTGTACAACAGACAATCGAACATTTACACAGTAAATACATTTCAGTGAGAGCTTTAACGGGATTCGTAGCCAACCAGTTATTTCCAGGATTACCACAGACTAGTCACAAATCCAGAGCTGGGTGATCTCCCTGAAAACTGTGTTGAGCCTCGAGCTGCCTTTGAATTCTTTCTTCTTTCTTTCTTTGGCCTGAAGAGAGGAACGTGTGGACCTCTTCCACCAACCAGGACCAGGACTTTTGGGGCTTTCTGTGCAATTCCATTTCTCTGGAGTGAGGAGGACGTAATGTAGCCCAAACAGAGCCGAACAGAGCAGCCGGTTTTAAAGATGGCGGTTGTGTTGTTTTTCCCAAAGGTTCAGATGTCGCTTCCAGTGACGACACTCGTTGACCAATCAGTGTAAGGCAGTGGTCCGACGTGACATCATGGCACGGGTACTATGGGTATGGAACCACGGCTGAGGCAGTACGGAAAAGTACCCAAATCTCCCATACCATCCACTAGTGGAAACGCAAAATAACCGTGCTGAAGCGTACTGTACTGTACCGTACTGATACTGTGGAAAAGTGGCATAAGAATCCCCTTTTCTGCTTTGACAACACCCGTGACCTCATCCTCAGCCGAAATTAAAGACCACAGCTTTTTGCTGATGCCCTCCGGTACAGGCTGGGCTAGGGAGCAGAGGGACTGGACCCTACTTCTACCTGGTTTAGCCTGGGCATCTTTCTGTGAAAGCCGGCACCTGGCCACATGCCTCCACAGCGACTTTCGCTTAAGCAATGCACCACAGTCTATACCAGTGTTTTTCAACCACTGTGCCGCGGCACACTAGTGTGCCGTATGATATTGTCTGGTGTGCCGTGAGAAATTCGTCTACTTTGTCTAAAAATAACTGCATTCGCTGTTGACGAGCGGTGACTTGTTTTGAACTGTGGAGTAACCATGTAATACTTTTTCAAATCAGTAGATGGCAGCAGATAGCTAAGTACTTTGAAACTGAAAAATTGGATGCGACCACTGGCTACAGGTCAGCATTGTGGCGAGAAAGGTAAAATTGGATGCGACCAACAAATGTGGGAGGGAGCGAGACAAGAGCTTTGTGGCGAGTGAGAAGTGAAAGTGATAGAGACGTTTTTGAAAATGAATTATGCCGTTTCTGAACAGGATTAACATCCTCCGCTCTGCCCCGGGGCAGCTGTGGCCGCGTTGTAGTGGTTTAACTATGAAATGTACAATTTTTGTACAACAGCTCTCGCGAACGCACTTCTGAACTGGGTACCGAGCGCAGACCATAGTCGAGTGGACAGAACCACAGACATGCGGACCGGACAGAACCATGGACTCGCGTTCAGGACCTCCCGTGTCCCTCATCCAAAACTCCTGAATTTAAAGCTCGGATACCTAAATTTTTCCCATGCACTAACAATGCATGTTCTTTGTGTGAGTTATTATTTGACTATTTGGGTAGAGAGTGGATTTTCTTAGTTTTTTTCCACACAGTTAGTGCCACTTTATTCCCAAACTCTTGTTAATTGTATCGAGAAATATTAAATAAAGCTTAATGTCAAGGCCTGGACTTAAGCATTTTGATGAGAATAACTGTATATTGTGAATATAGGCTACAGAGTATACTGTATACATTATAAGATAAGATAAACTTCACACAGAGTATGTACAGTATATATTTTTTTACATTAGTACTGTATACATTTTTACATTTTCTCCTGGAGGTGTGCCGCAAGATTTTTTCAGTGAAAAAAGTGTGCCTTGGCTCAAAAAAGGTTGAAAAACACTGGTCTATACAGTTCAAAAACTCACTGGATTTAACTGGGGAATTTGGCTGTTTAGCTGGGACTAAAGTTCCAATGCCGGCCTTTAAAACCTCAAAATTGTGCTCACGGTTTCCACTATTCCTGATCAAATCTAACTGAAGTTTACGTGCTTTAGATTTCACAGGTAGAGCCAATGCTCTCTGGCTACGTCACTTTCATTTCCATGTTTTCTAGACAAATGACGGGACATTTTGTGGCAGGACATTGAACAGTAGAGGCAGAAGTGCCTCTTGCTGTAAACTCTCCCCCCATTTTTCTTCTTTTGCAGCTGCATGATAACAATCTTATTTGCCTTTGGTTTGTCACTTTCCGAGTCTTGAAGAAAAGTATTTTGGATTTTTCTTTTTCCATACTTTTTTACAGGTTTCTTCTTGACAGTTAAATCGTCAGAATCTGAGTCGACTTCATCAATTAGGGACTCTTGACTAAGCTGCACAAACAACAAATAATTTGTAATAATTAATTTAACTATATAACAATTTGAAGTCATAACTTGTAGTCAGCACTTACCAGTGGTTTGTAAGCGTGCGCTTCAGTGTGCTCCTCCATGATTTCTTGCAGCCTAATGAACCACACACTAATGAACCACACACTAATGAACCACACACCTTTCTAGCCTGACACCTGACTTCCTCTGTTGTGATGCTCCATGATTGGCTCCAGCCTGCTGGACTGAAATTGCCCCAGTGTGCCCCTCCTTGATATCCCGCAATCCACCACCAGGGTTCCGACACATAACACACTTTTTTCAGGAAAGTAAACCTCCAGGGGTCCTTTCCATATTTTTGCAGAGACTGCATAAGGACCGTTAGAAAAGCATTACCCATTGATTATTAAGCTTGGACCAGTGGGGTCCGGTGTTCGGGCCCCACCACGTAAAACCAGTCCCCATGACGCGAGTGGAATCTCAGGTTATGGACCCCACCAGGAGTTGAAAACAAGTACACACACACAGAGGCACACACAGAGACACACACAGAGACACACACACACAGAGACACACAAACACAGAGAGACAGGACTTGTGTGGTTTGTAAAGGTTTTCACTCAGAGTTGTGTGTTTTCAGTGCGGAGTTGAGAACATCAGGAGAGCAGAGTCATTGAACGGGAACCCAGTCTTCATGCAGGTTTGACATCTGTGACCCCCGTAGCACATCTGTGACCCCCCCGTAGGATATCTGTGACCCCCCCGTAGGACATCTGTGACCCCCCCGTATCACATCTGTGACCCCCGTAGGACATATGAGACCCCCCCGTAGGACATCTGTGACCCCCCCCCCCGGTAGGACATCTGCGACTCCCGTAGGACATCTGTGACCCCCTGTAGGACATCTGAGACCCCCCAGTCAGATGTGACCCCCCCACATGAAGGCCTCCTGTAGACCCATTGAGTGCTGGTTCTTTGTGGCAGGCTCTGGCGGACCTGGTCCAGTCCCACCTGAAGTCCAACGAGCCGTGCTCCCGTCAGCTGACCCTGCGCTGTCCCATGTGCACCAACCCCACATGTGGCCGCACCAAGGCCTTCTTCTCCTCCCAGAAGCTCTCATAACCCCAGGAGAGACCAGAAGGAGCCCCAGGAGAGACCAGAAGGAGCCCCAGGAGACACCAGAAGGAGCCCCAGGAGACACCAGAAGGAGTCCCAGGAGAGACCAGAAGGAGTCCCAGGAGAGACCAGAAGGAGTCCCAGGAGAGACCAGAAGGAGTCCCAGGAGAGACCAGAAGGAGTCCCAGGAGAGACCAGAAGGAGTCCCAGGAGAGACCAGAAGGAACCCCAGGAGAGACCAGAAGGAACCCCAGGAGAGACCAGAAGGAACCCCAGGAGAGACCAGAAGGAACCCCAGGAGAGACCAGAAGGAACCCCAGGAGAGACCAGAAGGAACACGAGGAGAGACCAGAAGAAACCCCAGGAGAGACCAGAAGCTCTCATAACCCGAGGAGAGACTAGAAGGAACCCGAGGAGAGATCAGAAGGAACACTGTACACACACAACGTACACACACAACGTACACACACAATGTACACACACAACCTACACACACAATCTACACACACAATCTACACACAGGAGACATTGAGCAGAGCAGTAAAACACCACCGCAGATCCAGCTGAGACTGCAACCAACGCCCTGGGATCTCACACCACGCCCTGGGCTCTCACACCACGGGCTCTCACACCACGCCACCACTTCCATCCTCTCCGACAGACTAAAGGTTTTCTGGTGTAGGTTTTCTGGTGGAGGGTCTGTTGTCTTCTCGTCTCCTGAAAAGAGTTTCTGAGGAGTTTCCCAAAGTCTGCGATACATTTATTTTTATTTCTTATTCACACTTTCAAAAGTAGCCCTGGCGTTCACTTAGTAATTATTTAGTCTCTCTCTGGTCTCTCTCTCTTGTCTCTCTCTCTTGTCTCTCTCTCTGTTCTCTCTCTCTGTTCTCTCTCTCTGGTCTCTCTCTCTGGTCTCTCTCTCTGGTCTCTCTCTCTGGTCTCTCTCGGTCTCTCTCTGGTCTCTCTGGTCTCTCTCTCTGGTCTCTCTCTCTGGTCTGAGCAGACCATGCAGCCTCCAGCAGAAACATTAGTCTAACTCCTTTATATGCTCAATATCTGCATTTGCTTCAGCGCTACGCCATTAAACCGTACCTCCATGCAGCGCAGTGTGACTCCCAGACCCTGCAACGATGACGAGCCACGACGGTGCTTTCGTCTCTTCTTCTTCATATTTAGATCGAATTATTTATTTTGTCGTTTGAGCAGCGTGTTGTAAACCGTTTGAAAAAATATGTTTAAAAGTCTTCCTTTAATTCACTTTTAACTTGAAATAAACATGTCTCAGATCTGTGTGCGTTTTAATCCTGTTTTCACCTACTCTGCTCTACTCTACTCTATTCTTCTACTCTTCTTCTCTGCTCTGCTCTACTCTAATCTTCTGCTCTGCTCTGCTCTACTCTTCTAATCTACTCTACTTTCTACTCTACTCTACTACTCTGCTCTACTCTACTCTACTCTGCTTTCCACTCTTCTACTCTGCTCTACTCTACACTGCTCTGCTCTGCTCTACTCTACACTTCTCTGCACTGCTCTGCTCTACTCTACACTACTCTACTCTACACTGCTCTGCTCTACTCTTTTACTCTACTACTCTGCTCTGCTCTACTCTGCTTTCTGCTCTACTTTCTACTCGGCTCTGCTCTACTCTGCTCTACTCTTCTACTCTGCTCTGCTCTACTCTTCTACTCTGCTCTGCTCTACTCTTCTACTCTGCTCTGCTCTACTCTTCTACTCTGCTCTGCTCTACTCTTCTACTCTACACTTCTGCTCTGCTCTACTCTGCTCTGCTCTACTCTGCTTTCTACTCTACACTGCTCTGCTCTACTCTACACTGCTCTGCTCTACTCTGCTTTCTGCTCTACTTTCTACTCGGCTCTGCTCTACTCTGCTCTACTCTCCTGCTCTACTCTACTCTGCTCTACTACTCTACTCTACTCTACTCTGCTCTACTCTGCTTTGCTCTACTCTGCTCTACTCTTCTACTCTACACTTCTGCTCTACTCTGCTCTGCTCTACTCTGCTTTCTACTCTACTGCTCTGCTCTACTCTACTCTACTCTGCTCTACTCTACACTACTCTACTCTACTCTGCTCTGCTCTACTCTTCTACTCTGCTCTGCTCTACTCTGCTTTCTGCGCTACTCTTCGGCTCTGCTTTCTACTCGGCTCTGCTCTACTCTTCTGCTCTACTCTGCTCTGCTCTACTGTTCTACTCTACTCTACTCTGCTACTCTTCTACTCTGCTTTGCTCTACTCTTCTACTCTGCTCTACTCTTCTACTCTACACTTCTGCTCTGCTCTACTCTTCTACTCTACTCAACTCTTCTGCTCGGCTCTATTCTACTCTGCTTTCTACTTTACTCTTCTAATCTACTTCTTCTCTGCTCTACTCTGCTTTCTACTCTACTCTGCTCTGCTCTACTGTTCTACTCTACTCTACTCCTCTACTCTTCTACTCTGCTTTGCTCTACTCTTGTGCTCTGCTCTGCTCTACTCTTCTACTCTACTCTTCTGCTCTGCTCTACACTTCTGCTCTGCTCTACTCTGCTTTCTACTCTTCTGCTCTGCTCTACTCTGCTTTCTACTCTACTCTTCTACTCTGCTTTCTACTCTACTCTGCTTTGCTCTACTCTTCTGCTCTGCTCTACTCTTCTACTCTACACTTCTGCTCTGCTCTACTCTTCTACTCTACTCAACTCCTCTGCTCTACTCTACTCTGCTTTCTACTCTACTCTTCTAATCTGCTCTACTCTACTCTGCTACTCTTCTACTCTGCTTTGCTCTACTCTTCTGCTCTGCTCTACTCTTCTACTCTACAGCTCTGCTCTACTCTGCTTTCTACTCTTCTGCTCTGCTCTACTCTACACTGCTCTGCTCTACTCTGCTTTCTACTCTACTCTTCTACTCTGCTTTCTACTCTACTCTGCTTTGCTCTACTCTTCTGCTCTGCTCTGCTCTACTCTTCTACTCTACACTTCTGCTCTGCTCTACTCTTCTACTCTACTCAACTCCTCTGCTCTACTCTACTCTGCTTTCTACTCTACTCTTCTAATCTGCTCTACTCTACTCTGCTACTCTTCTACTCTGCTTTGCTCTACTCTTCTGCTCTGCTCTACTCTTCTACTCTACAGCTCTGCTCTACTCTGCTTTCTACTCTTCTGCTCTGCTCTACTCTACACTCCTCTGCTCTGCTCTACTCTGCTTTCTGCTCTACTCTTCGGCTCTGCTTTCTACTCGGCTCTGCTCTACTCTGCTTTCTACTCTGCTCTGCTCTACTCTACTGTTCTACTCTACTCCTCTACTCTGCTACTCTTCTACTCTGCTTTGCTCTACTCTTCTGCTCTGCTCTACTCTTCTACTCTACACTTCTGCTCTACTCTGCACTCTACTCTACTCTTCTGCTCTACTCTGCTCTGCTCTGCTTTCTACTCTGCTTTCTACTCTTCTGCTCTGCTCTACTCTGCTTTCTACTCTGCTCTGCTTTACTCTACTCTACTCTGGTCTACTGCTCTGCTCTACTCTTTTACTCTACTCTACTCTACTCTGGTCTACTGCTCTGCTCTGCTCTACTCTACTCAGGTCTACTGCTCTGCTCTACTCTACTCTACTCTACTCTACTCTTCTACTCTACTCTACTCTACTGCTCTGCTCTGCTCTACTCTAATCTTCTACTCTTCTCTACTGCTCTACTCTACTCTACTCTTCTACTCTACTACTTTGGTCTACTGCTCTGCTCTGCTCTACTCTACTCAGGTCTACTGCTCTGCTCTACTCTACACTGCTCTGCTCTGCTTTCTACTCTGCTTTCTACTCTACTCTTCTGCTCTGCTCTACTCTGCTTTCTACTCTGCTCTGCTTTACTCTACTCTACTCTGGTCTACTGCTCTGCTCTACTCTTTTACTCTACTCTACTCTACTCTGGTCTACTGCTCTGCTCTGCTCTACTCTACTCAGGTCTACTGCTCTGCTCTACTCTACTCTACTCTACTCTTCTACTCTACTCTACTCTACTCTTCTACTCTACTGCTCTGCTCTGCTCTACTCTAATCTTCTACTCTACTTTCTACTCTACTCTACTCTTCTACTCTTCTCTACTGCTCTACTCTACTCTACTCTTCTACTCTACTACTTTGGTCTACTGCTCTGCTCTGCTCTACTCTACTCAGGTCTACTGCTCTGCTCTACTCTATTGCTCTACTCTACTGCTCTGCTCTGCCCTACCCTACTCTGCTCTGCTCACTGTTTAAAGGTAAAGGTGCACTTCATTAATCCATCCATTTTCATCCCCTTAATCCATTTCTGGGTCGGGGGGGGGGGGGTGGCAGTCAGAGCTGCACCCAGTTCACAGAGCACCAGCCCCTCACAGCCTCCTGCAGGTGCTGAGTCCACAGGAGCTGAGATCTTTCAGTATGGGCTTCTGGCAAAGTGGGGTTAACTGTCTTGCCCAAGGACACAACAACAGCAGACATCAGTGGGAGTCGTGAAGTAGGTCAAAGGCCAATGCTCTACCACCTGAGCCACTGTCGCCCCTTTATTGATCCCCGTAGGGCAATCCATCCTCTGCATTTGACCCTGATGTCCTGAGGCTTACGTCAGGAGCAGTGGTCGCCGTAGTAACAGCGCCCGGGAACCCATCTCCAGATGTTGATGCTGAAGGATTTAACCTAATGTGCATGTTTTTAGTGGTAGGGGAAACCGGAGTACCCGGAGGAAAACTACGCAGGCATGGGGAGAACCTGCAAACTCCACTCATTGGAAAGTTTAAGCAAAAGTAAAAAGGGAAGCAGCTTTAGTGACACTTTATTCTTTACCAACAAGATCAAAGAACCTCCTGGGTCCGGGCCAAGACCAGACCAGAACCGGGCCAGGTTTGATTAAAGCCGGGGTACCTGACTTTCAAACCACAACAGAGGAACTATAATAAAATCCACTTTGGCTCTAAACAGTTAATTAGACTGTTTCACATCTTCGTCACTTCTGTCTTAAAAGCAGATAAAGAGAGAACCCCCCCTCTCTCAGCCAATCAGCTGTCAGCCAATCAGCTCTCAGCCAATCAGCTCTCAGCCCAAAGAGTCAAACAGTGACGCTCAGGGATCCTACACAAACATGTTTTCTGATAAGATGAACACGGCACGTTGTGGTCTGATTTGTTCCCAACATTTACGTTCACAAGAGTCTTTCTGTTGTAAGTAACTTAAACATTTAGGTACCCCAGCTTTAAATCCTGCGTAAATCCTTCGGTCCGCTCTGTCATGCAAACTACCAGGAAGTGACACATGTGAAAGTGATCGTTCGTATTGAGGTATATATCAGTCTCAGCCCCGCCTCCACAGCCGAAAAACGCCTCCCACCTGTCCCCTATCCCCGCCCACTTCGGCCTCTCACCTGTCTCCTATCCCCGCCCACTTCGGCCTCTCACCTGTCCCCGCCCACTTTGGCCTCCCACCTGTCTCCTATCCCCGCCCACTTCTGCCTCTCACCTGTCCCCTATCCCCGCCCACTTCGGCCTCTCATCTGTCCCTTAACCCCGCCCACTTCGGCCTCCCACCTATCTCCTGTCCCCGCCCACTTCTGCCTCCCACCTGTTCCCTCCCACTTCGGCCTCTCACCTGTCCCCTAACCCCGCCCACTTCTGCCTCCTACCTGTCCCCGCCCACTTTGGCCTCTCACCTGTCTCCTGTCCCCGCCCACTTTGGCCTCTCACCTGTCTCCTGTCCCCGCTCACTTCTGCCTCCCACCTATCCCCTGACCCGGCCCACTTCTGCCTCCCACCTGTCCCCTGTCCCCGCCCACTTCTGCTTCCCACCTGTCCCCGCCCACTTCTGCCTCCCACCTGTCCCCACCCACTTCTGCCTCCCACCTGTCCCCTGTCCCCGCCCACTTCGGCTTCTCACCTCCCACCTGTCCCCGTCCACTTCTGCCTCCCACCTATCCCCTGTCTACGCCCACTTCTGCCTCCCACCTGTCTCCTGTCCCCGCCCACTTCTGCCTCCCACCTATCTCCTGTCCCCACCCACTTCTGCCTCCCACCTGTCTCCTGTCCCCGCCCATTTCTGCCTCCCACCTGTCTCCTGACTCCTCTGTGATTTTAGCGTTGGCGGCTGCAGGAGCAGAGACTGGACTTGTCTTTGGTTTCTCAAAAACATTAAACATTTGACTTTGAACAAACAAGACCACAGTGAGTGTGACGGGTGCTTTCCACATCTGACCGTGTTCAGAGGGCCAGGGTCAGGGTCAAGATCAAGGTCAAGGTCAGGGTGATGTGACGAGAGACAAAGGTAAGGTGCACTTTATTGATCACCGTAGGACATTTCATCCTCTGTATTTGACCCACTCTGATGCTAAGGCTTACATCAGGAGCAGTGGTCGCCGTATTAACAGCGCCACAGGAACCCATCTCCAGATGTTGGTGCTGAAGGATTTAACCTAATGTGCATGTTTTTAGTGGTAGGGGAAACCAGGTGGAAACCTATGCAGGCACGGGGAGAACATGCAAACTCCACTCTGAAAGCCCCTGTACCGACCGGGATTCGAAACCAGGACCTTCTTGCTGAGAGGCGAGAGTGCTAACCCAAAGCAGAGAGGAAATAAACTGATAAAGTTATGAAAAACTTTAAAATTTTGATTCTGGTCTCTCTCTCTGAGCGGTCTCTCTCTCTCTGGTCTCTCTCTCTGAGCGGTCTCTCTGGTCTCTCTGGGCCTCATGTATGAAACTTGCGTACGGACAAATCGGGGTGTAAATGATGCGTACGCAAATAAATTACACTTTTCCGCATTTATCAATCTGGACGTGAGCGTACGGTACGCACAAAATTTACACCAATTCAATAGGTGGTGTAAATGTGTACGCTCATTTCACCCTTCGTCACAACACGCCAAAGCACGCACGAAATTCAAGATTTGGACAAACAATAAACATGTTCCCACTCTGGCAATATTATAAGCTGCGTTTTTCATGGAGCATCATGTTTCGGAATTTGAATTTGCGCATCAGAAACAGTCTAACACTCTGGAAACACGCAAACTTCAAATAAATCACAGATCATGATGAGGAGTAGTAAGTAAGTAAGTAAGTAAGTGTTTATTTATATACCGCCTTTTCACTGCAGATCTGAGTCTCAAAGCGGTTTACAATTGTTAATTTTTGGGCAATTGTCTCTCACTCCACACAGAGATGGGAGCGGGGTCGCCAGTACAGGAGGCACATGCCAGAACTATTGGACATATTTTTAGTGGTAGGGGAAACCGGAGTACCCGGAGGAAACCTACGCAGACACGGGGAGAACATGCAAACTCCACTCAGAAAGGCCCTGGTCCGACCGGGATTCGAACCCAGGACCTTCTTGCTGAGAGGCGAGAGTGCTATCCACTCAGCCACCGTGCCGCCCACGGTGGAGCCCCTTCTGTTTCAATTATTTTAAATCTGACTTCTGTGTGTATTATTTTGATCTGTATGTTTTTAAAATGTGAAGCGCTTTGTGATCCTGGACTGTGAAAGGCTCTATACAAATACACTTTACGCAACAGGGATGTGTGACCCATCTATTGCTGTGGCAGGCTCTGCGCTGCGTAATTACACACGGCTATTTGTATTCCTCATTCACATCTGGTAAAGCAATGTATGTTCTCATTAGATTTGTGTAAGCCTCACACAGACACACATCCCATTAGCGCATGGACCGATGGTCAGCACTAGATCATATACGGAATCGGGACGGAAGCGGAAGTGAAAATAACAAACTACTTCAACTATTCATGCCTAAACTTAACCAGCCATTCCCATAAAATAACCCCAACCCACCCTTAACCCTAACCTTAACCATCTTACTAAACACCTAAAACTTAACCAGTGACCATTTAAGGACGAATTAGTCTAAAATTAATTTGAAAGTAGGATTGTTACTTCCGGTTTCGTCCCGATTCCGTATATGATCTAGTGCCGACCATGGACCGATGGGACTATCGTATTGCTCACTCCAAATATCTCACTGCCCTGTCCACCCGCTCATTCTTTATTTATTTATTCACTTCTACAATCCAAGGGAGATTTTTATAATTCATCAAAACATTTTTGCAAATTTGTTCAAAATGCAGCTGGGTTGAATAAATAGCGTAGCATATATAGCGTATATTTATTTTTACACATGCATGAACAACCTGTGGCAGACCCTGCGCCGTACACGTAATAACAGAGATGTTTTGCCTCAGTCACCTCTGGCAAAGCAATGTGGGTTTTCCTTAGTTTTGTGCATAAAGCCCCATAAATGCACCTGATCTTGCTCAAAACTGTCTCAGCCATTGCCCTGCACTCCGCAGCAGAGATAGGATGCAACGCGCACCAGCAGTATATATTATCTGAACGGTTTCTCTGGTCTCTCTCTCTCTGGTCTCTCTCTCTGAGCGGTCTCTCTGGGCCTCATGTATGGAACTTGCGTTTTACACCCCGACTTTACACAAATCGGGGTGTAAATGATGCGTACGCAAAAAAATTACACTTTTCCGCATTTATCAATCTGGACGTGAGCGTACGGTACGCACAGAATTTACACCAAGTCAATAGGTGGTGTAAATGTGTACGCTCATTTCACAACACGCCTGCTCTGCTCTGCTCCATTGTCACAACACGCCAAAACACGCATGAAATTCAAGATTTGGACAACAATAAACATGTTCCCACTCTGGCAATATTATAAGCTGCGTTTTCATGGAGCATCATGTTTCGGAATTTGAATTTGCGCATCAGAAAAAGTCTAACACTCAGGAAACACGCAAACTTCAAATAAATCACAGATCATGATGAGGAGTCTCTTCTGTTTCAATGATTTTAAATCTGACTTCTGTGTATATTATTTTGATCTGTATGTTTTTAAAATGTGAGGCGCTTTGTGATCCTGGACTGTGAAAGGCTCTACAAATACACTTTACGCAACAGGGATGTGTGACCCATCTATTGCTGTGGCAGGCTCTTGCGCTGCGTAATTACGCACGGCTATTTGTATTCCTCATTCACATCTGGTAAAGCAATGTATGTTCTCATTAGATTTGTGTAAGCCTCACATCCCATTAACGCATGGACCGATAGAGTATGGTATTGCTCACTCCAAATGTCTCACTGCCCTGTCCACCCGCTGCACACTCTTGGGAGTGCATCCACAGCAGGTGCCATGAGAGACGCGCCACATAACTCCTCAAATGCTGTCATTCAGAAGTCTTGGCTCCAGAGTTTCTCTGTAAAATCTGGACTGCAAACGCTCTCGCAAGTGTACAGCACTTCAGTGCATTCACAAGACGCTGCGCACAATATATATGAATTCATTCATTCATTCTTTATTTATTCACTTCTACAATCCAAGAGAGATTTTTATAATTTATCAAAACATTTCTGCAAATTTTTTCAAAACGCAGCTGAATAAATAGCGTATATTTATTTTTACACATGCATGAACAACCTGTGGCAGACCCTGCGCTGTACTAGTAATTACTATTAATAGTTTTGTGCATAAAGCCCCATAAATGCACCTGATCTTGCTCAAAACTGTCTCAGACACTGCCCTGTACTCCGCAGCAGAGATAGGATGCGACGCGCACCAGCAGTATAGTTCATTAATTCAGGTCATTTATTACTTATTTATTTATGTCGAAATTTCAGGAGAGATGAGTGCTGCAGTGGGTCTAGACACTAGGGAAAAATGTGTATATATAATATAGCGTATATTTGTTTTGTTTTTAAAACGTGAATAAACTCAAAAGTGCGTGCTTTTTGCGGCTTCTTAGCCGACTTCCTGCTGACCTGTCGCAAAAACAGGGCGTGGAACAGGCAGTTTCTGAATATTTATAGGCGTGACTTTCATAAATACGCTGGTTTTGAGCGCGGCATTTATCAACAGCCGCAGGTGCGTATGCCACGTCGGATCTTGCGTATCTGGGATCTACACCCAAAATGTACACCTTTTTCTGCGCAATTTTCATACATGAGGCCCTCTGAGAGACCAGAAAAACAGACTGTAGTGGTTCTGCAGTTGTGTAGTGGTTCGGCATTTGTGTAGTGGTTCTGCAGTTGTGTAGTGCACCCGTCACACACACTGAACAGTGATAAAAACATTGCGGGTCTTCGGTGCGAGGATCGGGACTGAAAACCCGTCTTTGGTGTTTTGGTGAGAGCAAAGGTCATTGTGCTCCACGTCTTTGGGATAAAAGTTGAAAGTGTTTTAAAGCTGTTAGACCTTCATCATCATCATCATCATCATCTTCATTATCATCATCTTCATCACCATCATCATCGCCTTCATCATCTTCATCATCATCATCTTCAACAGCCTCTCCCTCAGACCCACGAGGCCCGGTCCAAAACAAGTCCAAGACCTCGTCCCCACAGACTCCAATCTTCAGCGTTCACACATTACACAAACTTGGAAATAGGCCAGGTCTGAACCAGGTCTGAACCAGGTCTGCACCAGGTCTGAACCAGGTCTGAACCAGGTCTGAACCAGGACTTCTGTTGGCCCAAATGATGTGTTATCTATTGATCAAAAAAGTTAGGTCCCCCAGCTTTGCGGGTCATTAATCTACAATTGTAGATAATTGCAAGTAGTACTTAGTAACAAAAACATATTTTTGTCTTGATCGATCCTGTGTGAACCCAAAAGAACCAGTGAGATCAAAGGGACGAGTTCTGTGTGAAAAACAATCTTTGGACATGATTAAAAGCCCAAAAAGAGGATTTGCATAAAATACATCTCCTTTAAACGTCTCTCGGTCTGTAAAGTTCTGTGTCTGTAAAATTCTGTGTCTGTAAAGTTCTATGTCTGTAAAGTTCTGTCTGTAAAGTTCCGTCTGTGAAGTTCTGTCTGTAAAGTTCTGTCTGTAAAGTTCTGTCTGTAAAGTTCTGTCTGTGAAGTTCTGTCTGTAAAGTTCTGTCTGTAAAGTTCTGTGTCTGTAAAGTTCTGTGTCTGTAAAGTTCTGTCTGTAAAGGTCTGTTCCGACGTGGAGCTGCTCCACTGCAGACTCCTGCACAGGGACTCGGCTGTGGAGCTCCTAGCAACACGCTTCAAAAAGGCCCTAAGAACGAGCACATTATTCTGTGCCCTAAACATGAGCCTTCTCTTTAAAGCTGAGGTATGTAACTTTCAACAGGTGCTTTACCTCGAAACATTCTGGTTGAAGGCACGCAGTCGGAAATATGAATTCAATCATAATTTGACTTGAATTTCCCTAAAGACTAAAGACTAAAGACTAAAGCCCTGCCCTGCCCTGCCCTGCCCTACTCTACTCTACCTGACACTGTATCCTAGCAACCTACCCACAAAAAACCAGTATCCGGGCACTCTGGCCAATCACTGTCAGTTAGAACACTTTCATACCAGCTCAGCCTGGATAGAACCAGGACCAAGAGGGACTAAAGGGACCACCTGATACTGGTTACACAGGACCAGGAAACACTCCCAAACGAGGTAGAGTAGAGTGGGGCAGGGCAGGGCAGGGCAGGGTAGGGCAGGGCTGGTGGAAACAGGGCTTACTTTGAGTTCATCATTTGATGATTCGTCTTAATGAGTTTTGAGAGAGTCTGACCCCCGTGTGTGTGTGTGAGTGTCTGTCCTAGCTCACAGATTGTTAGTGTTGCCGCTGTTTAAATCTCAGCCAAAAAATCCTTATTTTGAATCTGATGAAGTATTTTTACTTATATCCTTTAGTCTCAGCGGTGATGAACGACTGAATATGGAGAGAGAGAGAGAGAGAAAGAGAGAGAAAGAGAGAGAAAGAGAGAGAAAGAGAAAGAGAAAGAGAGAGAGAGAGAGAGAGAGAGAGAGAGAGAGAACGCTGGGTGTTTGTGTTTATTTCCTGGTAGTAATTTTCAGCTGGAGCTAAAACCAAAAAAGGGACAAAAGACTTTTGGAAAAAACACTGAAAACTATTTTGAGGTTTCTCTGTTTCTCTGAGCAAAGATTGTGACTGTGACAGACGCTCCTCTCGAACTGAGGCCTCAGGTCTGACCAGAACAAGATTCAAAACTCAAAATCAGCAACTTCTTTGGTTTAGTGCAGCGGCCTCTCCCTCCTGCTCCTCGTGCTCCTCCTGTTCCTCGTGCTCCTTCTGCTCCTCCTCTTTGGATCTGTGAGGGCCTCCTCCTCCTCCTCCTAAGACTCTTTGGTTCTGTGGTGTCCCTGTCCACACTGCGCCTCCTCCTCCCACTTGTCCAGGCTTCTGCGTCTGGCGTTCATGAAGAAGTTGCAGATGGTTGAGGGTTCGAGGCCCAGCTGTTGGGAGATGGTGCTCTGCAGGTCTTTAGATGGACGAGGGTTCTCCCTGAAGATGGCCACCAGGGTGCGCCGCTGCACCTCACTGAACACCAGCCGAGACCTCTTACTGGAGCCACTGCTCCCCCGCTCACCATCACTCTGCTTCCTCTTACAGGCTGCAAGAGGAGGGGGGAGGGGAGGGGGGAGAGAGAGAGGAGAGGAGGGAGGGGGGAGAGAGAGAGAGAGGAGAGGAGGGAGGGGGGAGGGGAGGGGGGAGAGGAGGGAGGGGGGAGAGGAGGGAGGGGAGAGAGGAGAGAGAGGGGAGAGAGAGGAGAGAGAGGAGAGAGGGGAGAGAGAGGAGAGAGAGGAGAGAGAGGGGAGAGAGAGGAGAGAGAGGAGAGAGAGAGGAGAGAGGAGAGAGGAGAGAGAGAGAGAGAGGAGAGAGAGAGAGAGGGGAGAGAGGAGAGAGTAGGTGTTGGGTTACAGAGTTATAACAGACTCTGACGCTGCCCTGGGGCAGACTGTAGCCACAGCTGCCCTGGAGCAGACTGACTAATGGGAAGTGTCTTATAAGGAAACAACAGTTTGGGGAACACTTGCCTCTGTAGTGTGCCCCAGGGCAGCTGTGGCTACAGTCACGTCCAGAAAGGCTTCACACTCAAGACCTGTTAGTCCCAGTGTGACATCACCTAGACCTGTTAGTCCCAGTGTGACATCCCAGAGACCTGTTAGTCCCAGTGTGACATCACAGAGACCTGTTAGTCCCAGTGTGACATCACAGAGACCGGTTAGTCCCAGTGTGACATCACCTAGACCTGTTAGTCCCAGCGTGACATCACCTAGACCTGTTAGTCCCAGCTTGACATCACAGAGACCTGTTAGTCCTAGTGTGACATCACAGAGACCTGTTAGTCCCAGTGTGACATCACCTAGACCTGTTAGTCCCAGTGTGACATCCCAGAGACCTGTTAGTCCCAGTGTGACATCACAGAGACCTGTTAGTCCCAGTGTGACATCACAGAGACCGGTTAGTCCCAGTGTGACATCACCTAGACCTGTTAGTCCCAGCGTGACATCACCTAGACCTGTTAGTCCCAGCGTGACATCACAGAGACCTGTTAGTCCTAGTGTGACATCACAGAGACCTGTTAGTCCCAGTGTGACATCACAGAGACCTGTTAGTCCCAGTGTGACATCACAGAGACCTGTTAGTCCCATTGTGACATCACCTAGACCTGTTAGTCCCAGCGTGACATCACCTAGACCTGTTAGTCCCAGCGTGACATCACAGAGACGTGTTAGTCCTAGTGTGACATCACAGAGACCTGTTAGTCCCAGTGTGACATCACAGAGACCTGTTAGTCCCAGTGTGACATCACAGAGACCTGTTAGTCCCAGTGTGACATCACCTAGACCTGTTAGTCCCAGTGTGACATCCCAGAGACCTGTTAGTCCCAGTGTGACATCACAGAGACCGGTTAGTCCCAGTGTGACATCACCTAGACCTGTTAGTCCCAGCGTGACATCACCTAGACCTGTTAGTCCCAGCGTGACATCACAGAGACCTGTTAGTCCTAGTGTGACATCACAGAGACCTGTTAGTCCCAGTGTGACATCACCTAGACCTGTTAGTCCCAGTGTGACATCCCAGAGACCTGTTAGTCCCAGTGTGACATCACAGAGACCTGTTAGTCCCAGTGTGACATCACAGAGACCGGTTAGTCCCAGTGTGACATCACCTAGACCTGTTAGTCCCAGCGTGACATCACCTAGACCTGTTAGTCCCAGCGTGACATCAGAGACCTGTTAGTCCTAGTGTGACATCACAGAGAGCTGTTAGACCCAGTGTGACATCACAGAGACCTGTTAGTCCCAGTGTGACATCACAGAGACCTGTTAGTCCCATTGTGACATCACCTAGACCTGTTAGTCCCAGCGTGACATCACCTAGACCTGTTAGTCCCAGCGTGACATCACAGAGACCTGTTAGTCCTAGTGTGACATCACAGAGACCTGTTAGTCCCAGTGTGACATCACAGAGACCTGTTAGTCCCAGTGTGACATCACAGAGACCTGTTAGTCCCAGTGTGACATCACCTAGACCTGGGTTAGTCCCAGTGTGAGCAGGACTTCCTCCTGTTTTTACTGCACTTAAGGCGGGATCCACTACACCACAGAGAGCGCCTTAATGGATCACACAGACCGGGCTAGACCAGGGCTAGACCAGGGCTAGACCTGGATTAAAGACCAGGGACCAGGGCTAGACCACTGCTAGACCAGGATTATAGACCAGGGACCAGGGCTAGACCAGGAGAATACTAGGGACCATGGCTAGACCAGGATTAGATCAGAGTCCAGGGCTAAACTGGGACCATAGACTTGGACCAGACTGCAGTCTCTACTTCAGCTGAGCAGGAGCAGAGATGACCACTTCCGGTCTGAACAGACTGTGCGCGCTCGCAACACTCGTGCGTGTTTAGAAGTTTGGAGTGAGTGTGACTGTGTGCGTGTGTGTCTTCACTCAGATACTGCCTTCACTGTGAGACCTCAGCCCCAGGTGCGGGTGCGTGCACGCGCTTACCTGCCAGACGGAGCGCGCTCATGCGTTGGAACTCGGGCTCGTGCAGCCACTTCCACATGCGGCGGAAGGTCTCGCGTCCGGACTTGAGTTTGGACCAGGGTTTGGGGTTCCGTAGCAGGTCTGAGAGCGTGCCCTGAGAGCGGCAGAGCACGCGCGCCGCGAACACGGCCTGTGGGATACTGTAGCGCTTCAGCTCCGCGGTCACGCGCTGCGCGACCTCCCGCGTGTTGATCTCCTCCGGGGGTGCGCCCTGCGCGTGACCCGAAGACTGTGGCAGCAGAGGTGCGTGCGTGTCAGGAGAAGTGTGCGAGTTTGTGGCCTCCGTGTGCGTAAAGGCGCGCACTTCCGCGCGCGGCACATCAAAGGCATCAAAACAGTGTGCCGTGTGCGGCGCGTGCCCGTACGCGTGCAGCGGCGGGAGCGTGTACGCGTCTACGTGCTCCTTGAAGCCGTACAGACTGCTGACTGCTGGGAGCACGCGCTCGTCGCGCACGAACGTGAAGCTCCCGCTCACTGGCACGTGCCGCTCGAACCTGTCGCTCACGTGGCTGATGGGAGGCAGAGGTGCGTGCGTGGCATACGAGCTCGTGGGGCCGTGGCACGCGCCCATCGCGTGATGCACGTCGTCCAGCAGCACGCGCGCGTGTTCCTCCATTGTCACGTCCATCGCGTCCGGTTCCGTGTGCGCGCATCGATATGCGCCCAAGTGCACGCTCTTCATTGGCGTGCACGCTCTTCAATGGCGTGCTCACAGCCGCGTCCAGTCCGCGTGTGGCTCCCAGGCCCCGCGCACCTCCTGCATCCTCTCTGTCTGCGGTCCGCTCCACACTACACCCCCGAGCACCGAGCACCGGACTGACGCAAGAGGGGCGGGGTCACCGCCTCCCATCTCTCTGTAGGACCAGAGGAGAACCAGAGGAAGACCAGAGGAGGACCAGAGGAGGACCAAAGGAGGATCAGAGGAGGACCAAAGGAGGATTAGAGGAGGACCAGAAGAGGACCAGAGGAGACCAAAGTGAGACAGGGACCACAGTCAGTCTGGGGCCATCAGGGTGGAGGCACAGACTCATCAGATGCTTAGAAACAGCAGAGAGCACTGTCCGTGGTGCTGATGCCACAGTGTGGCGCTGTCCGTGGTGCTTATCCTGTCCGCTCTAGACTCATGCATGTCTTGTCACATTGACAAGAAAACACAGTGTCAGGATTTAAAACTGGTTTTAAAATCTTCATTTGGCCTGAAAAAAAACTACCACAATAAGCACAAGGGATAGCTTTCATATTGTTTAATGTGAGAGAGAGAGAGCGAGAGAGCGAGAGACCAGAGAGAGAGAGAGAGAGACCAGAGAGACCAGAGACACCAGAGAGAGAGATCAGAGACTGAGAGAGAGAAAGAGAGAGAGAGCATGGTGTGGACTGTACACCATATGCAGTCATCATTAAATTAGAAACCAATTTTATCATGAGAGAGAGAGCCCTGTGAGTCATGTGAGAGAGAGAGCCCTCTGAGTCACTATTTCACTCTTTGGGCTGAGAGCTGATTGGCTGAGAGAGGGGGGGGTTCTCTCTTTTGATCTTTTCTGTTTGAAAAAGCAGATCTAAAGATGTGACGGAGGCTAAAAATACAAAACTAATGACATTTATTGAACTACCTCATTGCATTTGTCTGTGTTTTAAAGTTGGGTAACCCAGCTTTACTTTGAGTCCTGTGCAAATGAATGAGAGAGACACGGAGGAGGTCAGAAGCAAGTGTTATTTCAGGAAAATCATCGTTCACCAGAGAGAGAGAGAGACCAGAGAGAGAGAGACCACAGAGAGAGAGACCAGAGAGACCAGAGAGAGAGAGAGACCAGAGGGACCAGAGAGAAAGAGAGAGACCAGAGAGAGACCAGAGAGAGAGACCACAGAGAGAGAGACCAGAGAGAGAGAGAGACCAGAGAGAGTGACCAGAGAGAGAGAGAGTCCAGAGAGAGACCAGAGAGAGAGAGAAACCACAGAGAGAGACCAAAGAGAGAGAGAAAGAGAGACCAGAGAGAAAGACCAGAGAGAGAGACCAGAGAGAGACCAGAGAGAAAGACCAGAGAGAGAGACCAGAGAGAGACCAGAGAGAGAGAGAGACACCAGATGCCACAGATGCCATTAAACATGATCTTGAGCGTCAAACATTAAACATTAATTCTGTCATCTCTGATGTATAAAATATAAAGGTCCGTCTCTAACTTTTCTTCCTCTTAATCCGGGCCTGGGTGGCAGCAGCAGCCACGGCCAAGGGGAATCCTGCTGAAGCATTCCTCGAGGTCTTCTTCAGATAGATATTTCCTCTCATAACCTTTGATAGGGATGAGCAGTGTCTCTACTCTGACTGTTCGACAGCGAGGGTGTGAGTGTAGAGCTCTGACTGCAGACGCTGCTCCCTCCTCACCACAACAGTCCGATCTTCCCTCACTCCAGAGCCAGAGCTGCTCCAATGAGGGACGAGGAGGACAAGGACCTCGCTCCGGAGATTTTGGTTTTTGGAGGAGCTCAGAGCAGGTCCCAGAGCAGGTCCCAGAGCAGGTCCCAGAGCAGTTCCCAGACCAGGTCCCAGACCAGGTCCCAAAGTCAACGCTATATTCAAAGCAAAGCAAGGACTTCTCTATGGACTGTGTGCTCTCAGTAAGACAGGTTAGGACAGTTTAGGACAGGTTAGGACTGGTTAGGACTGGTTAGGACAGGTTAGAACAGGGTAGGACAGGTTAGGACAGGTTAGGACAGGTTAGGACTGGTTAGGACTGGTTAGGACAGGTTAGGACAGGTTAGGACAGGGTAGGACAGGGTAGGACAGGGTAGGACAGGGTAGGACAGGGTAGGACAGGTTAGGACAGGTTAGGACAGGTTAGGACAGGTTAGGACTGGTTAGGACTGGTTAGGACTGGTTAGGACTGGTTAGGACAGGGTAGGACAGGGTAGGAAAGGATAGAACAGGATAGGACAGGTTAGGACAGGGTAGGACAGGTTAGGATAGGATAGGACAGGTTAGGACAGGTTAGGACAGGTTAGGACTGGTTAGGACTGGTTAGGACTGGTTAGGACTGGTTAGGACAGGGTAGGTCAGGGTAGGACATGTTAGGACAGGTTAGGACAGGCACACAGCGCTTAGGTGGAGGGAGGGGAGGAGAGACCAGAGAGAGACCAAAGAGAGACGAGACAAGAGAGAGACCAGGGAGAGACCAAAGAGAGACCAAAGAGAGACCAGAGAGAGAGACCAGAGAGAGAGACTTGAGAGAAATCAGAGAGAGACCAGAGAGAGATTTTAGGGAGCGAGGCCTGGTACAGAGAGAAATGAGTAACAACAGTACATTCGAGTATCGCCTCGTCCATGTGAGCCAAAGCAACTTTACAAAACTAGAATAATAGAAAGTCACTGTAAAGAAGTGGACCTGGCAACTCCGGTTTGGAGAGAGCGTCATTGAAAGACCAATGAGCTCAGGGCCAATCAGAGAGAGCGTCACTGAAAGACCAATGAGCTCAGGGCCAATCAGAGAGAGCGTCACTGACAGACCAATGAGCTCAGGGCCAATCAGAGAGCAGCTTCAGGAGCAGGGTGTGGCCACATAAAGAACATGACGTCTTTTTTAAATGGAGCAAGATCTGGTTTGGTTTTTAAATGCACAGCCTGAGGAGAGGAGAGAGAGCAGAGGAGAGAGAGCAGAGGAGAGAGCAGAGGAGAGAGCAGAGGAGAGAGAGCAGAGGAGAGAGAGCAGTGGAGAGAGAGCAGAGGAGAGAGAGCAAAGGAGAGAGAGCAGAGATCAGAGGGGAGAGAGCAGAGAGAGAGCTGAGTGAGAGCAGAGAGAGAGCAGAGGGGAGAGGGCAGAGAGAGAAGAGAGAGAGCAGAGGAGAAAGAGCAGAGAGAAGAGAGAGAGAGCAGAGGAGAGAGAGCAGAGAGAGAGCAGAGAGAGAAAGAGCAGAGAGAAAGCAGAGAGAGCAGAGGAGAGAGCAGAGAGAGAGCAGAGAGAGCAGAGAGAGAGCAGAGAGAGCAGAGGAGAGAGAGCAGAGAGAGAGAGACCCCCACAGCCCTGGTCCTCAGGCGCAGTGTGACAGAGAGAGAGAAAGAGAGCAGAGAAAGCAGAGGGAGAGAGCAGAGGAGAGAGCAGAGATAGAGAGACCCCCACAGTCCTGGTCCTCAGGCGCAGTGTGACAGAGACAGTTTGATGAGTCCATCCGTGTGCATCTGGTAGAGCAGCTTGAACTCAGCTGGTAGTTGGTGTGACTCCTGCCACCTGGTGGTGAACTTGGTGCCCTTCTTATCATAGTAATGGTAGGGCAGCTCTTTGCCGGTGTTGGGGTCCCAGCCGAAGGGCCAGAACCCGTACAGATGGATCTGCTCGCACACAGACGAGGCCAGCGTGTACATCAGGATCCCAGTGCTCAGGCGCTTCGGCGACAGATGCTTTGTCTTCCAGTAACTGCACACAGGTTATTTATACTCTCTTTATACATGTGCACATTTATACATGCATGTATACATGTGCATGTATACGTTTGTATACATACATGTACACATTTATACATACTAGTGTACATGTGTGTATAAATGTATACATGTGTGACAGGGCAACAGGAAACAGGAAATGGTGGGAGGGGCAAAGATTTCAAAATGGGGGGAGAGGGAAATCAGGGCCTTTCACTCAAACCACACCATGCAGTGAGCATGAGGGCAGCTTAGCCAGGGGGAACAGCGCAGTCTTAAAAGGTGAATATCACACATGAACTGTTTATAGAACTATATAGTGTGTAGATAATCGCACAACTCTCTCTGTAGGTGAAGTAAGCCAAGTGGAGAGTCCACAGCTTCATGTGGTGTTAGCCATGTTTGGGAGGGGTGTCTGGAGAATCAAAGGTGAATAAACTGTCATTGATAAATAGGTTATTCTGTGTATTAACTTGAATCAAATACAATCTTTGACCATAGGTTAAGTTACCTGCAGGCCTCTTTATCCCGCGTGTCTGGAGAATCAAAGTGAATCCAAACACGGCACTTCAAGCCGGCCACTGTTTTAGCTCATAACTGTCTATTCATATATTGGGCTAAAATGATTTGTATTTGATCTCACCCCTCTTGCATGGTTTTGCTGTGAGACTAATATTGCACTGCATGGTTTTAAACTGTTTTGAAACTCGAATTGATGATTTTTAACCATTTGAATACATTACTTTTAATACTCTCATGAAATAAATATTGATGTTGTACTGACAATTTGAGTCTCCTTAGTTTAATTGATGTATTACAATGACCTGGTCACACTTGGCGTTGCTGGCCTAGGATTTAAAATTGAGACTCATTTTTGTAGTACGAGTAGCCCAAGTAGGTTAACAGGGATAAAAAACAGTGGCCGGCTAGTCAACTTCAATCAAGATCAACGGGACGGTCTTCGGGACACCATCATCACCAGAGACTGTTTGAAAACATGGAGGACATTCAGGCCATTTTAACCCAGGTACAACAGCTTCAGGCTGAAAATGAACAGTTAAGGGCACAGATGGCGCAACAAAGCACAGAGCCACAAGCAGGTCCATCAAGTGGCAGTGGTGGCTCTGCTTCAGCATCAAATGTCACTTTCCCTTCAGTGACTGTACCAACCCAACTTGTATATGTGCCAAGAGAACGTAAATGTGCAAAGTTTTCTGGTAAATTGTCTGTTGATTTGATAACTGTTGAAAAATGGATAGAAGAGGCCCGCAGGTGCATCACAGGTAGACATATGTCAAATGCTGAACAGATTCTTTTTTTGTATGATCACCTAGAGGGGAGCGCTAAAGCAGAGCTTGATTTCCATAGTTCAGGGGAAAGGGATACTGCAGAAAAAATATTTGCCATTCTTACAGAAAACTACAGTTGTTCCCAGTCCTATGTGGTTGCTCAGCTTCAATTTTTTCAACGCAGTCAGAGAGAGGGGGAGCCTTTGAGAGAATTTTCGCATGCCCTTAAATCACTGATGGACATTGTCATAAACAAAACCCCAGGGGGCATTCCAAATTCTGACCAAATATTACGTGACCAATTTGTAGAGCAAGGACAAGATGATTTGTTAAGAGGAGAACTGAAACGTCAGATCAGTCAAGACCCAACGGTCACTTTTACTGCACTACGTAATATCGCCATCAAATGGGCGGAGGAGGGTCGGAACCCAAGTAAACTAAGGCCCCGCGCCTTTTCTTGCACGGTGCACTCTGACTCTGGAAATACAACATTGGCACAAAGTAATGTAATATCAGTACAACCCTCTACAGAACTTGGAGAATTAAAAGAATGCCTGCTAAAACAACAAGCACAGTTAGATGCCATTATGAAACACATTGGCCTCACCCATGACCCCCAAGCGCCCCCCAGGAAGGAAAGGGAACCCAAACCCTATCGCTTTGACTCAAATGGAAAACCCATTTGTTTGCGCTGCAATAAAGCTGGGCACATAGCGCGCTTTTGTAGGTCTCAAATCCCACCCGCAAATACAAATAAGCATGTGTCTCAGGCAACAGTCAAGTGCAATGATGTAGCAGAGTCCCAAACATGGCTGCAGGAAAACTAGCGCCCTCTGGTGTGGAGAGCCAAACACCAGAAGGGGGGAGCTCAGGCTCAAGCAAACTAATCGGTGAATGCCCAGTTGTTGATGTTAAAATGGGAGGACTAGATGTCTCATGCCTACTGGATACAGGCTCAATGGTCTCCACAATAACTGAACACTACTTCATGGAGCACTTTAGGTCAAAGGGCGAGGATAAATTGAAGCAGTGCAACTGGTTACAGCTTAAGGCTGCAAATGGGTTATCCATTCCCTACATCGGGTATTTAGAACTCGATATCACTGTCCTGGGTAAACATCTTCCTCGTATGGGAGTCTTAGTGGTTAAGAGTCCCCTAGACCCTGATCTCAAAAATAAAAAAAGGTCAGTTCCTGGTCTGCTGGGTATGAATATAATCAGGCAATGTTACAATGAACTTTTTGTCCAATTAGGCCCCGAACTTTTTGAGTTTCCCCCAATTAAATCAGCTGGCCCGGCTTGGAAAGAGGCACTGACACAGTGCCAATCCATTGAGTCAATCAATGATGGATACCTGGGTATCGCAAAGGTTGTGGGGCGATCAGTGTGTGTACCAGCTGGCTCTTTAAAGTTTATCCCTGTTGTATGCCCAAACACTGCTAAGACCATACTGCCCTCAGTGTTGCTGGAGCCCCCAGAAGAAAACCGCCTCCCAGCGGGAGTGTTGGTGTCTAAATCTCTCTTGACTATGGACAGGGGAATAGTAGAGATACCAGTTGTGAATGTGGGCTGTCATGATGCCTGGCTAAAACCCCATATGGCTCTGGGCTCATTACATGTGGTGCAGACAAAATCACACCCAGTTCCAGTGACATTTGAAAATGAAGGGGGTGGCCACGTGGCAGTATTGCAAACTAACTATGTCACTGATGGCACAACCTTAGACTTTTCCGATGTGTCATGGCCTATCCTAACAGCAGAACAACAACGGCTGGGACAAGCTCTATTGGCTAAATATTCAACTGTTTTTAGCCAACGAGAAGGGGACTTGGGTTGTACCAATTTGGTTGAACATGAAGTACCCTTGTTAGACGATGTCCCCGTACGTCAGCGCTATCGGAGACTTCCTCCCTCCCAGTATGAAGAGGTAAAAGCCCATATTCAGGAGCTCTTGAATAGTGGAATTATTCAGCAGAGCTGCAGCCCATATGCGTCCCCCATAGTGATTGTGCAGAAAAAGGATGGGAGCATGAGGATGTGTGTGGATTATCGCCTCCTCAATGCTAAAACCAGGAAGGACGCTTATCCCCTGCCGAGAATCGAGGAGTCATTAGACTCCCTGGGGGGGGCCAAGTGGTTTTCTACACTCGATCTGGCGAGTGGATATAATCAGGTGCCCATTGCTGAAAAGGACAAGGCCAAAACTGCGTTTTGCACCCCATTTGGGCTTTTTGAGTTCAATAGGATGCCTTTTGGATTGTGCAATGCACCGAGCACATTCCAACGCTTAATGGAGCGCATTTTTGGTGATCAGTCTTTCCAATCACTCCTGTTATATCTCGATGATATCATTGTGTTCTCATCATCTTTTTTGGATCACTTACAGAGACTGGAACTGGTTTTAGCCCGTCTACAACAACACCACCTGAAACTGAAACTAAAAAAATGTTGTTTTTTCCAGAGCCAAGTCAAGTATTTGGGCCATGTTGTATCCTCAGAAGGTGTGGCTACCGACCCGGAGAAAATCAATGCGGTGGCACAGTGGAAACGTCCAACCACAGCCACAGAGGTGCAGTCGTTTCTTGGTTTTGCCTCATATTATCGTCGTTTTGTTGAGGGATTTTCAAAATTAGCTGCTCCCCTACATCGTCTGGTGTCTGACGTGGTTGGGAGCAAACATAAACCCAAAGGCCAGGCGAAGTCCTCCATTGCAGACAGATGGGATGATGCCTGTGAGCAGGGGTTTCAGTCCCTAAAAGAACACCTTGTCAGTGCCCCAGTTTTGGCCTATGCAGACTTTGTGAAGCCTTTTGTCCTTGAAATTGATGCAAGTCATGCAGGCCTAGGTGCAGTTCTATCACAAGATCAGAATGGGAAGCGAAGGCCTATAGCATTTGCCAGTAGGGGGCTCCGACCACCAGAGCGAAATATGTCAAATTATAGTTCCAGAAAACTTGAATTGTTGGCTCTCAAGTGGGCTGTAACTGACAAATTTAAGGAGTATTTGCTTGGTAATAACTTTATAGTTTATACTGACAATAACCCCTTGAGTTACCTAAATACTGCTAGACTGGGAGCTGTAGAGCATCGTTGGGTGTCTGAGCTGGCTGCATTCAATTTTGAAATCAGATATCGCCCTGGCACAGCAAACAGAAATGCAGATGCCCTTTCCCGCCAGCACCCAGGTCCCCCCCAACCATTTGTTGGCCCTGGCATACAAGTTCCCATTACCGTTCATGAATCAGTCCACGCCACGTCTCACACCTTCCCCATAGTGGCGGCCATTCAAGCATGTCCGGCACGCGAAAAGGCTGATTTGGGAACTCTGCAAGAGGCGGACAAAGTACTTGGAATATTCAGATCATACTGGCAGCGCGTTAACCGCCCTTCAAAACAAGAACTGATGAGAGAGCCCAAAGAAGTCAGAAAACTTGCACAACAATGGCATAGACTTTGTATGAGAGAAGGTGTGTTATACCGCTGTTATAGACCACCAAAGACTAACAGTGAAGTGTTTCAGGTGCTGCTTCCAGAATGTCTCAAAGGAGAGGTGTTAAAACAGCTCCACGATGATCATGGGCACCAAGGGGTTGATCGAACCATTCAACTGGTGAGAGAAAGATGTTTTTGGCCAAACATGTGGAAAGATGTGGAAGAGTACTGCCGTAATTGCAATCGATGTTTAATGGCAAAGGCAAATCATCCCAAGATTAGAACATTCCCCTCTAACATTGTAGCATCACAGCCCTTGGAAATGGTAGCTGTAGATTTTACAAGGTTAGAAAAGGCCTCCGATGGCAGAGAAAATGTCCTGATCATCACTGATGTATTCTCAAAATTTACTCAAGCTTTTCCAACCTCCGACCAGAGGGCCAGCACCACCGCAAGAGTCTTAATAGAGAAGTGGCTATATGTTTATGGAGTCCCAAAACGCATACATAGCGATCAGGGAAGGAATTTTGAGAGTGACCTCTTAAAACAACTATGCAGAATGTATGGAATTGAAAAGACAAGGACCACACCCTACCACCCAGAGGGAAATGGACAATGTGAACGGTTTAACCGTACACTCCACGATTTGCTCCGTACACTTCCCCCGGACAAAAAACGGAAGTGGCCCCAACAGTTGCCGCACCTCCTTTTTTCATACAATACAACAGAACATGCCTCCACCGGATATTCCCCCCATGAATTAATGTTTGGACAAAAGCCAAATCTGCCTGTCGACTTCCTATTGGGCACAGCTGTAAACGTTGACACTGGTAACATGAACGAGTGGATAGTGGAGCACCATTCCCGACTAGCAGCTGCACATGCACACGCAAGAAACCAGTTGGAAATGGCGGCCGAGCGCAGGAATAGACTGGTAGTCCCCAATGCGACAGAAATACTGGCCCCAGGTACACTTATTTTGAAAAGAAGCCATCCTCTGGGACGAAATAAGATTCAGGATGTGTGGGATAATACAATTTTTGAGATTGTGAACTGTTTGGATGATAGAGGTGCAGTATACAAAATAAGACCAGCAAACAAACTTGGTCCAGAGACAAATGTAAATAGAATGGAAATCAAAGTGTATCCTTGTATGTACCCAGTTCCAGAACCCCCATCACCCCAGCCATCTCCCCCACCACTTGTATCAGCGGGCAGCTCCATTTTGGACGACGAAAGTGATGTGGGCAGCGAACTAATGGTTGCCTGGACACCATTGCAACAGACCCCTGGGCCTCCTCCGCCAGTCGCCCCTGGGCCTCCTCCGCCGGCCGCCCCTGGGCCTCCTCCACCAGCCGCCCCTGGGCCCCCTCCGCCGGCCGCCCCTGGGCCTTCTCCGCCGGCCGCCCCTGGGCCTCCGCCTGCAAGTCCCCCCTCTCAAATACGACGTTCAGCAAGACCAACTGCTGGACAGCACCCAAACCCCTTCAACCTGCCCCGTCCTGCCCATAGTCAGGCGGCCTTAGCCGCTCGGGTCAGAGGCCAGGATGTGTTTACATTCAGATCATGGAGGTGAAAATCTGAACTCTCACCGGGACGGTGAACTTTTAAAGTGGGGGTGAGTGTGACAGGGCAACAGGAAACAGGAAATGGGAGGGGCAAAGATTTCAAAATGGGGAGAGAGGGAAATCAGGGCCTTTCACTCAACCCACTCTATGCAGTGAGCATGAGGGCAGCTGAGCCAGGGGGAACAGCGCAGTCTTAAAAGGTGAATATCACACATGAACTGTTTATAGAACTATATAGTGTGTAGATAATCGCACAACTCTCCCTGTAGGTGAAGTAAGCCAAGTGGAGAGTCCACAGCTTCATGTGGTGTTAGCCATGTTTGGGAGGGGTGTCTGGAGAATCAAAGGTGAATAAACTGTCATTGATAAATAGGTTATTCTGTGTATTAACTTGAATCAAATACAATCTTTGACCATAGGTTAAGTTACCTGCAGGCCTCTTTATCCCGCGTGTCTGGAGAATCAAAGTAAATCCAAACACGGCACTTCAAGCCGGCCACTGTTTTATCTCATAACTGTCTATTCATATATTGGGCTAAAATGATTTGTATTTGATCTCACCCCTCTTGCATGGTTTTGCTGTGAGACTAATATTGCACTGCATGGTTTTAAACTGTTTTGAAACTTGAATTGATGATTTTTAACCATTTGAATACATTACTTTTAATACTCTCATGAAATAAATATTGATGTTGTACTGACGATTTGAGTCTCCTTAGTTTAATTGATGTATTACAATGACCTGGTCACACAAATACACACACCTGTGTATACACCACTAAAACACTGCTAACACCAACATCAGAATCCTCACTTCATCTAAATCAAGATTAAACATGAACAGGAAGAAAGAGACAGAAATAAAATAATGTCAGAATTTAAAACAAATACACATTTGGAATATTCGAACTCTCTCTCTCTCTCTCTCTCTCTCTCTCTCTCTCTCTCTCTCTCTCTCTCTCTCTCTCTCTCTCTCTCTCTCTCTCTCTCTCTCTCTCTCTCTCTCTCTCTCTCTCTCTCTCTCTCTCTCTCTCTCTCTCATTTGTTTTGTCTTGAAAGTCAGGTGCCTGAGCTTTAAAGTGCTACGTACCTGTTGACATACTGCATGATGTTCCCAGGCCAGGCCAGCTTCACCTTCAGCTTCCCTCTGTGCTCCACAAAGAAGTCGACCAGAGTCCGTGTGACTGTGGCCGACGTGTGGAAGAAGAACGCCGGGATCCACAAGATGGCGCCATCCAAACGCTTCAGACTCAGGAAGAAGTTGTTCCGGTCCTGCACCGTCAGAAGGTTGTTGTAGTACTTCTCCAGGATACTGGGGTTAAAGGTCGTCATGTTGGTCCTACGCCCTGCCCAGAGAAAAACCATGTGTGAACCAGAGAGAGAGACCAGAGGGAGACCAGAGAGAGAGACTAGAAAGACCAGAAAGAGACTAGAAAGACCAGAGAGAGACCAGAGAGAGAGACCAGGGAAAGTCTGGTGTCTCGTACCGACGTCCTTCTTGAAGACTTCTGTGGGTGCAAAGTTGCAGCGGAACACAAAGTCAAAGGCGTCGATCTGGGTGCCGCACTTGGAGCCGGTGAGGATGCCGCTGTTGCCGATAACGGCGCAGCGGCGTTGGGTCCGGTGGGGGAGGGGCGGGGCCTCCGGGAGCAGCGAGTGGAAGTTCTCGCCGATGGAGTAAACGTACTTGTGGCTGGAGTAATCGTAGTGCATGAGCTGCCCCACCCTCACCGCCCCCCGCAGCAGGCTGAAGTTCTGAGGCACGTCCACATACTGCGCCATCTCTTGCCTGCAGACGCACAATATACACACACAGACGCACAATGGATACACACAGACGCACAATATACACACACAGACGCACAATCATTTACTGCGCCATCTCCTGCCTGCAGACGCACAATATACACACACAGACGCACAATCATTTACTGCGCCATCTCCTGCCTGCAGACGCACAATATACACACACAGACGCACATCCATGTACTGCGCCATCTCCTGCCTGCAGACGCATACACAGACGCAAAATATACACAGACGCACAAAGGATACACACAGATGCACAATGGATACACACAGACGCACAATATACACACAGAGAAGCACATCCATGTACTGCGCCATCTCCTGCCTGCAGACGCACAATATACACACAGACCGCACAATCATTTACTGCGCCATCTCCTGCCTGCAGACGCACAATATACACACACAGACGCACATCCATGTACTGCGCCATCTCATGGCTGCAGACGCACAATGGATACACACACACGCACAATATACACACACAGACGCACATCCATGTACTGCGCCATCTCCTGCCTGCAGACGCACAATATACACACACAGACGCACAATGGATACACACACGCACAATATACACACACAGACGCACATCCATGTACTGCGCCATCTCCTGCCTGCAGACGCATAATGTACACACAGACGCACAATGTATACACACACGCACAATGTATACACAAACGCGCACAATGTATATACACACACAGACGCACATCCACGTACTGCGCCATCTCCTGCCTGCAGCCGTACAAAACACACACAGACGCACAATGTATACACATAGACACACAATAGATACTCACACGCACAATGTATGCACACACACACACACAATATACACACACGTCCATGTACTGCGCCATCTCCTGCCTGCAGCCGTACAAAACACACACAGACGCACAATGTATACACACAGACGCACATTATACACACACAGACGCACAATGTATACACACAGACGCACAATGTATACACACAGACGCACAATATACACACAGACGCACAATGTATACACACAGACGCACAATGTACACACACACGCACAATATACACACAGACGCACAATGTATACACACACACGCACAATGTATACACACACACGCACAATGTATACACACAGACGCACAATGTATACACATACAATGATACAAGCAGAATATCCACACACGCACATCCACATCCATCTCCTGCCTGACAGACTCACAATGGATACACACACACACACACAGACGCACAATATATACACACACACACGAACATCCATGTACCGCGCCATCTCCTGCCTGACATACGCACAATATATACACAGACGCACATCCACGTGCACAGACATCTCCTGCCAGACAGACGCACAATATATACACACAGACACACAACATATACACACACACGCACATCCACGTACTGCGCCATCTCCTGCCTGACAGACGCACAATGTATACACACAGACGAACAATATATACACACAGACGCACAATTTATACACACACACGCACAATGTATACACACACACAACATATACACACAGACGCACAATATATACACACAGACACACAATGTATACGCACAGAAGCACAATGTATACACACAGACGCAATACAAAGAGACACACAATATACTGTATACACAGAGACGCACAATAAACAGACACATACGATACAGAGACACACACACTATATACACAGGACACAGAGGGAAGAAACCAGGAGGAGACCCAGGACACAGAGGGAAGAGACCAGGAGGAGACCAGGAGGAGACCCGGGACACAGAGGGAGGAGACCAGGAGGAGACCCAGGACACAGAGGGAGGAGACCAGGAGGAGACCCAGGACACAGAGGGAGGAGACCAGGAGGAGACCAGGAGGAGACCAGGAGGAGACCCAGGACACAGAGGGAGGAGACCAGGAGGAGACCCAGGACACAGAGGGAGGAGACCAGGAGGAGACCCAGGACACAGAGGGAGGAGACCCCGGGGAAGACCCAGGACACAGAGGGAGGAGACCCCGAGGAAGACCCAGGACACAGAGAGAGGAGACCCCGAGGAAGACCCAGGACACAGAGAGAGGAGACCCAGAGGAAGACCCAGGACACAGAGAGAGGAGACCCAGAGGAAGACCCAGGACACAGAGAGAGGAGACCCAGAGGAAGACCCAGGACACAGAGAGAGGAGACCCAGAGGAAGACCCAGGACACAGAGGGAGGAGACCAGGAGGAGACCAAGGACACAGAGGGAGGAGACCAGGAGGAGACCCAGGACACAGAGGGAGGAGACCAGGAGGAGACCCAGGACACAAAGGGAGGAGACCAGGAGGAGACCCAGGACACAGAGAGAGGAGACCAGGAGGAAGACCCAGGACACAGAGGGAGGAGACCCAGGACACAGAGGGAGGAGACCAGGAGGAGACCAGGAGGAAACCCAGGACACAGAGGGAGGAGACCCCGGACACAGAGGGACTATGTCTCTGTCTGGGAACACCTTGGGGGCCCCAGGATGAGCTAGAGGAGGTGTGTGAGCGGCAACGGATGAAGCGGAAGAAAATTGATGGATGGATAGTATGAAGGTTATTTTGTGTTTTTATTATGAACACTTTTTTTTGCTTTTGAATTCTATAAACTGTAACAAAAAAGTATTCAGTGTAAATAAATTCAATGTTTTAAAATTCAGTGTCCAAAAATTCAATGTTTTAAAATTCAGTGTCCAAAATATTCAATGTTTTAAAATTCAGTGTCAAAATATTCAATGTTTTAAAATTCAGTGTCAAAATATTCAATGTTTTAAAATTCAGTGTCCAAAAATTCAATGTTGAAAAAAATTCAGTGTCCAAAAATTCGTTGCATTTTTTTTCGCTGCTTGGAAATGTCATGCTTTATTTCCGGGTAAATCAAGAACAAAGCAATCGATCAGCCAATCCTCCATAGATGTAGCCAGGGCCAGAACACGACTTTGGCTTAATCCGAATGTCCACACTATTCCGTGCGGGACAATTGTGAGTGAGTGAGTGAACTCATTCTGATGGCGATTCGGACGTTGCACACTATTATCAGGCCGTGCTGTTGTACGTCAGCGTCCCGCTGTAGCATGGATCACGGAGTGGAGAGAGGAGCGGCCATGATGAGGTAAAGGTAAATGTTGAATTTACGTTTTAATTAGGACATAACGTTTAATTGTGTTAACATTGGAGGTGGGAAATACCCTTCTATTGTTATATCAGAGGTCTTTTTGGTGATTAAACATATTTTCTTTGGACTTTTTCTCCAGCCTTGAGCTCCAGTGCTAACACGCTAACCACGGGTGTAGAGCTGCGCTGATGCCCAGAATGGAGCGTCATGCCCTGGGAGTCATTTTGAGAGCTCCCTTATGCTAACAGTCTTCACTGTGGAAGTAATTATGAAAACCCAAAAAGGCGGCTTTTGTATCATACTTGCTGTTATAACAATTGTTTTAAGAGTTATCATTAGTCTTAAAAATGTGATATTTCATGTAAACAATGCATGTTTAGTGCGATTGATGGATTTGCTATGGCCCTCGTTTGTGCATCACTTAGTTGTAAAGTAAATTGTATTAAGTACAAACGTGATTATGTGCATTTACTGATGACAGGGGGACATCTGTGAACATGAAGCTGGACACAGAAGACGCGTGGACTTGAACTTACATACCAGATTTAAGGTCATGAGTACTTACTTTTTGAGCACAAGCTCCTTGCCTCTTGAAATCCAACAGACCTGATCATGTCAGAGTTAATGGCTTAAATATATTTGATTAGAAGTATTACTTAATTAAAAGCTATGAAACATGTTTCTCACGGATTGTGTGGTTGGTTAAAAAAACGCATACATCACTTTTCATTGCACACAAAGAACTAAATCATAATTTTTTTATTTTATTCCAGGTTGTGATGAGTCCACCGTAGAAAAGACAGTCAGTCAATCAATCAATCAATCAATCAATCCTTTATTATCTCACACAGATGGAGAAATTCAGTTCGATGAATAAACATCAAGGCCGGCCGCGTACTCTAATTTTCCGCGCTCCTTATGACAGTTATTCAACAGCATGTCAGAGGCAGACGTCCAGGCACCTGCTGTTGTTGCTACTGCATATGTTTTCAGAAAATGAGAGATGTGTTCTAACTATCCATGACTTGTAATTAATGAAACAAATGAACATATTGGTCGTTGTAGTTTATATCGTAATCCACAGAAGCTGGAGGTGATGGAAATGGATGAAGAAATGATGGCCTCTGGAAGACAGCTGCCTTTGGAAAATAAATTCACTCAAAAAAATCATTAATTTAAACAGACCCGGTTCTTCTGGGATTAAAATGAGCCTTTTGTTACAATCAGACATGTCGACATATATGTTCATATACATGTACTGTCCCAGTCAAATTAATTAATATAAATACACAGTAGTAGAGTAGAAACAGACGGAGGAGCAGAAGTACGATGCCTTTACAAACACACACTTGAACTTAACATGTGATATCAACAGTAAATGTAAATACATTGCCAGTCTTTAACAGGAGGCTGGTAGAGTGGGATTTACAAATATACTCAATTAAACCCATATCTATCAGTCTGATTCCTTTCTGTAGCATTAATATTGAATCCGTGGGTTTGTTTTCTCCCTAAAGAATCGATCTTTCATTCCATCTTGGTTTCACTAAGATGTCAAAATTTAAGAGTAAAGACAGAATAATTATCGGAGGTCTAGATACATAAAAATGAACAACATAATTAACAACAACCCCTTAGCATGCTCTGTCTCTAAACAGTCAGCAGGTTTCGTCCTTGCTGCACTGCTAGAATAATATACACATTGAAATTGGGAACATAGTACATATGTCACACAAGAACCGCAAACCCCCATGTACTTGGCTTTCCTGCGGTTCATTTTAGCTTAGCATTAGCGAAGATTAGCTTTGGGGAATTGCCAAAACCTAGAATCCACCTACGCGGAGCTAGCTAATGATAAGCTAAGGTAAAAACATGTTCAGAAAGTACATACAGTAGTGGTTTGCGTGTTACATACCAACTAATGATGAGAAAACACACTTACTGGTTTGCTGTGGACGCCATGTTCAGATGAACAAGTCATGTTCTGGCCCTGGCTACATCTATGGAGGATTGGCTGATCGATTGCTTTGTTCTTGATTTACCCGGAAATAAAGCATGACATTTCAAGCAGCGAAAAAAAATGCAACGAATTTTTGGACACTGAATTTTTTTCAACATTGAATTTTTGGACACTGAATTTTAAAACATTGAATATTTTGACACTGAATTTTAAAACATTGAATATTTTGACACTGAATTTTAAAACATTGCATTTTTGGACACTGAATTTTAAAACATTGAATTTATTTACGCTGAATACTTTTTTGTTACAGTTTATAGAATTCAAAAGCAAAAAAAAAGTGTTGATAATAAAAACACAAAATAACCTTCATTAGGATAGATACACAATAAACAGACACACACACAACATGCACACACACACACACACACACAGCCTGTGATGTCACATGACTCACCTCTGCTGGACAAACGCACTGTGGTTGAAGCTCCACTTGGACGAGTTGAGCAGGTCCTCAGTGAGAGCGCTGCCCAAAGGCACAAAGGCAGGATCCAGGTATTTAAGGGCCAGCTGGGAACTACGCACAGACACAGACACAGACACAGACAGACACACACACAGACAGACACACACACAGACACACAGTCAGTTGGGGACAAAGACCTCTCAGAATTAGCATTGCTTCTAAACAGACTCCATGCTGCTGCAGCGAGTGCCATTCAAGCTGTTTTTAAAAACAGAAATCATAGGAAAAAACAAAGCTGTTCCTGTGTCCACGAGAGAAACTCTACTCTACAGAGAGAGACCAGGGAGAGACCAGAGAGAGACCAGAGAGAGACCAGAGAGAGACCAGAGAGAGACCAGAGAGAGACTAGAGAGAGACCAGAGAGAGACTAGAGAGAGACCAGAGAGAGCAGATATTATACATATGTAATAATTGTGCATATGCAGCACAGAGGAAGAGGAGGCAGTCGAACAGAGAGGATCACAGCAGGACCACGATGAGACCAACCAGGTCTCGGGGGGAGGATGCAGATGTCCCAGTGCAGTGGTCCTGCTGTGGCCCCCAGTGTTGGGGCCGTGGGACCGAAGAGCATCATTCAGGAACGGAACGAGTCTAGAGTTTGGAAGAGTAATGTCACCTGAGCGCAGGCTTGGGAGGGGCGCGGTCACTGTAAGACAAACAACATGAGACCAGAGACCAGAGACCAGAGTGAGACCGGAGACCAGAGTGAGACCAGAGACCAGAGTGAGACCAGAGACCAGAGTGAGACCAGAGTGAGACCAGGGACCAGAGTGAGACCAAGGACCAGAGTGACACCAGGGACCAGAGTGAGGCCATGGACCAGAGTGACACCAGAGACCAGAGTGAGACCGGAGAGCAGAGACCAGAGTGAGACCGGAGACCAGAGTGAGACCGGAGACCAGAGTGAGACCGGAGACCAGAGTGAGCCCGTAGTCCAGAGTGACACCAGAGACCAGAGTGACACCAGACCCAGAGTGAGACCAGAGTGAGACCAGAGTGAGACCAGAGAGAGACCATAGACCAGAGTGACACCAGAGACCAGAGTGAGACCAGTGACCAGAGTGAGACCGGAGACCAGAGTGAGACCGGAGACCAGAGTGAGACCAGAGACCAGAGTGACACCAGAGACCAGAGTGAGACAGGAGGCCAGAGTGAGACCGGAGACCAGAGTGAGACCAGAGACCAGAGTGAGACCGGAGAGCAGAGACCAGAGTGAGACCGGAGACCAGAGTGAGACCGGAGACCAGAGTGAGACCGGAGACCAGAGTGAGCCCGTAGTCCAGAGTGACACCAGAGACCAGAGTGACACCAGAGACCAGAGTGACACCAGAGACCAGAGTGACACCAGAGACCAGAGTGAGACCGGAGACCAGTGTGAGACCGGAGACCAGAGTGAGACCAGAGACTAGAGTGAGACCAGAGTGTGACCGGAGACCAGAGTGAGACCAGATACCAGAGTGAGACAGGAGACCAGAGTGAGACCAGAGACCAGAGTGAGACCAGAGACCAGAGTGAGACCGGAGAGCAGAAACCAGAGTGAGACCAGAGACCAGAGTGAGACCGGAGTGAGACCAGAGACCAGAGTGAGACCGGAGACCAGAGTGAGCCCGTAGTCCAGAGTGAAACCTGAGACCAGAGTGACACCAGAGACCAGAGTGAGACCGGAGACCAGAGTGAGACCAGAGACCAGAGTGAGACCGGAGAGCAGAGACCAGAGTGAGACCAGAGTGAGACCGGAATGAGACGAGAGACCAAAGTAAGACCGGAGATCAAAGTGAGACCGGAGTCCAAAGTGAGACCAGAGAGAGACCGGAGACCAGAGTGAGGCCGGAGACCAGAGTGAGACCGGAGAGCAGAGACCAGAGTGAGACCGGAGATCAGAGTGAGACCAGAGACTAGAGTGAGACCAAAGACCAGAGACCAGAGTGAGACCGGAGAGCAGAGACCAGAGTGAGACCAGAGAGAGACCAGACAGAGACAAGTTACTAATAGTTGGTACAGATGTGATTTGACAGCAGTAATAGTTTCTCAATTGGCTTTTAGAGGAATGTGATGGTTTAAGTTCTCAGGGGAAAGACGAGCACGGGGCCCTTCTGTGTCTTTGCCGAACACTCACCGGAAACCTGCGTGCAGCATGTAGACACGGGCCCCCCCCCCCTGACCGTAGCGTGGACCTCCCCCCTGCAGGAAGTCTTTCTTGATGGACACGTAGCTGATGAGGGAGAGGATCAGCAGAGCCACGCTGAACATGACGAGCCCGAGAGCACTGACCAGCCGCACCATCCCGGCTCCGGCAGGGGCCCCCGCGATCACTGCTGCTGGGAGGGGCCTGCCGAGGGGCCATCCAGGACTGGGGCCTGGAGCACAGGAAGGAGGCAGAAGGAAGAAGGAAGAAGGATGAGCATGTTTACAAAGCACCATGGGAAACCAGATCATCCACCTGGTCCAAGGTTGTAGAACTGTGTGTTTCAGCACAGATCAGAGTGAGACCAGAGAGAGAGACCAGAGAGAGAGAGACCAGAGAGAGAGACCAGAGAGAGAGACCAGAGAGAGAGAGACCAGAGAGAGACCAGAGGGGGGGCAGAGGGAGAGAGACACAGAGAGACAGAGAGAGACCCAGAGACACACAGAGAGAAAACGCACATATGTAAGACAGAGGGAAATGTAAAATATGTAAATCTCCAGTTGTCAGAATCTAGAGGACAGGGCACTACATATGAAAGGAGGAGGAGAAGAGGACGCTGGGAAATGTAGTTTATAACACAGAGCAGAAGCAGAAACAGAGAGAGAGGAGGATGCGGTGAGGAGGAAGAGGAGGATGGTGATGCGGGGGATGGAGAACTCACACACGGGGAGGAGAGGAGGGGAGGATGCTGCTGGGGGCTTGGAGCTCTAGGGGCCTCTGCTTCGGGGTCCGGCCGTACAGCACTCTCTCCGGTGCCTCTGCTCTCAGTCCCGGGATCCCGTGTTGTTTCCGGTGCGGATGGAGGAGAGAGCGGAGCAAGGGGAGGAGCTGGTGACGCGACACTTCTGATGTGGCCGCGTCCAAATTCATACAATTACAGCTACGTCCTTCTTTGTCCTTCCTTCTCAGTTCTGACTAGCCCTAGAGCATAAGTTTGTCATCAGGGACATTGGTAACGTCTTGAGAAGGAGCTAAAGCTGATGTACCTCACTTTTTTGTTTCATAAATAACAGAGAAAGAGTCTCGTTAAAGTGAAATATAACGTTCTGTCTTTTCAGTCTGTGTTAGTTCTTAGTCGTACACATATTATTCAAATAGTATCTTTTGCATGGTCTCTCTGGTTTCCTTCTGTGGTCTCTCTCTCTGTGGTCTCTCTCTCTCTGTGGTCTCTGGTCTCTCTCTCTGGTCTCTCTCTCTGGTCTGCTGAAATGCAACATGAACGTAGTGTGACATCACATCTTTATTATTGCACAAACATAAACACTGATACTTTTACAGAAATGTCATGCAGTGATAAAACAAACAAAACATACGTATATATATAACATAAATATGTATATATATATGTATGTAACATGTATAATATCCACAGAACAGAGACCGAGCGGGTTTTCTGTAACGACACTTTCTACATGTATCTGAACAGTATTTATTCCTCTAAAAACGTCTGACTTTTAAATAAATAAATAAAACACAGTCCTAACGTGGGTTTGAGGAGTTCATTATTTTAAAACCACAAAAATCAAGATTTCACTTAGATTTTTTTTTTTTACTGAAAGTTCAGAAAAAATTACAGCAGAGACAAAGGGACAGGACTGGAATTGAAGTGGGACTGCACCAGGACTAGACTAGCTTTGAACCAGGACTGGACTGGGACTGAACTGGGACTGAACTGGGACTGAACTGGGACTGGACTGGGACTGGACTGGGACTGGACTGGGACTGAACTGGGACTGGACTGGGACCGTTAGACCATGAAGCGGTGCTCTTTGCCGTCGTGGGCCATCAGGATGACGTTCCGGTTGGAGGTCCAGATGAGGCGGGCCAGCTTCAGGTGGTTCTGGGACCCGGGGGAGGCGGGCTGCACCGGTGGGACCTGGTAGGTCTTAATGCACCGCAGCTGAGGCGCCGAGTTCAACATCCCAATGCTCCCCAACAGACTGGTGTTCATCTGCGAGAGAGAGAGAGAGACAGACAGACTGGTGTTCATCTGCGAGAGAGAGAGAGACTGGTGTTCATCTGCGAGCGAGAGAGAGAGAGAGAGAGACAGTCTGGTTTTCATCTGCGAGAAAGAGAGAGAGACTGGTTTTCATCTGCGACAGAGAGAGAGACTGGTGTTCATCTGCGAGAGAGAGAGACTGGTTTTCATCTGCGACAGAGAGAGAGAGAGACTGGCGTTCATCTGCGAAAGAGAGAGACTGGCGTTCATCTGCGAGAGAGAGAGAGAGACTGGTGTTCATCTGCGAAAGAGCGAGAGAGACTGGTGTTCATCTGCGAGAGAGAGAGACTGGTGTTCATCTGCGAGAGAGAGAGACTGGTGTTCATCTGCAAGAGAGAGAGAGAGAGACAGACTGGTGTTCATCTGCGAGAGAGAGAGAGACAGACTGGTGTTCATCTGTGAGAGAGAGAGAGAGACAGACTGGTGTTCATCTGCGAGAGAGAGAGACAGACTGGTGTTCATCTGCGAGAGAGAGAGACAGACTGGTGTTCATCTGCGAGAGAGAGAGAGACAGACTGGTGTTCATCTGCGAGAGAGAGACAGACTGGTGTTCATCTGCGAGAGAGAGAGACTGGTGTTCATCTGCGAGAGAGAGAGAGAGAGAGAGAGAGAGAGAGAGAGAGAGAGAGACTGGTGTTCATCTGCGAGAGAGAGAGTGAGAGACAGACTGGTGTTCATCTGCGAGAGATAGAGAGACTGGTGTTCATCTGCGAGAGAGAGAGACTGGTGTTCATCTGCAAGAGAGCGAGAGAGAGACAGATAGATAAAGAGACTGGAGAGAGAGAGACTGGAGAGAGAGAGACAGAGACCGAATTTTACTATTCTCTCTCTCATCTCCATGTTTCTGTTTCTCTCTCTCGCTCTCTCCTTTCTCTCTCTTGTCTCTCTCAGATATTCAGACAGCAAATACTGCATGTTTTAATCTAATCACTGTCTAATAATGATCTGAGAAAAAACAGGAAACTGGGCCAACTCCTGCTGAAACTGGGCCGACTCCTGCTGAAACTGGACCGACTCCTGCTGAAACTGGACCGACTCCTGCTGAAACTGGACCGACTCCTGCTGAAACTGGACCGACTCCTGCTGAAACTGGACCGACTCCTGCTGAAACTGGACCGACTCCTGCTGAAACTGGACCGACTCCTGCTGAAACTGGACCGACTCCTGCTGAAACTGGACTGACCTGCCAGAAGCAGATGTGGCTGTCTGCGTTGGAGTATGTCGCCAGGTATCGTCCGTCTGGAGCAAAGGACACCGCGGTGATGGGACCTTTGTGTCCGTGGATATTCTGAACAAACACATGCACACGCACACGCACGCACAAACACACACACACAAAATTACATACATGTAGGACTAAACTGGACTAGGATCTAAGTAGGACTAACAGTTAATCACTATTGGACTCAGTGAAAGGTGGTCCTCTCTCAGAGAAAGACCAGAGAGAGAGACCAGAGAGAGAGACCAGAGAGAGAGAGACCAGAGAGAGAGAGACCAGAGAGAGAGACCAGAGAGAGAGAGACCAGAGAGAGAGACCAGAGAGAGAGAGACCAGAGAGAGAGAGACCAGAGAGAGAGACCAGAGAGAGAGAGACCAGAGAGAGAGAGACCAGAGAGAGAGACCAGAGGGAGACCAGAGGGAGACCAGAGAGGGAGACCAGAAAAAGACCACAGAGAGACCAGAGAGGGAGACCGGAGAGAGAGACCAGAGACAGAGACCGGACAGAGAGACCAGAGACAGAGACCAGAGAGAGAGACCAGAGAGAGAGAGACCAGGGAGAGAGAGACCAGAGAGAGACCAGAGAGAGAGACCAGAAAAAGACCAGAGAGAGAGACCGGAGAGAGAGACCAGAGACAGAGACCGGAGAGAGAGACCAGAGACAGAGACCAGAGAGAGACCAGAGGGAGACCAGAGAGAGACCAGAGGGAGACCAGAGAGAGAGACCAGAGGGAGACCAGAGAGAGAGACCATAGATAGACCAGAAAGAGAACGAGAGACCAGAGAGGGACCAAAGAGTGACAAAAGACCAGAGAGCAACCAGAGGGAGAAACCAGAGTGAGAGATCAAAGAGTGACCAGAAAGAGATCAGAGACCAGAAACAAATCAATACAAAAACTACTGATTTTGAGCCAGGAACGGACATACATTTCATGACTTGGTTATATTTTTGTGGAAAGTTAAAGTGATAGTAATACTCTAAATGAAATACAAATTTTAGGAAATGTGTTAAATTGACCTCCTGGCCTTAAATGTTGATATAAAATAAGTCATTTTATTAATTCTAATATTACGGGCAAGTCCCGCCTTCCCTTCTCTTAGCTATAGCTCAGAATCCACGGTGCAGTCGAGGTTAACCAATCGAGTCATGCCAAGGGCTGTCAATCATCAGCGCTGATGCTCGTAGCTGCTCATGCTCAGTTGTTTGTTTTCACGGAACCTCCGAATAAAGCCTCCATTAGGCTCTGGAACTTCATGAAAACTGAACAAAGGAATTCTGAACATCTGCGCTGAGGTACTCATTTATATACTGAACCTATGTCCATAGTCAGATCCTCTGCAGATGTGTCCTATAATGTGCTATTCATGATAATTGTTTCTTCCGGGTTTGCCGCAATCGCTTTTTTGTGTGCATAAAAACATTAATTTTCTCATTAAAACGTTAACAAATAATTCTGAAAACCTGCGTGCATGTGTGCATGTATAATGTGTTCTCTGATTAACATTTAAAAGTGTTACGGAAACGTAGGCGTAGACCAATAAGAAAGGAAGGGGGAGGAGCTTGCGTCGTTTTTTCAAATCAAGTACTTCTCTCTCTTTCTGACAAACTCCAGACAATCACTTTATGGATATGTTGTGGTTTGAAAGTTAGGATCCCCAGCTTTAAGTCTGACCTTGCTCCTATTTTCAGAACGTACCTGACATTTCCCAGTGCGGACGTCGTAGAGCGCCACAGAGCCCTGGCGAGCGCCCACAGCGATGCGGTGGCTGCGGTCACAGTAGCCGACCATGTAGAACCTGCGCCGAACCGGACAGGGTCAAACAGAGACTATACACAGACTGACGATGCTAAACTGCTAGCTCAATAGCAAAAGTGCTATTGGTTGTTCTGGTCCAACTCTTACATGTGAACTTAAACTCCTCTAGCTCAGTAACCGTTTGCATCACACGCACCATTTTGGGCTGAAAACAACATGGTTTAGCGCTTTCTTTCTCTCTCTCTCTCTCTGGCCTCTCTCTCTCTCTCTCTCTGGCCTCTCTCTCTGGCCTCTTTCTCTGGCCTCTTTCTCTGGCCTCTCTCTCTGGCCTCTCTCTCTGGCCTCTCTCTCTGGCCTCTCTCTCTGGCCTCTCTCTCTGGCCTCTCTCTCTGGCCTCTCTCTCTGGCCTCTCTCTCTGGCCTCTCTCTCTGGCCTCTCTCTCTGGCCTCTCTCTCTGGCCTCTCTCTCTGGCCTCTCTCTCTGGCCTCTCTCTCTGGCCTCTCTCTCTGGCCTCTCTCTCTGGCCTCTCTCTCTGGCCTCTCTCTCTGGCCTCTCTCTCTGGCCTCTCTCTCTGGCCTCTCTCTCTGGCCTCTCTCTCCACTGATATGCTCTGAGGTTTCGGGCTCTACGATTTCAAACCTTTTCTCCCCTAAACCTTAACTGCAGAGACAGGACACAGGTGCAGAGTGGGCACACACCTGCAGATGGCGGGGAAGCACTCCTGCAGCCCCTTCTTCTTCACCAGAGACCCCTCGATGCAGTACATGATGATGTCCATGACCTGAGAGCAGAGAGAGCGGTTACATCTGTGTTTTACTGTGTCTGAAATACTGCAAGATTTGGATGGAATCACCGGCGCAAACCAGCGTCGCACAGAGCTGGACAATGCTAACCCAAGGAAGCCCAATACGAAAGTTTTGGAAAGTAAACTCCTCCTTATAAGGAAACTGGCTCAAAACTGCCAATATAAAAACTTACGCCGAACTTAAGTCAAAATCTGCATTATTAGGATTTTGACTGTAGTTTGTTCATTGCTATTCACCCGTTGTCCCATTGTCTGTTTCATGGCGCAATGACGGGACCTCTGAGCCTGGCCTCCTTCAGTCCTGCACCGGACCTGTCCACGTTCAACGGCCACTGGTCCACGTTCTGTAGCTTAGGTCCTGGATCTGCAGCCTCAGTTCTCGTTCTACAGTCTGAGTCCTGGATCTACATCCTCAGTCCTCAGTCCTCGTTCTACAGTCTGAGTCCTGGGTTTTAGAGTTTTTCCTCTGATGCAGAAGGGTCTGTTGGACAGTTAGTAACAGACAAGAAGGACTGTGATGATCCAGGACACTTTAAAGGAATAGGCCATCGTTTTTACATACGGACATATGTTCTTACCTTACCTTAGACTAGTTGATATGTACCTGTCTGGTCTTTGTCCGTGCGCTCTGTCATCCAAACGGAGCACAAACGCAGCCTCTTCCACATTCTGTATAGTAACAAATCAGCTCCCGTTAGAAGCAATATAGTACCTCTTTTTATCCCCTGAGAAAATCAACATGTTACATTTCTGTGTTACTCTACTTTGTAGTGTAACACGTCACGTAACTGTATTTAAATAGGGAACACTTGGGAGAGTTTGGTAGCTTCTAACGGGAGCTGATTTGGAACTATACAGTCTGTGGAAGAGGCTGCGTTTGTGCTCCGTTTGCAAGACAGAGAGCGCACGGACAAAGACCAGACAGGTACATATCAACTAGTCTAAGGTAAGGTAAGAACATATGTCAGTATGTAAAAACGGTGACCTATTCCTTTCACATTCTACATGTATGACATTTATCAACATGTATGACATTTATCAACATGTGTTCTATATCTTTTGTGTTTTAACTGGTGATTCTCTGATCTGTGTTGGTGATTTCAATGGTTAAGCCTGGTTCACACGAGACGATTTTAAAATTGTCGGCCGATTTTTCTCCGTGTTAGACCCCACACGGGGAGATTAAAAATCCTGCGTCTAACCACTTTGGTCGTGCAGTATGTGGTGCGTAGCCACACGGCAAGATCACGCAAACCACAAACATCACACACGAACCGACACCCCCCCCCCGAGCATTCCCAGGTCAGACGGAAATCTCACAAAATCTCTTGAGATCAAGCGTGACTTCAGAGTAAACAGTCATGGCGGACGAAGAGGATGCAGTGGCGATAGTGTGCAGTTTGTTGTTAACAGAGAAGACACGTAATTCAAAGAAAAGGCAATGGTCAAAGCCATGCTGCTGTGTTTTGGTTTTTTTCCGGTGTTTCCTCACCGGCTTGTCACCTCGTCTTCTTATTGGCTACACGCCGTAGTCATGGTAACGCGCTCGCTTGTCCTCGGAGGACACCACACACGACAAGAAATCGGGCCAAAACAATCCAACATGTTGGATATCCCCGATTTGAGTCCTTCCGAGCGACGAGTGCAGTCTTAACACACCACACACGGCAGGATAATCTGTAAGATTTTGTTACGGAAATCGGAGCGTTTCTTAAGATTGTCGTAAGGGTTAAATCGGGTCTAAATCGGCCTAAATATCCTGCCGTGTGAACCAGGCTCAAGTCTCTGAGAGGATGCTGCTGTGATTTAGGGAAATACAAGAATGTGTTTTGTTGTGTTGTAATTGCAATTGTGTAATGCTGCGTTCAGACCGGATCATGCGTTGCGTCGGCTTTCAATGCAAAGTCAATGGTGACGCGTGGATTCCGAGCATCTCCCGGGACCAAGTGTAAATATCATCATAGGTTAACATGGAAAAAAGTTACGCGCGTCTGCTGCGCGTATAACGCGTACGTGCTGTAACGCGTAATGTGTAAATTAGCAGTCAGACACAGACACGCTGCAAAGCTGCATTATTGGAGAAGATCTGTACACAAGAAGCCGCTAGCTTAACTCTGTTAGCATCAGAGCCCGCCGGCTACTTCCACAACTTGCGGCACGCGCCAGGACCTCTGGTCTGAAGACCCCTGCCTCTGAAAACTAGAGAACGTACGTTTCAGTGTTGGCGGTCTGACAGCACCATAACAGTATGGGGGGTGACCGCCCCTTCTACCCTCAGCGGTCGCTCAGTGTTGAAGGAAGAGGATTAATATTTATTAAGTAACTTTAAAGCAGTTAACCCTCTCCTCCTCACCCCTTCCTCCCTCTCTGCCCCGCCCCAACCTCACAAACCTCCACCAACAGGTCCACCACGTCAGCAGGCATCTTCTCGATCAGGATGTCCAGGACCCGCAGGATCTCTGTCTTGGCTCGGGCCAAAGTGCTGGTGTGGACGTTCTGCTGGGACTGAGAGTTTGCCTGAGCCGCGTTGAACCGATGCACCTGTAACAAGAACCACACCTTACCAACGGTCCAGGCCCCTGTCGGGTCTGACTGTTTTTTATGTTTACCTCGCGGGCGATGGTGGTGATGAAGGCCGGGGGGCGGGCCGTGGCGATGAGCGACAGAGCGTGGCGAGCGGAGCGAGCAGAGTCTGCCACAGGGTTCAGAGGAAGACCCACAGTCACACTGCAACACACACACACACAGACATAGACACACACACAGGCACACACACACAGACACACACACAAACACACACACAGAGACGTTAGAAATTCCCTTATTATGAAAACAATGGATACAAATACAGCTCTTTAGTGAATCAGTCACATGTTACTGTCATATGAACCTGCACTGTGTGTGTGTGTGTGTGTGTGTCTCTTTGTGTGTCTGTGTGTGTCTCTTTGTCTGTGTGTATCTGTGTGTTACACTGACTTGGCGAGCTGCTTCTCTGCGTCCGCACACATTTCCAGCAGACCCAGCAGAACCGCGGACACGTCCATGTAGGGCTCCCACACGGTGAAGCCGCGGCCGATCAGGTCGATGGCCGTGCGGCGGATGGTGCTGTGTCCCGGCAGCTTTGGGGAGGGCGGCTGCAGCAGCAGGAAGGTCAGGGCTTTACCTGCACACACCAGAGTTTAGAGACACCAGCAACACACACCAGAGTTTACAGACACCAGCAACACACACCAGAGTTTACGGACACCAGCAACACACACCAGAGTTTAGAGACACCAGCAACACACAAAAGAGTCTACAGACACCAGGAACACACACCAGAGTCTACAGAGACCAGGAACACACACCAGAGTCTACAGACACCGGGAACACATACCAGAGTCTACAGACACCAGCAACACACACCAGAGTCTACAGAGACCAGGAACACATACCAGAGTCTACAGACACCAGGAACACACACCAGAGTCTACAGACACCAGGAACACACACCAGAGTTGAGACACCAGGAACACATAAAAGAGTTTACAGACACCAGGAACACACACCAGAGTCTACAGACACCAGGAACACACACCAGAGTTTACAGACACCAGCAACACACACCAGAGTTTAGAGACACCAGCAACGCACACCAGAGTTTACAGACACCAGCAACACACACCAGAGTTTACAGACACCAGGAACACACACCAGAGTCTACAGAGACCAGGAACACATACCAGAGTCTACAGACACAGGAACACACACCAGAGTCTACAGACACCAGGAACACACACCAGAGTTGAGACACCAGGAACACATTAAAGAGTTTACAGACACCAGGAACACACACCAGAGTCTACAGACACCAGGAACACACACCAGAGTCTACAGAGACCAGGAGCACACACCAGAGTCTACAGACACCAGCAACACACACCAGAGTTTAGAAACACCAGGAACACACACCAGAGTTTAGAGACACCAGGAACACACACCAGAGTTTAGAGACACCAGCAACACACACCAGAGTTTACAGACACCAGCAACACAAACCAGAGTTTACAGAAACCAGCAACACACACCAGAGTCTACAGACACCAGGAACACACACCAGAGTCTACAGACACCAGGAACACACACCAGAGTTTACAGACACCAGGAACACACACCAGAGTCTACAGAGACCAGGAAAACACACCAGAGTCTACAGACACCAGGAATACATACCAGAGTCTACAGACATCAGGAACACACACCAGAGTTTACAGACACCAGGAACAGCAGGTCATGGCCCCTTTAACATCCTCAGAGTAATGTTTGTGCTTTGTGAACACTACACATCATATTTAAAATGTGGAGAGTAGTTTCAGGGACAGACTGATCCACCCTTTGCATGTGAAGGAGGGCTCTGCAGGTCTTTCCCTCCTGCTGCGGTCAGACTGTACAATACGCACTACTGTACATGTCATTCATGTTCTATAGTTCAGAAAGATATTTACATACGTTTATTACTGCTAGTACCAGCATTCACGGCTCCATATCTCTGTAAAACATAATATGTGTGGTACTACTCTTACTCCTGTGCTATAAGTGCGCTGCAACACCGACATTTCCCTGCTGTGGTACGAATGAAATGATTCTGATTATCTATTTAACTTGAACTCCTGCTGTCAGTGGAGCAGACTCACATGTGTGTCTGGCCAGGGAGTAGTTGGAGCCTCCGCTGGTCAGGCCGAAGCCCTCAGGAGCCTGGCCCCCGGTGCGAGTCCTGGAGCCTTTGGACGGCTCGATCTCGGCCCCAAACTCGGCCCCGATGACCCCCAGCAGCACGATGGCCGTCGCCTGCTTCCGACGCTCCTCATACGAGTTACAGATCTTCTTAGTGCTTGGAGGGAGGTTGGACAGACAGCCTGAGAGAGAGGGAGGGTTAGAGGAGGTGGCAGGAGGGAGAGGAGGGTGGGCAGGAGGAGGGAGAGGAAGTGGGGGAGGAGGGAGAGGAAGTGGGGGAGGAGGGAGAGGAGGTGAGGGAGGAGGGAGAGGAAGTAGGGGAGGAGGGAGAGGAGGAAGGGGCGGAGGGAGAGGAGGTGAGGGAGGAGGGAGAGGAGGTGGGGAGACGGGAGATTAGCTAAAGCGACAAAGACTGGAACTGCGTGTGTATCACTTTAAGAACATGAAGGTGTGTATGTGTGTGCGCATATACTGTATGTATGTATATACTGTATGTATATATGTATGTATTTATATGTGTGTATGTATGTACATACACACATCCCAGTATTTAGTGCCTTATAGGTCACAGTATAGTCTTCGTCACAATGAACATCTCTTCTTCACTGTCCCAAGAATAAAGAGAGAAAATCGGAAATGATGCTTTCTGTGTCCGGGCGCCTCGTGACTGGAACAACCTTCCAGCTTCCATTCGCTCCCTCACATCCTTTCCTCTGTTCCGAACGGCTGTTAACTCATCTTAAGAACACTTGTCTTTGTTTGTAACATCTCCTACATAGATACCAAACACGTGTACATGAACAATTTTGAATACAATTCATTAAGCTATCTCCATGTGTTTGCTTTTAGACATATGTATATGTGTGTATGTGTATCTGTTTATATGCATGTATGTATGAACATACACAAATACACTTATTAAATGATAACTACTGTATCTTATGGCAATCTTTCTGTAAATAGTGGGTAAGTGAATAGTGAGAGCTGTGTGAGTGTGTTGCATGAGTGTGTGTGTGTGTGTTGCATGAGTGTGTGTGTGTGTGTTGCATGAGTGTGTGTGTGTGTGTTGCATGAGTGTGTGTGTGTGTGTTGCATGAGTGTGTGTGTGTGTGTTGCATGAGTGAGTGTGTGTGTTGCATGAGTGAGTGAGTGTGTGTGTGTGTGTGTTGCATGAGTGAGTGAGTGTGTGTGTGTGTGTTGCATGAGTGTGTGTGTGTGTGTTGCATGAGTGTGTGTGTGTGTGTTGCATGAGTGAGTGTGTGTGTTGCATGAGTGAGTGTGTGTGTTGCATGAGTGAGTGTGTGTGTTGCATGAGTGAGTGTGTGTGTTGCATGAGTGAGTGTGTGTGTTGCATGAGTGAGTGTGTGTGTTGCATGAGTGAGTGAGTGAGTGAGTGAGTGAGTGAGTGAGTGAGTGAGTGAGTGAGTGAGTGAGTGAGTGAGTGAGTGTGTGTGTGTGTATACATATATATATATATATATATATATATACAGTGCCTTGCGAAAGTATTCGGCCCCCTTGAACCTTTTAAAATTTTACATTTCAGGCTTCAAACATAAAGATATAAAAAAATATTTTTTTGTCAAAATGTATTGGATAATTTAAACTTTTTTAACAAATAAAAACTGAAAAGACGGGCGTGCAATATTATTCGGCCCCCTTGCGCAATTACAGCTGTAAGTCGCTTGGGGTATGTCTCTATCAGTTTTGCACATCGAGAGCCTGGAATTCTTGCCCATTCTTCCTTACAAAACAGCTCGGGCTCAGTGAGGTGGCTTGTGGCAAACTTTAAACGAGACTTTTTATGGATATCTTTGAGAAATGGCTTTCTTCTTGCCACTCTTCCATAAAGGCCAGATTTGTGCAGTGCACGACTGATTGTTGTCCTATGGACAGACTCTCCCACCTCAGCTGTAGTTATCTGCAGTTCATCCAGAGTGATCATGGGCCTCTTGGCTGCCTCTCTGATCAGTCTTCTCCTTGTTTGAGATAAAAGTTTGGAGGGACGGCCGGGTCTTGGTAGATTTGCAGTGGTCTGATACTCCTTCCATTTCAATATAATTGCTTGCACAGTGCTCCTTGAGATGTTTAAAGCTTGGGAAATCTTTTTGTATCCAAATCTGGCTTTAAACTTCTCCACAACTTTGTCTTCATGGTTCTCTCGCTTTAAACAAAACCCTGAGACTATCAAAGAGCTGGTGCATTTATACGGAGACTTGATTACTCACAGGTGCATTCTATTTATCATCATCAGTCGTTTAGGACAACATTGGATCATTCAAAGATCCTCACTGAACTTCTGGAGTGAGTTTGCTGCACTGAAAGTAAAGGGGCCGAATAATATTGCACGCCCCACTTGTCAGTTTTTTATTTGTTAAAAAAGTTTAAATTATCCAATAAATTTTGTTCCACTTGTTGATTCATGACAAAAAATTAAAATTTTATATCTTTATGTTTGAAGCCTGAAATGTGGCCATGAAGTGGGAGATGGGGGGAGGGGTTAATAAAAAAGGCAATACAAGCAAACAGTATACAGTCATACAGTAGATATACCGAAGGTAAACAGAGAAACAGCATAGAGTATTTACATGAACAAATTAAAACAACAAAAACGAACAAAATATTTACAGATTGTTTATCATCATCATAATGACACCATGATGTTTCTATACAGTCTATGGTCTATACCCACACATACACACACAGACCCACACACACACATTGAAGGGGCTTTTTGTTACCAATTATTTATTTTGTCATCCATTTATTGATGATTTTGCATCAAATGTTAGTGTGTAATATAACACTACACATTGTTTTCAATAAAAAAAGCAATTGCACACAGCACGCAAATGTGTGACTAATTTGCGATTAATCGCGAGTTAACTATGAAATTCATGCGATTAATCGCGATTAAATATTTTAATCGTTGGACAGCACTAATTATATATATATATATATATATATATATATATATATACACACACACACATAAATAACTTATTCTCCTTTTTTGCAACGTTTTTTGTTGTTGTCCTTTCTTTCCTTTAAATGAAAAATAAAATGTAAAAAAATAATATAAGAACATGGAGGAGGCTCGTACCTGCGCTGATGTCATCGTCCACCACGTCCATCTCCTCCTCCGGGAGCTTGCTCTCGATTGGCTGAGCCTCTGGAGGGGGCAGGGCTGAGGCAGGTTGCTCACTGCCGGCTCCAGCTGTGAACAGGACATCAGTGTTTGGCGCTCGGGTCTGGGGTCAGACTCCCGGAGACTGAGGACTTACGTGAGCTGACGGCGTCTACGTACTGCGGCAGGTACGGCGCCCACAGGTCGATGGCGTCCTTTCGGCCCGACACGCCGATCCTCCGCAGCTCCGCCAGCAGCAGAGCCTGCGCCGCCTCCCGCACCTGCACCACGGACAGACAGGGAAATGGAGTAGGACACGACTGGAATGAGCAGCAAGTCAAGGCAAGTTTATTTGTATTGCACAGATCATAAAAACTCTTAAAATCAGAAATAATCACTTTACAACTTTAAACTTTAAAAAGAAAAGATAAAATCCTTCAGTTGAAGCAGAGAAACAGAACAGTTTTTAAAGGCTGCACTTCTCAGTGTGCACCGTGTGATCCCTGGATCTATTATAATAACTGGATAGAGTATTACCATGGATCTATTATAATAACTGGATAGAGTATTACACAGAGAACCTGACTGAGAACCTGACTGAGAACCTGACTGAGAACCTGACTGAGAACCTGACTGAGAACCTGACTGAGAACCTGACAGAGAACCTGACAGAGAACCTACAGCTTTCATAAAGGTTGTATTTTGTGGGGATTTTAGTGTCCCTTGTCATCCTGAACTTTTGGTTTTGGTTTCACTTTACTGCCACAAACTCTGCTCGTTTCCTTCCCGCTCTAACTCCACGCTGCCCTCTGATTGGTCAGAACGCTGCCCTCTGATTGGTCAGAGCACGGCCGAGCCCCACTGTGCACGTGCATGAGAGCCACACATGCGTATTTGGCTCAAAGCATCATGGGAACTCATCCACTGCGCAGAACCGGGAGGACCAGATGATGTCTAAATATAGCGAGTGATATGGAGAGTTCCGCTAATATGTCAGCGCCCGTGCCGGCGCCACTGATCACAAACCATTCATTTGAATACGACGCCATCTTGGATCGCCGGGGCTTGGTGTGGTCCCACTCCTTCTGTAACCGGGTCCAACACTGACATTTTCTCTTTATCATTCTGTGAATTTTCGACGGCCTCGGCCTCGGCCTCGGCGTCTGACTCGGCCTCGGCCTCGGCCTCTGCGTCTGACTCGGCCTCGGCCTCGGCCTCTGCGTCTGACTCGGCCTCGGCCTCTGCGTCTGACTCGGCCTCGGCCTCGGCCTCTGCGTCTGACTCGGCCTCGGCCTCGGCCTCTGCGTCTGACTCGGCCTCGGCCTCGGCCTCTGCGTCTGACTCGGCCTCGGCCTCTGCGTCTGACTCGGCCTCGGCCTCAGCCTCTGCGTCTGACTCGGCCTCGGCCTCAGCCTCTGCGTCTGACTCGGCCTCGGCCTCTGCGTCTGACTCGGCCTCGGCCTCGGCCTCTGCGTCTGACTCGGCCTCGGCCTCGGCCTCAGCCTCGGCCTCAGCCTCAGCCTCGGCGTCTGACTCGGCCTCGGCCTCAGCCTCAGCCTCAGCGTCTGACTCGGCCTCGGCCTCAGCCTCAGCGTCTGACTCGGCCTCAGCGTCTGACTCGGCCTCGGCCTCAGCCTCGGACTCACCTCCAGACAGCGGTCTTGCCAGCGCCGGGCCAGCATCTCCAGCAGGGGGGGGCGGTACTTATCCAGCCCCAGCAGGTCAGGGAGCATCACACAGTGCATGGCTGCAAGCTGGCTCCAGCCTTCAAAACACACAAACTCAGGTGAGAACATGGCCCTCTGCTGCTGGGAGCTCCGGCCTGCCACCGTACTCACTGCATCCACAGCTTTTAGCATTTTAGAACATGGTCTGAGTCAGAGCTCATGTTTTAGAATGTGGAGTATTGAAACAAATATTTAAATGAACGAGATGACCAGAGGATTATATAAGATTAAGATATAAATTCATAATAAGCTCCATTTGGTACATATATAAATGTAAATATATACATATATTCTTATATGGACTTATTAGTTTGCCACAATAATGACATTTAGCCGCATTAGCATGTGGAGCATGTTTTACTTCTGTTTTACATCTTTGTAGTTTTCTTTCTTGTATTTTTTTTTTTTTTCCAAGTGATGAAAATAGTCTTTCTGTTGTTGAACTAAAATGAGTAATGTGACAGACCCAACACAAACATGTACCCACTGACAGCACAAGGAAATGCTAAGCAGGAGACTGTGGAGAAACAGTGATGGGAGTGTACACACATGAAGCCATGGTGTTGTGCTGGGAGTGTGTGAACGTGGCTTCAGACGGCAGGAGGAGCAGAACACACACACAGACACACAGACAGACAGACACACACACACACACACACACACATATGCAGAGAGCAGAGCCAAAGGGTAAAGAACCAAGAGGACAGACCATAGGCAGTTCTAAACTGGCTTTTCCTCCTGTGTTGTAATACTGCATCAACCCGTGACAGTGGTGGGAACGGCTGGCGTGTTGTTTGAGAGACCAGAGAGAGACCAGAGAGAGAGACCAGAGAGAGAGACCAGAGAGAGAGACCAGAGAGAGAGAGACCAGAGAGAGACCAGAGAAAGACCAGAGAGGGAGGCCAGAGAGGGAGACCAGAGAGAGACCAGAGAGAGACCAGAACAAGAACAACTTTATAAAGGAAAGAGCAGAACATGCAACGGCCCAAACTCTGACAATGAGAGTTTGTGCCGTCACTCTCCCAAACACGGCTCCACGGCTCGTTACGCTATCAATATACAAACTACAGTTTGCTTTGATTGTGTCTAAATGACTGCCTCTGCAAAAAGACTTTGTCGTAAGGCGGGTTAAAGGCTGACTTGTTTTGACACAACAACTTTCTTTTTTGACAAATAACATATTTTTTGTCCCAAAAGAACAAATCAGACCAATAGACCAGACTAAATCATTCACTTTTCTGTCTGAATGGCTGATCCATGTGACGAGGCCAAACATACATGAAACTAGTGAGCGCGAGGAACTAGTTATCCCATAGTTTATGCATCTTTTATTAAAGCCGGGGTACCTGACTTTAAAGGGCCCCATATCACGGTTTTTGACTTTTCTCTGCTTTAAACATTACAATGCTATTTGGCCTTCATACACAAGCCCACAGTAGTTTATTCATTGATTCTGTCAATCTTTTGTAAGAAAGCAATCTGTCTCCTTCCCCAGCGTGAGGCACAGAAACGCTCGGGTCCACTTCAGTGACAAAAACCAAACTGATGACGCGCATGACCCCGTTTGCTTTGTATTTAAAATAGTTGTTAAATACTTTTGTCAAAACGGGGTAAACAATACACAATTAGTATGCTGTTTTTTGTCAAAAATAATAAAAATAAAAATAAATTAAAAGCCGGCAGGAGGTGATTGACGGATCAAAACAGCGAATCAGAGCGCACAGGCTCCGGCTCCCGAGTCCAGCGTCTGTGGTCTGGTCTCGCGGACACCACATAGAGCTGCTGTTTTTATGCTTTTGTCAGCAACTAAAAGTGTTAGGATCACGTCAACTTGAATGAAGTGTGTTATGGGTGTAAATATGTGACACACTATTTGGCCCTAAGAGGAAGAAAGCGGCTCGACTTTTTTCATCTGTTCATCTCATGTATCTATTATAATACCGGTTCACCTGCGACACTTCACTGAAACTGTTCCAGAACTACAGGGACAATGGAACTGGACTTACTCAAAAGCTGATCTGGAAACACGTTATTCCCACGGTAAAAGACGTAACTCGGACCCCCTCGATCTGTAAGTAGTGACGCTAACTCGCTGTATACTTCTGTAAACTAAATAACTAGGGTCTGATTGTGCATCAAGGACATAGGGATCGATGTGACGGATTGTCATTGTTGGAAAAAGTTTATTCTTATGTATGAAATTACTAAGTACAGGTGATAAACGACAAAAGCGTGATGCTACGTCACCGTGCGGGCGGGGGGAGGCAGGCTCACAGGCAGAGGAGCAGACTCTTCTCTGGATCAGCTCGTTTGAGTCGAGGTGACGTCACCTCTATACAAGAGATGGCTCTAATCTCACAAGCTTTGATTGTTGTGTGGTGTATCATACACATTAATATCACACATGTGCATAGGATTGAGTGTGAAACATGAAGAAAAGCTGGATATAGGACCTTTAAGTTTGCTCTGACTGATACATTCACACTAAAGCTAAGCTAATTCTAGAGCTATTACTTTGGGGATGGTTTTGAAGTACCTTCGTTCATTGAGGGGATGCTAGGATTAACTTGGGGCCCCTGAGGAGGACCCCGAGGGGCCCCAGACCCAGGAGGAGGGCCGGGGGCAGCAGCTGCTTGGAAAGAGAAGGAGAGAAATAGGTGAAGAAGAAGCACAGAGTTAGAGACACAGACAACAGCAGCAGAGAGGAGGCCTCAGGGAGGAGGTCCCAGGGAGGAGTCCCCAGGAAGGAGGCCCCAGGAAGGAGGCCCCAGGAAGGAGGCCTCAGGGAGGAGGCCTCAGGGAGGAGGCCGCAGGGCGGAGGCCCCAGGGCGGAGGCCACAGGGCGGAGGCTACAGGGCGGAGGCCACAGGGAGGAGGCCACAGGGAGGAGACCCCAGGGAGGAGGCCCCAGGGAGGAGGCCCCAGGGAGGAGGCCCCAGGGAGGAAGCCCCCGGGAGGAAGCCCCAGGGAGGAAGCCCCAGGGAGGAAGCCCCAGGGAGGAGGCCCCAGGGAGGAGGCCCCAGGGAGGGGGAGGAGGCCCCAGGGAGGAGGCTTCAGTATATTTCCTTGTTTTCCTAAAAAAAAAAAAGAGTTGACCAGCCCTGGGACTAAACATGAGTGAAAACCTTCCAGTGAGCCTGTATGAGTGGTAGGAGGAGGAGGAGGGGGAGGAGGAGGAGGAGGTGCTGCTGCCGTCAACAGGACAGAGACAGGACGAGGAGACGATGGACCATGAGCTGAACAGAGGAGCAGAGCTGGATGTGTCCAAACTATGGCCCGAGGACCAATGTGGGCCTCACTGTTTAGTTTGTGGCCTCTGCTTCAACACCAGAACTCCCAGAGCAGTCGATTCGACGGCTTTTTGTTTTGGTGATTACTTTAGCTCATGCACAGCTGTGCTCTTCAGAAGAGTTCCTACTTCATGTCACTATTTTTATTAAATTATCTTTAGTGTTTTAAAAGTGGCTTGGCATTCTATGGTAGTTTAAGCCTCTTCTCTCCAAGGTCCTGAATCTGGTCCAGTCTGGTCATGGTTCAGTCTGGTCCTGGTTCAATCTGGTCCTGGTTCAATCTGGTCCTGGTTCGGTCTGGTCCTGGTTCAGTCTGGTCCTGGTTCAGTCTGGTCCTGGTTCAGTCTGGTCCTGGTTCAGTCTGGTCCTGGTTCAGTCTGGTCCTGGTTCAGTCTGGTCCTGGTTCAGTCTGGTCCTGGTTCAGTCTGGTCCTGGTTCAGTCTGGTCCTGGTTCAGTCTAGTCCTGGTTCTGGTCCAGTCTGGATCTGGTTCAGTCTAGTCCTGGTCCAGTTTGGTTCTGGTCCAGTCTGGTTCTGGTCCAGTCTGGTTCTGGTCCAGACTGGTTCTGGTCCAGACTGGTTCTGGTCCAGTCTGGTTCTGGTTCAGTCTGGTTCTGGTCCAGTCTGGTTCTGGTCCAGTCTGGTTCTGGTTCAGTCTGGTCCTGGCGACCATAACAACAGCCTTTTAAAAACACTATTTCATTTATATCAACACGTTTAACCCTTTAAGCGGCAAAGTCGCAATATAGCTACAAGCTACATTAAATTGCTCACGTAAACAACATTGCTAACGTAAACAACACTGCTCACGTAAACAACACTGCTCACGTAAACAACACTGCTCACGTAAACAACATTGTTCACATAAACAACATTGCTCAGGTGAACAACATTGCTCATGTAAACAACATTGCTCACGTAAACAGGCTGTATCTATAAATGTGGGGCAGAATCTTGTTAATATTTTTCACCATGGCTTCGCGGACATGTGTGCCTGTAATATGAGCAGCATTTGTGGGTTATATTGAAAGTTTTAGAGTAAATTGAGTTCGTAAAACACCTGCAGCGCAGCGGTGCGGAGGTGAAAGCAGTAGGACTAAGCGGAGCGAGAGCAGAGCAGAGGGAAATAGTGTTTTTTTCTTTTACTCACAAGGGCTGCAGTACAAGAGAAGTACTTGGTCTGTACTGGCTCACTCAGATTCAGAGGAGGAAGACACGCAGGTGTCCAGTGAAGAGGACACGGACCGCGCCATAGTCCACAGTCAGCCACAGCACAGCAGCTGCTGCTTCCACCGCGGCCACACGGGCATGTGGGTGAAAGTAGCAGGGGTAAACATTCACGGGGAACACAAGAGACGCGGGAGAAGCCACGGGAAAAAAACACATCGCTAATCGCGTTCACTGCAGTTCACTGCATTTCAACTGACCAGAAATGTTGAGGCAATCTGACATGTTCTGAGCCAATTCATTTCATCTCTCTGTTTCTAAACGATATATTCTGGAGCCTCATTTCCACTGAGAGAAACAGTATGCCCACCACTTCTTTGAAAGGGAAATATTGAAACCAAACTTCAGATTTCATGACTGTAAAGTATTATGAGTGCTGTCTTGATCAATGAAGATCTTTGAAAATAATACAATTCCATATGGCCGCCGACCAGTGCTAAAACATTGTGTATAATCTGGGAATTTATTTCTATCCCAAATTAATTTCATACGAAAGATATTTCACAATGACTGTGGTTAGTATTCCCTGATCTATAAAAAACTCCCAAGATACAGCTTTTTGAAATCTTTATACAATAACTTACATTTTCCAATATGGCCGCCAACTTAATGACGTCACAATATGCAAATTAGATGACAAATTAACTTCCATTCCAAAGTTTTGTTCAAACTGAAGATATTTCTAATTTACAGTATGCCTTTATCTCAAACCATTTTAAAGTTAAAGCCTTTTGAAATCTTAAAATCAAAATTGTTTATTTTCTTGAAAAAACTCAGGCGCCTAAAGGGTTAAGCACTTTAAAGCTGCACTAACTGACTTTATTTTCGTATTAATTACGAAACTGCTATCCATGTCCATGTAGTGCATTGGGATATACGTCCTTTTGAAGAAAAAGTAGCGCAGATTTGTGCTGGCGTGTCATTATATTTTCGATCGAGTTTTGATGAAACAAGGAAGAGAATGTGTTTCGGGTCGCAGATTGTGACCAATCACAGCGCACCACTAGCCCCCACTTTCGTGATAAATCTCCAGGTCCGTTAGCACAGACAGCTGAGTTAGCACAACAAGCGGCGGAGCTAACCTGAAACTTTCTCGTCTTCGTCACCGGGTACTGCTTACACAGCGAAACAGCCATCCAAAAGAAAGTCTCGTTCCTCCGCGCTTCCCGGTTCTATCGTTCTATGGTCACGCCATCCACATGAAAATCCATATCCATGTATTATCCATATTGGGAGAGGCTAGCTCCGTCTCAACACTGTGTGTGTGTGGGGGGCGATAGCTTCGTGGGTGCGGGGAGGGGAGCAGAAAGAGCGAGGCCAGCGAGTCCACGGCTTCAAAATCCCAAAGTCAGTTAGTGCAGCTTTAAATAATTAGAAATTACTTAGGTTTGATAAAAGTTATTTGCATTTTCGGGATCATTTCAGAATTCCTTGGTTTGAATGGAAGCAGTCAAAATGACAGCTCTGGGAGTTGTGTCTTTTCAAACATGTTAACACTAGGACTAGTACGAGTTTGGACACTCCTGAGCTGCAGAAAGCTGAAGCCAAGCAGTGTAGTGTGGAGAGTAAGCGCTAACAGCGGCGCCCCAGATTAAAGCTGGTGTGTGTAGTTTTGAGGAGCTTGCAGAAGAGACATGCAGCGGTCACATTCTGGGTCTTCAGAGTTCATCCACAGACGCTCCGTAGCTGCAGCTGGACCTGTGAGCGCAGAGGCACTGACCTTGTTTGATGTGAGCCTGAGGCAGTGGGCTGCTCTGGGCCGCAGCACTGCCTCTGCGGGGGCTCTCGGGGGTCCCCCCAGGGCGAGGAGGTCTGCGCACACACACACAGCAGTCAGGAGGAGGCGCAGCAGAGCGGCTTGATCAGAGACACTGTCCATCACAGACACGTGTGCAGGTAATATTCAAAGGAAACTTGGCCTGGATAGGACCAGGGCCAAGAGGGACTAAAGAAGGACCTGGTACTGGTTAAAAAGGACCAGTGAAAAAGCTGGTCTAAAGATGTGACAGAGGCCAGAAATACATGAAAACTAGTGATAGAAGCCGTTTTAGAGCCAGAAGTAGTGACTTATATTTATAGCATAGCTTTAGCCCATAGTGGTTTGAAAGTTCAGTCCCTCAGCTTTTTTGAAAGGACTAGACATCTTTAGTGCTCCTACAGACAGGAAAGAGGACTAGTCTAAGCTCACCTGGCCGGAGCCTTCTTCATGTGCTCACCCACAAAGGTGGCGTTGGTCATCCCCATCAGCGTGTTGGCCAGGGAGATGACGGACAGGAGGTGCTGGGTGGTGACGGCGCGCGACAGGCCGTACGTGCCCTTCCCCACAATGTCCGAGAGAGTCAGCTTCATCCCGGTAGCCACGGACAGCTTTCTCAGCAGAGACTCCTGAGGGAGAGGGGAGGGGGAGACACGATCGATTATGGACGTTTACAAAGGCCCGGAATCAAGAGAATGTAAGAAATCACAAGATCACCAGATCCTGTTGACTCCTGTGTGTTTGTTATTTTTGGTTTTCCTGTTGGAACGGTTTAATTCTCTGATCTGTTATTGGTGAATCGAACACTTTGCATGTGCAATGCTTGAATGCAACACAAACCCCGTCCAGAAAAGAAAAGAACATGCACATGCACGCGCACACACACACACCTTGAACGTGGGCAGCATGAGTGACATGTGACCCCCGCGGGAGATGAGGCCAAAGGAGATGGGGCAGTGGGGTCTCAGCATGCCGAGGCGCTCCAGGCAGATGAGGTCCAGCTGCTGGTTCAGGCCCCAGGCGTGGAGGCACGACATGAACAGTTTGGCCGTGTCCATGGTCAGGTTGTACTCCAGCAGAGACAGGGACTTGGACTTCTCCTCCCTCCGCCGCTGCTCCTCCTCCTCCTCCTCATCGTCATCCAGAAGGTGCTCCTTTATGGTCTCCTTCATGGTCTCTTTCACCTGTGAGTTTTGCAGAAAATCAGTACAAAACAGACCTGGAGTGGATTTTGGATGTCATTGTACCACTATGACAAGAGATGGACCAGAGAGAGAGACCAGAGAGACCAGAAAGTAGACCAAAGAACCAGAGAGAGACCAGAGAGACCAGAGAACCAGAGAGAGACCAGAGACCAGAAAGTCGACCAGAGAACCAGAGAGAAACCAGAAAGAGAGAGACCAGAGAACCAAAGAGAGACAAGAGAGACCAGAAAGTCGACCAGAGAGACCAGAAAGTCGACCAGAGAACCAGAGAGAAACCAGAGAGAGAGAGACCAGAGAGAGACCAGAGAAACCAGAGAACCAGTGAGACCAGAGAGACCAGAGAGACCAGAGAGAGAGCTCTACTATGGTCTCCCGCACCTGGACACATCCCCACCTGAGGTTATCAATGTCTCAGAAGATGCCATTCTTCTAGTAAGTAATCTTTATTTATATACAGTGCCTTTGCGAAAGTATTCGGCCCCCTTGAACCTTTCAACATTTCAGGCTTCAAACATAAAGATATCAAATTTTAATTTTTTGTCATGAATCAACAACAAGTGGGACACAATCGTGAAGTGGAACGAAATTTATTGGATAATTTAAACATTTTTAACAAATAAAAAACTGAAAAGTGGGGCGTGCCATATTATTTGGCCCCTTTACTTTCAGTGCAGCAAACTCACTCCAGAAGTTCAGTGAGGATCTTTGAATGATCCAATGTTGTCCTAAATGACTGATGATGATAAATAGAATGCACCTGTGTGTAATCAAGTCTCCGTATAAATGCACCTGCTCTTTGATAGTCTCAGGGTTCTGTTTAAAGCGCAGAGAGAACCATGAAGACAAAGGAACACACCAGGCAGGTCCGAGATACTGTTGTGGAGAAGTTTAAAGCCGGATTTGGATACAAAAAGATTTCCCAAGCTTTAAACATCTCAAGGAGCGCTGTGCAAGCAATTATATTGAAATGGAAGGAGTATCAGACCACTGCAAATCTACCAAGACCCGGCCGTCCCTCCAAACTTTTATCTCAAACAAGGAGAAGACTGATCAGAGATGCAGCCAAGAGGCCCATGATCACTCTGGATGAACTGCAGATAACTACAGCTGAGGTGGGAGAGTCTGTCCATAGGACAACAATCAGTCGTGCACTTTTACAAATCTGGCCTTTATGGAAGAGTGGCAAGAAGAAAGCCATTTCTCAAAGATATCCATTAAAGGTCTTGTTTAAAGTTTGCCACAAGCCACCTGGGAGACACACCAAACATGTGGGAGAAGGTGCTCTGGTCAGATGAAACCAAAATCGAACTTTTTGGCCACAATGCAAAACGATATGTTTGGCGTAAAACCAACACAGCTCATCACCCTGAACCAGGGCTGGACTGGGACAAAAAAACGGCCCGGGCATTTTTTCCTTCTTAGCGGCCCAGGCAACTCAAAAGGTTCAAGGACCCATATTTGCCAAAAACCTAAAAACAACATCTGTCTGGAGCTGCAAAAAAAAAAAAAAAACAGCGTTGTATAAGGCTTATATGAAGGTAACAGGGGCCGAAGCTGTATTAGCTACATTAGCTACATTAGCTATATTAGCCTAATATCTAAATGACAAAGTAAAGGCTACAAACACATAAAAACCATTCATGATTATCAAATGTGTATTTTCATTGCAGCGTGTCCTGGAGAGAATGACGCACCACATGACAACTCTGCTTTAAGTTTAACCTCCATTTTTTTGCCTTCATGCAGTTGTACAAATACAGTAAATAAATCTGCTTTTTGGCTCCGAGTTCACCTGCATCACTGTCTGTTCATATCCATCATCTGAATGTCCTTAATGGCCTTTTCTTTCACCGTCTTTGTGAAGGTATTTGAAGTCTGAAAATAGGTGCTCTGAATTTATGATGAATGAATCTTTCAGTGAACGGTGTTTAAAGCTTCATTGTTCCTCCTGTTGCAATAAAACTTTTCATTACATCGCAAACATGAAGCAGTCCTTACTCATTGACTGAAAGCAAATGTTCATTCTCATTCTTAGTCCAGTCTTATCGACTCTCTCTCTTTATCTTTGGGATCCATGCGCACACACAGTTAAAATTGAATATTACTATATATTCATATTATTACTACAATACAAGTTTTTGCAGCATTTAAAAACGTTCAGAATGTTTTTCCTCCTACAGAAACCACATTCAAACTAGAAATAAAAAACAGCCCTCCCACTCCATTTTCAGACATTTTTGAAAAGGCTCCAGGAGCCACTTTAGGGGCACTAAAGGTTGCCGACCCCTGGTTTATACAGTATGTGGAAGCAAATAGTGTAGAGGATCAGGATGTCTGCAGTTTCAACAATAAAATAAAGTACAAATGTCTACATTAAACAGTAATAAACATGTCTCAGAGTGAGGGAGGTGGGCACAGACAACACTATTGTTTGTTACAGGGATGAGAATTGGTAAAAATTTCTGAAATGCATATTTTCAGCCATTAGCTGGCTCTAAATCTGTTTAATCTGTTCACAACATTTTACTTTTGGGCTCAAACATGAACTTTTAATGCAATGGAAAATTTAGGTACCGGAGCTTTAATTTAGAGGAGAGGGGAGACGCGGACTGTTTTCTGCACCGGTGTATTTATTGGGTGCACAAATTACGAAAAGACATGCATGGTCCTGTGCGCGTTTATGGTCTTGGGTACATGGGCACGTTGCGGCTACGCGCTCACCGTGTTGTGTTGTGAGCGGTTCCTGCGTCCAGCTCAGAGCCGCTGGATGCGGGAACACCGCGACCGCTGAGGTGGTGGAATCCCGTTCGAGTACATACAGCAGGTGCCCCGCGGACACGCGCGCTCCCCTCAAACATTTCTCAACGGATTTACACTTTTCACAAACATATTTTTTGTATGAGGCAGACAGACCGGCCCAAATATGGGCATCGGCCCTTCGGCATTGCCCGGTACGCCCGATGGCCAGTCCAGCCCTGCCCTGAACACACCATCCTCACTGTCAAACATGGTGGTGGCAGCATCATGGTTTGAGCCTGCTTTTCTTCAGCAGGGACAGTGAAGATGGCTAAAATTGATGGGAAGATGGATAGAGCCAAATACAGGACCATTCAGGAAGAAAACCTGTTGGAGTCTGCAAAAGACCTGAGACTGGGACGGAGATTTATCTTCCAACAGGACAATGATCCAAAACATAAAGCCAAATCTACAATGGAATGGTTCACAAATAGACGTATCCAGGTGTTAGAATGGCCAAGTCAAAGTCAAGACCTGAATCCAATTGTGAATCTGTGGAAAGAGCTGAAGACTGCTGTTCACAAACGCTCTCCATCCAACCTCACTGAGCTCGAGCTGTTTTGCAAGGAAGAATGGGCAAGAATTCCAGTCTCTCGATGTGCAAAACTGATAGAGACATACCCCAAGCGACTTGCAGCTGTAATTGCAGCAAAAGGTGGCGCTACAAAGTATTAGCGCAAGGGGGCCGAATAATATTGCACGTCCCACTTTTCAGTTTTTTATTTGTTAAAAAAGTTTAAATTATCCAATAAATTTTGTTCCACTTCAAGATTGTGTCCCACTTGTTGTTGATTCTTGACAAAAATCTTTTTTTTAATATCTTTATGTTTGAAGCCTGAAATGTGGCGAAATGTTAAAAGGTTCGAGGGGGCCGAATACTTTCGCAAGGCACTGTACCGCCTTTCACAGACCAGAGTCACAAAGCGGTTTACAATTGCTATTTTTGGGCATTTGTCTCTCACTCCACACAGAGATGGGAGCGGGGTCGCCAGTACAGGAGGCGCATGCCAGAACTATTGCACATGTTTTTAGTGGTAGGGGAAATAAATGTTTTCAATGAATATTGATATTTTGAAAATAGACAATACATTTTTTTATGAAGTATTTTTATTTTATTTCAATGTTTACCATGATCCACTTTGGGCCAACGGCTCCGATGCGTTTGATAATATTGAAATTCCTGTGTTGTGTGTGATTCTATGGAATAGAGTGAGTCTGCATCACCTGCTTGAAGATCTTGTTGGCCAGGAAGGAGCCGCCCTTGTCGGCCCCGGCCTGGCTCTTGTGCAGGCTCTCGGGGGACACCAGGGTGGGAGTGGGTCTCTGCGCCTCCTCAGTCAGCAGCTGGATGATCACGGCCTCCACGTCAAAGAACAGCACGTGCATGTCCGGGTCGCTCACGTTGGTCTTCATGGCCTGCACCACCAGTGCATTGTGGGAGTATTTTGGTAGGTTTCCCTAAGAGCACAGAGAGAGACTCACCATCAGGAACTCTATACACCCCCCTTCACTTTCACTCGTACAGTGTGTGTGTGCGTGCGTGCGTGCGTGCGTGCGTGTACAGTGCCTTGCAAAAGTATTCGGCCCCCTTGAACCTTTCAGGCTTCAAACAAAGATATAAAATTTTAATTTTTTGTCATGAATCAACAACAAGTGGGACACAATCGTGAAGTGGAACGAAATTTATTGGATAATTTAAACTTTTTTAACAAATAAAAAACTGAAAAGTGGGGCGTGCCATATTATTCGGCCCCTTTACTTTCAGTGCAGCAAACTCACTCCAGAAGTTCAGTGAGGATCTTTGAATGATCCAATGTTGTCCTAAATGACTGATGATGATAAATAGAATGCACATGTGTGTAATCAAGTCTCTGTATAAATGCACCTGCTCTTTGATAGTCTCAGGGTTCTGTTTAAAGCGCAGAGAGAACATGAAGACAAAGGAACACACCAGGCAGGTCCGAGATACTGTTGTGGAGAAGTTTAAAGCCGGATTTGGATACAAAAAGATTTCCCAAGCTTTAAACATCTCAAGGAGCACTGTGCAAGCAATTATATTGAAATGGAAGGAGTATCAGACCACTGCAAATCTACCAAGACCCGGCCGTCCCTCCAAACTTTCATCTCAAACAAGGAGAAGACTGATCAGAGATGCAGACAAGAGGCCCATGATCACTCTGGATGAACTGCAGATAACTACAGCTGAGGTGGGAGAGTCTGTCCATAGGACAACAATCAGTCGTGCACTGCACAAATCTGGCCTTTATGGAAGAGTGGCAATAAGAAATCTATTTCTCAAAGATATCCATAAAATGTCTTGTTTAAAGTTTGCCACAAGCCACCTGGGAGACACACCAAACATGTGGAAGAAGGTGCTCTGGTCAGATGAAACCAAAATCGAACTTTTTGGCCACAATGCAAAACGATATGTTTGGCGTAAAAGCAACACAGCTCATCACCCTGAACACACCATCCCCACTGTCAATCATGGTGGTGGCAGCATCATGGTTTGGGCCTGCTTTTCTTCAGCAGGGACAGGGAAGATGGCTAAAATTGATGGGAAGATGGATGGAGCCAAATACAGGACCATTCTGGAAGAAAACCTGTTGGAGTCTGCAAAAGACCTGAGACTGGGACAGAGATTTATTTTCCAACAGGACAACGATCCAAAACATAAAGCCAAATCTACAATGGAATGGTTCACAAATAGACGTATCCAGGTGTTAGAATGGCCAAGTCAAAGTCCAGACCTGAATCCAATCGAGAATCTGTGGAAAGAGCTGAAGACTGCTGTTCACAAACGCTCTCCATCCAACCTCACTGAGCTCGAGCTGTTTTGCAAGGAAGAATGGGCAAGAATTCCAGTCTCTCGATGTGCAAAACTGATAGAGACATACCCCAAGCGACTTGCAGCTGTAATTGCAGCAAAAGGTGGCGCTACAAAGTATTAGCGCAAGGGGGCCGAATAATATTGCACGTCCCACTTTTCAGTTTTTTATTTGTTAAAAAATTGTTAAATTTTGTTCCACTTCACGATTGTGTCCCACTTGTTGATTCTTGACAAAAATATATTTTTTATATCTTTATGTTTGAAGCCTGAAATGTGGCAAAATATTGAAAGGTTCAAGGGGGCCGAATACTTTCGCAAGGCACTGTATGTATGTATGTATGTATGTATGTATGTATGTATGTATGTATGTATGTATGTATGTATGTATAATTTTAAACTTTTACATCTACAGTTCCTTGCTCAAGTATTCGGCCCCCTTGAACCTTTCAACATTTCGCCACATTTCAGGCTTCAAACATAAAGATATCAAATTTTTATTTTTTGTTATGAATCAACAACAAGTGGGACACAATCGTGAAGTGGGAAGTGGAATTTATTGGATAATTTAAACATATTTAACAAATAAAAAACTGAAAAGTGGGGCGTGCAATATTATTCGGCCCCTTTACTTTCAGTGCAGCAAACTCACTCCAGAAGTTCAGTGAGGATCTTTGAATGATCCAACGTTGTCCTAAATGACTGATGATGATAAATAGAATGCACCTGTGTGTAATCAAGTCTCCGTATAAATGCACCTGCTCTTTGATAGTCTCAGGGTTCTGTTTAAAGCGCAGAGAGAACCATGAAGACAAAGGACCACACCAGGCAGGTCCGAGATACTGTTGTGGAGAAGTTTAAAGCCGGATTTGGATACAAAAAGTTTGTAAATTTAAAGAAATGTTTAGAAAGTTTGTAAATTTAAAGAAATGTTTAAAGATTTCCCAAGCTTTAAACATCTCAAGGAGCACTGTGCAAGCAATTATATTGAAATGGAAGGAGTATCAGACCACTGCAAATTTACCCGGCCGTCCCTCCAAACTTTCATCTCAAACAAGGAGAAGACTGATCAGAGATGCAGTCAAGAGGCCCATGATCACTCTGGATGAACTGCAGATAACTACAGCTGAGGTGGGAGAGTCTATCCATAGGACAACAATCAGTCGTGCACTGCACAAATCTGGCCTTTATGGAAGAGTGGCAAGAAGAAAGCCATTTCTCAAAGATATCCATAAAAAGTCTCGTTTAAAGTTTGCCACAAGCCACCTGGGAGACACACCAAACATGTGGAAGAAGGTGCTCTGTGTCAGATGAAACCAAAATCGAACTTTTTGGCCACAATGCAAAACGATATGTTTGGCATAAAAGCAACACAGCTCATCACCCTGAACACACCATCCCCACTGTCAAACATGGTGGTGGCAGCATCATGGTTTGGGCCTGCTTTTCTTCAGCAGGGACAGGGAAGATGGCTAAAAGTGATGGGAAGATGGATGGAGCCAAATACAGGACCATTGAGACTGGGACGGAGATTTATCTTCCAACAGGACAATGATCCAAAACATAAAGCCAAATCTACAATGGAATGGTTCACAAATAGATGTATCCAGGTGTTAGAATGGCCAAGTCAAAGTCCAGACCTGAATCCAATCGAGAATCTGTGGAAAGAGCTGAAGACTGCTGTTCACAAACCATCCAACCTCACTGAGCTCGAGCTGTTTTGCAAGGAAGAATGGGAAAGAATTCCAGTCTCTCGATGTGCAAAACTGATAGACATACCCCAAGCGACTTGCAGCTGTAATTGCAGCAAAAGGTGGCGCTACAAAGTATTAGCGCAAGGAGGCCGAATAATATTGCACGCCCCACTTTTCATTTTATTTGTTAAAAAAGTTTAAATGATTCGATAAATTTCGTTCCACTTCACGATTGTGTCCCACTTGTTGTTGATTCTTGACAAAAAAAAATTTTAATCTTTGTTTGCAGCCTGAAATGTGGCGAAATGTTTAAAGGTTCAAGGGTGCCGAATACTTTCGCAAGGCACTGTATTATTATTTTCAAGATAGAGTTTTTAGATTTATTATTGATGCTAGAGTTAGAGATTTTGTTTTACTTCAATTAGGACAGCTACTGCTCAGTTAACGTGTGCTGTGTGCTCCTCTCGCCTACTGTTCTATAACTCTATAAGTGTCTATGCAACACTGAAATTTCCCCACTGTGGGACAAATAAAGGATCTCTTAATCTTAATGAATGTATATATGTATATTGTGTACATATATATGTATGTACATGTATTTTTTTCTTACACTACACTACACAGCATCCTGTAGTCTATGGCTCGGACATCGTACCTTGTCTGCGTTGTCGGCTGCCAGCAGGTTGGTGGCCAGGGTCTGTAGTTTGTGCTGAGCCATGTTCTTGAGCGCGGCTAAGCTGCGGCGCGTCATGGCCTGTTTGAGGTTCACGGCAGAGTGACTCAAAGCGTCCACCGCAGCAGGAGCCAGGTCATCACAAGCACTGAGGATCTCCACTGCTGTCAGGCCCATCACACAGCGGTCCAAGGCCCCTAGAGAGAGAGAAAGAGACAGGGTGAGAGCGAAAGAGAGATAGGTCATCACAAGCACTGAGGATCTCCACTGCTGTCAGGCCCACAGCGGCCCAGGGCCCCTAGAGAGAGAGAGACAGGGTGAGAGCGAGACACAGAGAGAGACAGGGTGAGAGCGAGACACAGAGAGAGACAGGGTGAAAGCGAGACACAGAGAGACATGCACAGCGGTCCAGGGCCCCAGAGAGAGAGAGACACACACACACACAGAGAGACACACAGACGGCAAGACACACATACACAGAGAGAGAGAGCCACACACAGAGAGAGACACGCACACAGACACAGAGAGAGAGAGACACGCACACAGACACACAGAAAGACAGGCACAGAAAGAGAGAGACACACACACAGAGACACACACACAGAGAGAGAGAGACACAAGTAATTAAGTAAGTAATCTTCATTTATATACCATGCTTTTGTTTCCTCGCGATAGCAACAGCCTGCTTACATGATTTTTTTTTTTTTTTTACATTTATTGTTTATTGATTTTTCATGGACATGACATGTACATTACAGTGTTTCACATTATACATTGACACTTTGTCCCATTTTTTATAAAAAATAAAAATAAAAAATAGAACACAAACACACAAAAGTAGCATGACAAAACTTGGGGATTTAAAATTCTCTTTTCAAATAAAATCTTGTCTTATCGTTCTCACAAATTTAAGCCAATGTTTCCATAGTTCTTCAAATTTTTCACTTTCCAGCCTTATACTTGCGGTCATCTTCTCCATTGTAAAAATATCTTTCATCACCTCTAACCAATTTTCTTTGGATGGACTCCTCACCTTCAGCCAATTTCGCGTGATACCCTTTTTCCAGCTAACAGCATAATTCTAAACAACTTCAAATTCAAGTAATTTTTAAGTCTCACATTAAGTTTTCCCAAATAAAACAATTCAAATGTAAATGGCAAATCCGTACGTAAAACCATGTCCATACATGCCTTCAAATCTTTCCAGTATCTCTGCACCAAGGGACAGGACCAGAATATATGCACATGATTTGCCACTTTTTCTCCACATTGTCTCCAACAGCTTGTGTCTGTATATTTTGTTTAAGCTGGAGTTTGGAAAAATCTCACTATGTTTTTCCAGCCATGTTCCCTCCACATTAATGAGCATGTTGTCTTCCACACCTGCTCACTAGTCTCATCCCATTCTTCCTGTGTCAAATGAATATTGGCTTCAATTTCCCATCTACGTTTTATATATTGTGTATTTTCATTTTTCAGGTTTTCTATCACAGTATAGATGCATGTTATCATTTTTTTATTTAGCTTGGATTAATAGGCCTTGATAAACAGGCTAATCATCTCCGAGTCAACTCTGAAATGTTCCCTTTTTATATCATGTGATACACAATGCCTTAATTGCAAAAATCGAAAAAAGTCCTGATTTCTTAACCCAAACTGATCCTTAATCTCTTGGAAGTTTTTGCATTCCCCATTTTTTACCAATTCCCACCACATTTTTGGTCCCTGCCAAATTTTAAATTGTTCATCTCCTTTATTAGGATCAAACTCTGTATCATACCCAATCCATTTCAGCATCTTGCATGGGACATTCAAATCATTTTTTGTTACCATTTCAAACCATTCTTTCAATGCGACATTTAACCAAGGATTGATTTGCCCTTTGATTTGTTTGTATAATTTGTTGTCCCCAATTAAAGCTTGCACTGGGATCCCCTGTATTTTTGATTTGTCTATGTCTTTCCATTTAGAAAAATATGAAGGATTAAAAACGTTCATTAAAATTTTAATTTGTGCTGCTTGGTAATAACTCCTCAAGCAGGGTAGGGCTAACCCACCCTTTCCCTTAGCTAGCTGCATTGTCCTATACTTTATTCTTGGTCTCCTCCCCTGCCAAATATATCTTGAAATAAATGTATCCCATTCATTGAATTCTTTCTTTAAAATTTCCACAGGTAGATTCTGAAATAAGTACAGTAGTCTTGGTAGAATGTTGACTTTGATTACCTCCACTCTTTGAGCAACTGACAGAAATGGGATTAAACTCCACCTCTCAAAATCCTCCTTTACTTTAGATATTAATGGATCATAATTAGCCTCTTTTAACTTATTCAAATCTTTTGTCAAAATTACTCCCAAGTATTTTATGGATTTCATGTTCCAGTCAATGTTGTAACTATTCTTTACATAATCTTTTGGGTTATAATTTAAAGATAGGACTTGGGTTTTCTGTACATTTATTTTATAGCCTGACAGTTTCCCAAAATCTGCAAATGCTGCCATAAGAGCTGGTATAGATGTATTGGGATCCGACACATATATTAAAACATCATCTGCGAATAGTGAGATTTTTTGCATCCCTCCCACTATTTGTATTCCCTTAATATTTTCATTTTGCCTTATTAATTGACTGAGGGGTTCCAAAAAAATGGCAAAAAGCAGAGGGCTTGCCGAGCAGCCCTGCCTACAACCTCTATTCAGTATAATCTTCTCTGATAAAGACCCATTAACCTTTATCCTTGCCGTTGGACCAGAGTATAATGCTTGTATAGTCCTAATGAATGTATTTTGGAAATTGAATTTTTTTAACACCCTATATAGAAATTTCCACCCAACTGAATCAAAAGCTTTTTCGGCATCCATCCCCATTATTACTGCTTCTATTCGTCTGTCCTGTACATGCTGCATCACATGTAATGTTCTTCTGATATTGTCCTGTGTCTGTCTCCCTTTTATGAAACCTGCCTGGTCTAACTGGATAATATCTGGCAATATATTTTCCATACGGCGGGCCAATATTGCTGTAAACAATCTATAATCTTGATTTAAAACACTAATAGGTCTGTAACTGGCACATTCAATCACTGGGATCACTGATATAATGGCTTCCTGCCATGAGCCTGGCATCTCTCCTTTTTGTAGCACCCAATTGAAGGTTTTTTGTAAAATTGGAACCAGCATGTCTCTATATATCTTGTACCATTCTGGGATATATCCGTCTGCTCCTGGGGACTTGTTGGTTTTTAACTTTGAGATTGCAGAGTTAATTTCTTTTTCTGTAATCTCTGACGTCAAGGTTTCATTCTGCTCATCTGTTACTATTGGCAATGTCAATTTGTCTAAAAACGTGTCCATCTTTTTAGTATCTTCCACAGTTGATTTGGCATACAAGTTTGTATAATATGATTCAAAACACTTTTGAATGTCCTCAGTTTTATATTTCACTTCTTTAGTCTTGGGATTTTTCATCCTATAAATGTTATTTATTGCCTGTTCCTTTTTCAACTTGTAAGCTAACAACTTTGTTGATTTCCCCCCTATCTCATAGTATCTTTGCTTTGTAAATAATAGTTTTTTCTGTAATTCTTCTGAGTAAATTTCATTTATTTCTGCTTTTTTCTTTTGTAACTTTTTATATATCTCTCTATTATGACTTTGCTTGTGCTCTTGTTCAAATCTTTGCAATTCTAATTTTAGTGTTTCTAGTCTCTTTTGCTTTTGTTTTTTCAAAAATGCTGATTTGGCAATCAATTTTCCTCTTAATACAGCCTTACATGCATCCCATAGTATGGGTGGGGACACTTCACCATTATCCTCCAAGAATCTCTCAATGTCTACTCTCAATTCCTCTTTAATGTTTCCTCTCAGCAAGTTGGCATTAAGTAATTAGTTTATAAAAAGACCAGTCTGAGCCTGGTGGTGCATATATATATTCAATAAGCTAATTAATGTTCCCTCTATTCTCCCTTTAACCAGTGCTTATCTTCCCTCCTTGTCACTTATCACCAATAATTTTTGAAAGGGGATTTTTCTTGATATTAAAATAGCCACCCCTCTTCTGTGACCCGTTTTATATGAAACAGCATATACCTGAGAATATCCATTTCTCTTTAGCTTTTCATGTTCTTTTTCTGTAAGATGGGTTTCCTGTAAAAAGGCAATTCCCACTCCTTCCTTTTTTAACTTACTTAAAATTTTACTTCTTTTACATGGGCTTAAAATACCATTCACATTATACGAGTAGATCTTAATTAAGTTGTTTTGCATTCAGACAATGAGAGTTTGAAATTACTATAATAATTCCCCCTGCTACTAGAAAAACAAACAATGATATCAAACTTAGTCATACAAACAATAACAAATAAAAAAAACACTGCTTCCACACCCGAGGTCGTTTCGTTGACCCTAAAGCCTAGTGTATACTTGCGCGGCGTGGCTTACGTTAGCGGTTGCGGTGGACCTACTGTGAGATTTCATAATACTTTTAAGCAACTTTTGTCAAAGTCATCATTCTATCAATGTGCAGAAGCCTGTACTTTTCCCTTGTTTTGTCTATCTGAAGGCCAAGCTACAAGCACACCGTGGAAGCTGATTGGAGGTCTCCATGCCTCCGCTCTGTATAATACACTTGCATTCTGTTGTATCTGTTGTTCGTGCTGTCTCTACCATCGACAATAAAACATGTCTTCTGTCTGAATTTAAGACGCGATCCCAGACTTTGTCATCTTCTTCACTACGTTAGCACAATTGATGTTATACTGGCGCGTTCCCCTTACGGAGTTTTGAGGAGAATTTTGTAATCCCACAACAAACCACATGAGGGCGATCACACAGGAGCGGTCCCATTTACGCTGCTACTTTGTCCTATTCAGAAAAACAATAGCAAACAAAGCTGTTTGAGATCATTACATGTGTTTCTACTGTAGGTTTATGTGATAGTTTTATGGATTCATTATTTTCTAAGTCATTTCAACTGTGATGCTGTGAATAGAGACACAGTTCTTGTTGGAAACATAGTTATTAAATAGTTTTCAGCACAAACAGCAAAATAATAGTGGTAAATATCTGAGACAAACATGAACGATTTACGAGTGCAGGAGGAAAGCAACAAACGCAGCTACGGTTCAAACAAGACAGGAACAGTGCAAAACAAACGACTGCACAGTTTATAAGTTATATATATGTTAGATAGTCCACA